GTAGCCCAAAGCTCATGGCCCATGTATATAATCCACTTGCGAGTACAGAATGGTATAGCCTGAACATGCTAGATAGACTGAACACGGTGTCTTGAAGTGAACACACTCTCGCTATATAAAGAACTCACTGTAGTAATGACTTTAATAGCATAGCGATAACTTTCTAGACACAACCTCCTTAATTATATATCATCTGTAGCACGGGGTAATGAGCGGTGACATCAGCAAGTATAAATCTACGGAGTAGTGGACGTGGCAATCAATAGTGCATTCTATGTTGGTTCATTAACTTTCGTCTTTATCGCCGCCCGTCAAACGTGGCATTATGCGTCAAACAGAAGGAACCATGAGCATAGGATATTGTGTCAGGCGGGGTCCGCTAGGTGTAGTAAGAAGTATCAAACAAGTTCGTGATAGTCGTCGAGCAAGACGAGCGCGAGAGCTTCCTGTGTTATTGCCGTTTTGATATACTTAGTACGTGTTTAACCCAAACGGGCTAGCTATGTTATGCATATAGCCAATCATCAGGGGTAAATGTGTCCGCCAATCAACGAAGGATCATCTGATCCACTTCCCGCATCACATTTCACAGAGTAAACACAGCTTGGGAAAACTCCGTGCAACCCCCGACGATTTACTACAATTTGCATGTATGGAGTATCTTTGACATCCTCACAAAACGCATACAGCTGGCTATATTCTACCGAGTGAACTAACTACCAGTAATCCCGTTTTCTTCAGCGTTGCTCTCCTCGGTTAAACCGTACTTAATCTCCAGGTCTGTTCTCAATACGATCCCTCCCAAGGCTACAGGCACAAAACCTTGCCAACGCCAATCCTGTCTACCACATAAACCCTAGTGCATCATTATACAGGCCTGCCACCTTATTCCTTGTTATTGTGCCTAGCTAGCCGAGAGATGCGGCCGTGGAATACGCATATGTGTCGCCTGAGTGAAACTGGTTTGGGATTAGATGCCGAAGCGGCAGTGTCCGCAATTCGTCCGGCACGCCGACCAAAAGCATTGCTGACGATCGCCGCAGGGACGGCAACAACCCCAGACACTGCCGAAATATTGAACCGATAACCACACGGTCGGCCGTCGTAGCCGCCTGGCAGGCAGGAAGACGAGTGCCTATAATAATGTGGTTACCGCGCACGGAAGTTATCAAGGCAGGACGTATTTTTACAGCCTGGAAATCGGCTGGCAAGAAGGAGTATACCCAGTATAGAAGGGCGGAACTGATAAATGGTTACGGTCATAACCACGGCAGTAGTACGGCTGCTGAAACGATAACGTGGGAAGCTGCTTATTTACCCTAATTAACATCCTCCAGGAGTACAAAGGCACATATAGAAGCCATACCTACGAGGAAATATTTGAGAGTTCGATATGAGCCCTAGGTATATAGGCTACTTCCATACATTAGCTGAAAAAGGACAGGAGCTGACGAATAGATGAGAAGGAAATTACGTGGGACAGATTTTTCGCCAAAACCCCTCCCTATTATACGGAACGTTCAGGGAAACGAATACCATACCCATGAACAAGCCGCCAGCTGTGAGCGATCACCATTATTCCATAGAAATAAGTGCTGTATAAACAATGTCACGTTGACGTACTGGCAGGTTGGCTTAAAATAATGCCTCGGCCAAGCCATGAGCATGCCACCGGCTGCACCACCATATTTCCCATTTCCTACAGCAAAGGGTCAATTACACTCATTCCCATTATTTGCCGAAGACATCAGCTAGTTGGCCAAACAACAGCTGATTGATAGCTCTACAATAACTTCCTGGGGAAAATAACTTTCGACAGCAGTCTTCTGATTAAGGCAGACTGATGTGGTCAAGGAGGTAGCATCGGCTAGTTACCCATTTATAGTGTTACCAAGATCAGATTTCTTGGGGATAGTAGGAGGGCATCTGGTGACAGTCGTATTTTCTGATAAATATGCTAACTATTAGTTATCATAGAGGCAGATTAAGGTATGGATATGATAGGTAGCCTATGCATGCTTGTTTGGCTTATAGCCTCTAGATCAAATATACGAATTTATGCTTTGTGATATACCCGTCTAGCTAGCGGCCTATCATTCATCAGCATTATTTGGTATTGCCGCATTGGCTTATCTAGCGAGCAACTTACGAAAGCCCTAGGAATGGTGTATGGGAACTAGTCAAGTTTGTTTCTCATTGCTGGAGAAAACCAAGCTCCTTTCCTCTTTTAGTCACTCTTGGCTTGCGGATCGGCCCGACACCAAGAATACCTAGGTAAACGCATGAGGCCAATCTCAATCTAGCTATGATAGTTATCAAAATTCTCTGAGTAATATGCTTGATAAATCATAGTTTTAAATCGTCTTATCATCAGGCCCAAGCTCTTCTTTAAATAGCCCATCTCAATAAACACTACACTATTCAAACCACGTCGAATAGAAGACTTATTCATTCATCTCACCCACATTCAGCGCGACTAAAAACCTACTGACGCAATTATACGCCGCAGTCGTAGCCGTGATCTCAACAACCTCCTTCTCACTAAACAGCCCCTTAAGCTCCTCAAACACACCCTCTGGAACTTTGACGCTTCTCGTCATGGCGCTCGAGTACCGGTACACAGCCATAAGCTCCTTGCTATCCAGCGCCTTTGCCAATTCCGCTTCGTCACACGTATCAAGCTTGATTAATTCAACTGCTTGATCAGACACACCTGCAGCCTTGAGCAAAGGGAAATGCTGGTTCCATTCGAACCATGCTTGGTTGATAGCTGCGACGCGGCAGATGGCTAGTTCGCGGACAGCTGCGGGGATGGATGTGCGGGTGCGGATGGCGCCGAGGAAGGAGTTCCAGCCATCTGCGACTGGGAAAGAATGTAAGAGGGTTAAGTCTAGTGGGAGAAGGCCGTTGGCGCCGCGCCGGGTTTGTACTCGTTCGAGAATGGCGGCTTCCTCGGGCGTGGATGTTGGTGGGGGGTTGGGGGTGTAGGAGAGACGCATTTTGAGGGTAGAAGTAAATGTTGGCTTATGAGGGACTGAATGGAGAGCCAATTTCTAAGGCAGATGATTTATGTCCTATATAATATATTCAGTATTTATATACATCAGAGTGGGATGTAAGAGTTAGATATCGGCCTAGGCCCCGCCACCGATGGCGCTTACCGGCAAAATATCCGGTTCAAGTTGACAGGGAATGGCGCCTATTAAGCATAAGTTTAATAGCCGCCTGCCGCGGTGTACCCGGCACCTTAGACCATCCAGAGCAGGCGGCGGTAGGTGGAGAGGAGTAGTATGATAAAGATGACGTAACTTAAGAATAGACACAGGTAAACCGGCACAAGCAACGAAATAGAGGTAATTAGGTCGATGGAGGCACTGAGCACGTCTCGATCTATAGTAGTAGCAATCATATCAGACTGACAAAAAAGGTAGTAATAACTCCAAAAAATAACAGCCCGTTCTTCACTTATTCCGGGTTAGTTCGTCCAGTCCTTGCCGTTCGTGGACCTGTATTGGCTTGCTTGTTTCCCAGCCATGGTGGTTTGAATCAATAGGTGCGTACCTTTCCTTCCATGGAGACTCCACTCCCTTGTGACGCCCTGAAAAAAAAAGAACAAGGAGGGAAAAGATAGATATATAGAAGACAACGAAAAAGTACAGTAGTTCCAGTTTGGATTCCTCTCTCACTCCCGCTTTCTGCTTCCCATTTACTGTCTTGCTCGAGGCACAGGGAGATGCCAAGTACTCATGTTGTAGTTCTTGACAACCTTCCACCGTATCCTTGAGCCAGGCAGAGTCTTTGAGAGGGCTAGTAAGTCTCTCCACCGGCGCCATTGTGCGCCGTGCCTACCATGGCTGGATAGCCGTATGCTGCGCCATCCTGCTCGTTCGGGTCGAGACTCGCAGTCAGAAGGTTGTTGGAAGCCTCTGGGGGTGGAGGGACTGTGAAGCCCGCTGGTGGTTGTTGAGCTGGAGCTGCTCCGGCCATGCCTGCTGGTACGGGGGCGGGACCGCCGACTGGGCCACCGGATCCATAACCGCTGCTGGATGGTCGGTTCTGGTTTTCGCCCCTGGCAGTTTGGGTCTGGTAAGTTGGTTAGCATATGGCTTTGAACGGATGGGAGAAAGACATTGGCGGGATATGTGGTGTAGATCATGGGAGAGAGAAGGTGTACGGGTAAAGGAAAAGAAAGAAAAGAGAGAGAGAGTTATAAAGAAGATGTGCATACAACTGTGTACTTACTTCCCGGTATTTCGTAAGGTAGATCTTCAAGGCTTCGGCGTAGTTTTCGAATCCGAGCGATGTCATAGCAAACAGGATATCCTCTCCATTGACGGTCTTGCGCTTCTCTCCCTGACACTTTTCCGAAGCTATATGGTTCCATCATCATACATTAGCATCTATCTTCCATTTCCAAGGTGCAATGGCAATGGCAATGTCAATGCCACCCCTGTCGCATCGTGTGACGTACCTTCGCTGGTGATGAACGATATGAACTCGCTCACGCACTCCTGCATGCACTCCTTTGCTTCCTTTGCTATTTTGGCGTTCTCGGGCAGGGCAGTTTTCATAATTCGGGCCACTATGGGAAGTTAGAGAGAGAGGAAATCACATGTTAGGAACATTGACGCGGTTGATAAACGTGAGGAACGAGCATGGGTGATATGATATCTCTGGTGATTGGACCGTGCTGCAGCCAAATTCAAGGTTGCAGCGCATCAGCTTAAGGCTGATTGAGTGTATGCGTGTGTAGCTTGGTTTGGGGGAAGTGGGGTGAAGCATAGACATCTGAATGGTTTCGGTCTGGTAGAGGGACTTGAGCTTGACAAGAGGGAGTGTATGTCAAGCAGCTAGTGTCGTGTGTTGTGCGCGCGCATCAACATCAACCAGTCCTTCGGGGTGTCTTCTTCTGCGCCAGTCCAGGTCCGTTTCTTTTCGCGTGAAAGAATCATGGGGAAGATAAGGGCAGGGAGGTAACATCAAAAGATGATGGTGATGGGTAATAACAAGAAAGGTATAGACGAACCATTTGCAATTGGCAGCCATCGGTCCTGCTCTTTGACCTCGAATTCGCCCTGGCCCTGCGTCTGTATATCGTGGTGTTCTCTTTCCATGGGCTCCGCCTCGTCTCCTGACTGAGTAACTGGTTCCACCTCTGGTTCCTTTGGAGGAGAGGCCGAAGACATGGCTTATACGTCCGTTGGTTATGTATGTACGAGGAGGTGCGCAAAGGGGGCAGGGACAAGCAAGGCAAGGGGGGAAAGAACGGCTCTTGCGGCAAACGGAGCGTATGGGATGACGCCCTGCTGCTTCGAGTAGTGTGCGTGTGGACTTGACACGTCACTCAACCCTCCGTGCAAACCTAAAGACGGGATGCGAATTAACTATGATAGTCTGACTTGGTCCTGTAGGTCCCAAACGTCAAATGTCAAATGGCCGTGGGCGGGCGCGTTGGTCCCTTGTGTCCTGCATCGAAGGGGGACCGCATTAGCTTCAGCACCCAATGAACACGGTAGTCTTGCTTCACGATCGCCGTGCTGAACCAGCAAGCATCTTTTCTTCTTCCATCCAAGGAGCGATGACTGGATGGAAGACGATGGACGGCCAGCTGCAGACAGAAACGGAAACAGAAGGAACAGCGACAAGTGACAGAGATAGGGAGGGAGAGGGAAAGAAAGGGGGTGGGTACCCTCGAGCCGTATCCGCGGGCAATGGGAGGTCGTGGAACAAGCAAGGACCAGGCGGCTGGCCGAACAGCGAAGCAGCAACAAAGGCAAGGCAAAGGCAAAAACGAAAGAAAAAGGTAAAAAAACAGAACAGAAATAAGCAATAAAAAAAATATAAAAAAAGACAGAGGTGTAAGGTAAGGGAGGTCGAGTGCTTGGGGTTGGCTGGCTGCGTGGTGACTGGATGGACGTACGGAGTATGTTGTTTGGAAGGCCAAACAGAAAGCGGCAGCCAGGGCGAGGGCAGGACAAGGGCTAATCGCCGGGTCGCAAAAAAGAGGCTAAAAAAGCAAAACGCGCTGGGCTTTCCAGTGCTGAGAGCGCTGTGACTTCGCCCGGTGCGACTCGACTCGAGCTGGCTTCGAGGTCTCTAAACTGTCGGTGGGGATGGCTGGGCTGCCTGGTTGGGCGGAAATCGAGTGACAGTTCGGCGTTGGTTCGTGTCGAAGCTGATGCTGCCTTTGAAGCTCGCTCAGTCTCCGGTCTCAGCAGCTGGGCGACGATGCGAGTCGAGGGTTTCTTTCTGCTGCGCCGCGCTAGCCAACGAACTTGTGCTATTTTTGCTTCTTCTTCTGTCGCTGCTGGTTCTGCTGGTTCTGGTTCTGCTGTTCTCCGATGCTTGACCGCAAGTTGGGTATACGACAGGGCGATGTGACAGAGCAGAGCAGTCGACCGTGGTTGCAGAGACTGACGTAGGCGGGCGTTGGTTCGTTCGTGTTGTTGACAAGACGAAGTTCCAAGAGCCGAAGTCGAGGAAGATGAAGTTGACGATGGAAGAAGATAAGATTAGGTTATTCTCTTATCTCGTTTTGCCTCCTCAAGTGTTATTTACTACTACGGTCCATATCCATCATTGGCATAAACACTGATATTAACACAGATGTTGTTGGTGTTGTTGAGGGTGATGATGCTGATGCTGATGCTGATGCTGATGATGCTGTCTATAGATGCAGACGGCGGTCAGTTCAGAATCAGGCCGGCCAAAGTAATGAGTTAGTTAGATACTCGGCCAGCCAGAGGAAGCTTCAGTTGACAGCAAACAGGTCCATGGCATCATAACGCTGGCTTCCAAGGCTGCTGGCAACTCCTTATCTTGTTATAGAAGGTCTATGCAATTAATTATACTTAAGCATGTCTTGCAAGATGCATGAACAGCTCGAAGCTAGCTAGCACAGACAAGCGCAGTAGTACCCCGTAGTTTAATCAAAGACCAAAGATCGAGCAAGCTGATCGGGATCATCCAACCATCTTCGTGACAGCCGATAAGTGATCTGTCTCCTGCATATTGCACAAGTCCTCACCCTTCTTCTTCCTCTTACGGAATACTCTTCCACCCCAAAAGAGGATGACTGCATGTGGCCGTCGATACCCAACCGACCTCTTCCTTCATTGTTTTCTGAGTACAGTACACCATCATTGCTAGCTACCCAGTTAGTTAACTGTACCCGGCCGGATTAGATTAACCTATTTAGAGACAACGGAAGCGAGGTCTTCGCTTGTCGTTCCGTGCCCGTCTCAGCGTGTCCGTTTGTCCATGCTGGCTCCGGGTTGGTTAGGTAGATGTGCATCGTCGACAAGCTTAATCTCTTTATGCACTGACCGGCTGGGTCCCCTTGCATAGTCATAGCCAGAGCCATAGCCAGAGTGTAGTGCTGTTCTGGTGCTTTAGAAAGCTGCCTCTACTCAACACAACAACAGCCGCAACTAACTAGGTAAAACATACCGACCGGTAAGTAACTAAGCAAGTAACTAGTTAAGTAGTCAATGTAGGGTAGAAGAAAAAAGACCATACATAAACTCCATTGATTTTTTATCCCATGCCCTAGCCTACCCTACCCTACTGCTGCACGACCTGGATGTGGTTCTTCTTCTTCCAATTGTCCATCTCGTCCTGCTTACTCTTGTACTGCTTCATAAGCTCGTCGAGAACCTGCTTGAGTCCATCTGCGTTCGTCTTTAGCGAAGGAATAACGTCCTTCACTGTCCGCTCGACAAGCACGCCGTTGATCATGCGGAAGCATTTCCGGTCTAGAGGGAGGGGTTGAAGGGATTCTATTACGAGTCTTTTTTCATTTTCGATGGTGTCAGTGGCTAAAGGTGGAAGTAGGGAGGCAGCTCGGTGGTGGGTGAGTACTTGTGTTCTTCAGCTTCGGTCTCTATGTCGCCTATCTTCTGTGCGAGTTGGTGGAGGGTGGTTTTGAAGTTGGAGTATTGCATTTGCAGCTCTGCGGGGATTAGTTAGGCGGGAACGTAAGTATAGAGAGAGGGAGAGCTGGTCTGACGTGCCTTGCTGTCTCCTTGGATCAACTTGTGCCGCCATGGTGTGCTGCTGGCAATGCGCTGGTGGGTGGTGGTGGTTTATTTAAAGCAACTGAAGAGGTTTCGAGGTGTTGATGTGGAGAGCGAGGCGGAAGTTAATTAGTTTTGAACCATGGAGACAAACCGAACGAGTCAACCAGCGCCAAACAAGCCTACAAAAAATACTTAGTCTGTGTATAAAATCGCTTTATTTAATCTATGGTAGTAGCCAAGATCAAGGGTCTATATAAGGGAATGGGAAAGGGCAAAGAAAAGGTATGAAAAAATGGTATATATACACACGCACACACATTACCAAATAGAAGAAGTAGAAGTAGGTACTATATACATCAATCAAACCCACGCAAAGCAAACCAGTCGAGAAAAGGAACTTTTCGCAACCATCCATATTTTACCCTAATAATGAAACTGCTCCTATTGAGAAAAGTAGGAAAAAGTGCCTTGAAAGAATCGAAGGAAAAAAAAGGTTGAATGTCAACGCCAGTCCTTGCACCGAAGAGGTGGAATGTAATATAATATAGTGCAATATAGTGCAATGTAGTATATAGGATATCGTTCGTTAACGTTAACTGCCGTAACTAGATGGTATGGGTATATATAATAAGAAAGCTGATTGATAAGGCGGATGGATGGGTTGGGATAAGATATATATGGTGGGGAGAGGAAAAGACACCAGCGATCGCCCTAGCTCTGCAACCAGGTACTCTCCTGGAAATAATCCGTCAATCCCGGATCGTGCAAGTATAGCTCGCGCCATTCGTCTTCCATGTCGTTAAGATTTTCAGGGACAACGGCTCCGCAGGCTTCAGACTCAAAGGTGAAGAGCTGTCGCCAGTCTGGTCCCTGGCCCGGAGACGGAATATGATCTGATGCGCGGGCACGAGGTTGTTGTTGCTGCTGCGGTTGAGGTTGGGGTTGAGGTTGTGGATGAGGTTGAGGCGCTTGGGGTTGTGGTGGTGGAGGATGATGCGGTGCGCTGACGGACGCGATGGATTCTGAGTTCGAGAAGTAGGTTAGTCGTTCACCGAGCTGGGCTTTAGGCCACCAGTTATGGAGCTGCGGTTGCGGTAGCGGTGTCTCTACTTGTGGTGTTGGGCCTTCGATTGACTTGGATACCGCGTCCCCTTCCTTTTGCGATTGTGTGATATTAGTCTGTTTCGACTTGACCATTTGCATATCATACTTGAGCCGCTTTGAGCTTTCGAACAGGTGCAAGATACTCTCTGCGTTATGCCAGTATTCCGACAGCGCACGGAGGGAGACCGAGGGTAGAGTCGAATCGGCGCAGGGCATTTGATTGCAAGTACCGGGTTTGAGAAGCGTAGTTCCCACTCTGATCTGTATCATGGCTCGTGAAAGCGTGTTGACGGACGAAGACCAGAGGTACTTGACCCTATCCTTTTCACGGAGTTCTTCGAAGATAGAGACAATCACTCCCGCGGCGGCACTGCATATCTCAGCGTCGTTGTGGGCGTAGGTATCTGCCGAGGCTCGCGGGTGAGGACGGTGCAGCAGGATGAGGAAGTTGTTGTATGTTAGATGGAGCAAGGCCGGCCAGGCGTGCATGTCTGAGGTGGACATGCGGACTGTATCGGGCAGTTTGATAGACCAGTTTGCCAATGCCTTGTCCGCTTCGGAGAGGATACTCTTGCGTCGTTCGGGCGCAATGCGCAGACCGAAACGTTCGCGGACGATGAAGGAGATCATGCAGCAGAGCTCTGTGAACTGTATCACGTAGTCCTTTTGGATATTATTGCCACAACCCTCGAAGTCTGCCGCCCTCAATGGCTCGACGTCACAATCGTCCAGGTTTATGGCCTGCGGACGACCGTACTGCAGGGAAACCATGACGTCGAATTGGACTAGAATCCACCATGCTCTGCGCCACATGCGCTTATCGTGAGGGACGAATATGCTGGATCCGGAGTTCCGATGCATCCCCAGCCCCGTAGCTATCCTTGCTGCAACACCTACCCAGTAATGGGCATTGGCAGCGACATCATCGTCCACCGGATCTGAGTACCAGGTAAGTAGGAGCGCCGCCTGGACCATGATATCCCTGTTCCGCTCCACCCTTGCTTCGAACAGGAGCTTTGCCCGTCGAAAGAAGGCTGCCTTGAGCGTGTCTCGCATCGGCCGGGGACGGGAGACATGAGCACCAGCAAGCAGGACAGCCTGTAGGATTAAAAGAGAGGGAGCATCGGAGGAGTCCCGTCCCTTGTACTGTGCCATGAAGATATCCTCTGCCAGGATGGGGAAACCGGGATTGACATGTTTGAAGTAGGCGTCGACCAGCTCGTCGGCCAGCGCAGGTTCGGGCAAGACGAAGGCATCCCGAGGCACCTGTTCGAAGCCACATTCGATATACTTGCGAGAGATCTCGTTGGTAGCAAAGTGGTATACTTCGTCGTCGCGGTCTACATGCTGCTGGCGCAAGAGGAAGTTGAGATTGGATACATCCTGGCCTACGTAGATGACTCTGACATTCTTCTGTATCTTGCGGTTTGTGGACTCTTCATCGATCAGCTTTGCCAGCTGCTTGTCCCGCTCCGACGTCTCTTCCTCGTCCGGCGAGATGTCACGGTAGTCCATAACCGACGCAGCCGGATAGGACCCCTCTTTCTGTTCACGATCAGGATCAGGATCATGTTCAAGGTGCTGGTAGCGGTGCTGTTGCTGCTGCTGCTGTTGTTGGTGCTGGTGGTGTTGCTGGTGGTGTTGGGCGGGAATGTCCAGAATCGACATTGTGGTGTGGTGCGAGTCTGGCATGGGCGGGTTAGACAGCGAGGCCTGTGCATGCGGCTCGTCCGATTCCGGAAAGGGAGCGCATCTGATCGGGACGGGATGCCGGAGAGACCTTGAGGCGGTCCGCTTCTTTTTCTCGTGGATCCTACAGTCTAGCTTGCCCGCCGTCCTACAGTTGGAGCAGGGTACCCCAACGGTGCGCGCATCACAACGGACTTTGCGTTGGTGGCAGTGAACACAAGCGGCGGGCCCTGCACCTTTCGTCAGCAAAAACCGTCCCATCTACTACCAACCACTCGTGAAGAATGACAACAAAACAAAAACAAAGAGAGAGGAATTGGTAAGTACGCTTCCGCTTGAGGCCATTCTCGTCGGCCGGAGACGGTGGCTTGACATCCATGGAGAGGCCAGCCGGTCCAGTCGAGCCCTGCCCGGGTCAGGTAAAGAAAGGTCAAGTCAGGTCAAGAGGTCTCTTTATTAAGTCTTGATAGCAGGTTCAGGTTATATCGCACACGCACTCCACGAGGCCGAAGAGACCATCAGCCATGCCACAGCGATCTCCTCGCAGGGTCTAATGGGTTCACAGAAGACAAGAGGGAAGTCAAGGGCACGAATGAGGAGGTCGGGAGGAAAAGTGGTAGCAGATGATAGGAAGAGAGCCAAAAAGCGAAAAGAGGCAGAAAGTGAAGCAGAAGAAGAAGAAGAAGCAAGAGAGCCACGTGAGGTTACAGATAAGATGAAAAGAAAGCTGACTAACGCTCTTCCGGCTAGGCAGGGCGGGGAGGGAAGAAGACGCAGAGAGAGACAGCGCAGGCAGGCAGGCAGGCAGGCGGGAGTTCTTAGGGGCTTCTTCACGGCCTGTCTTTAACTGAGTCTTAACTAAGCCTTTAACTAAGCCTTTAACTAGCTGCCCAGCCTTTGGCGCTCACTGAGGAGCAGCTCACTTAAAACGTCGCCCAACCGAAGGTCCCCGCCAAGGCCCAAGGCCCAACCTTTCTAACCGGGACCTTGGAAAAAGGTCTGGGCGCTTGCTGCAGGCTTGACTGGCGGACGACGACTCATCCTGCTCCACTAACGGGGTCTTGCATGGAAGAAGCGGAAGAAGTCAAGGGGGAGAGAGGGAGAGAGAAGACGAAGTACCTGGTCAAGGGCAGGAGAGAGAAGTTAGCTACCTGGCGAAGTTACTTAAAAGAAGGCCCAGACAGGCCCTTGATCGTCTCCGTCTGCTTCTCCGCGGCCTCTCTTGCTGCCTCTTTCTCTCTCCTTCTTTTCCCTTTCACTATTTGGTGCTCGCTCTTACTGCTGCTGCCACTGCGTCTACCACCTAAGTTGAGTGCTTCTTCTCTACTTCTACTGTCCATCTCTCTCTCCTGTGCTCTCTTCTCCATCGCTCCACTTACCGTATTTAACCTTTGGAGAGCGGCCAAGTTGCAGCGGGATAAGGAGTCGTCTCCATGTTGTTGTCGCTGGCTTCCCCCATCAAGTGACCTCTCTCTCCCCTTCTTTGTTCTAGTATAGTGGTTGACTCGTTGGTAACTAAGGCGGTCTACTTGGTTAGCCGACAGGGCGGCCCCTGTCTACCGAGTTACATAACTGCTTTAGATCTATACTTACCTCTACACATACTAGGTAGTCCTTTTATAGACTATCAAGGCACCTCAACCTCTCGGCTGCTCGGCTGCTGAGTATAATGTTGACTGCTTTGCTGGTCAGCCGCCCAGAGGACCAGACTAGACTCTGAGCTGCCTCTCACTAGCCGTTGAAACCGTATATGCGAGGAAGGTTCACACTGTCTCTCTTTGCTTTGCGCCGTGCTTTCTTTTTGATCGGCTTGCTTGTCGGCCTTGCTTCGGCTAAGGCAGTCTCTTGCTCTCCTTTTCCTTCATCGTCGTCATCTCTTCCTCCTTCATGGCCGGCTATAGATCCCAGGCTCAACGTCTCACCAACCCTGGTCCCTCTGCCTCTCTCTCTTTCTCGAATAGCCGTGGATTAAGCATGTTATTGGTCACACTCGGAGCAAACACGATCTAGAAAAAGCAAAGAAGGGCTTCATCTCTGCCCCACGTTTTGGCTGCTTCTTATAAGCTACCTATGCTAAGTAACTTAACAAGTTAACTCGCAGGCTAAACGAACTCATAACCAACCAAATAGTTAACTGGATAACATTGCCTGAACACCCGGCCGAAGCATTTGCCCGAGCTCATCCTTTCCTCTAGTGATCACCAAACCCCTCGGCGGATGTCATAGGCAGGGCGGAAGTTCCTTTCTTTTTCTTCGGTTATGATATTGCTTACTTATTTGTACCGATCTATCAAAAGTATATATATCTACTTATCAATCTCCCACCCCGCCAGGCGCATCCCCGCTACATAATAACTACACGAGTTACCGGGATAGTGATATTCAACTCAACCACCTTGACCTTGACGAGCCAGCATTTAGATAGATTTGCACGCCTGCCTGCCTCCCTCTTTCGGCTTTTGACTTGTCCTTAGAGAGTATATACATATAAATATACATACAGTTATACATACCGACAGACCGATGGCCCCCCACGCTGCTGGTGCTGCCGGTGATGCGGCTCAGAAGGCCGTTGAAGGGACGCTGACCGTCGCCAACGTCGCTGCCAACAGGACCAGGTTCGCCCTTCCAAAGGGTGTCGCTGCGTTCTCCGACAGTAGCATGTTCAAGAGTGCGGTAAGTCTTCCTCTCTTTGTATCTTTTCTTTTCTTCTTCTTCCTCCTTTCCATCGTCCAGTGGGAATAGCCGGCTTACGCTTTATATACCGACAGGCATCTGCATCACAACCGAAAGCGAAGAGATGGGACCGTAAGTGGCAGCCTGACGGAAGAGACATTCGAGACATTCTCAAAAAGCACTTTAACTGACTGGTTCGGGCTTCGGCGGGACAGGCTACCTTACCGAGGAGAGTAAATTGCGAAAGGTCCGTTCGGCACACCCTCCCTTGTTCGAGTACTCTCTAGGCCGAGTTCACTGACCCTCTTGCAGCCGTCGACTTTGAAGCAAGTGGCTCTGTACATGGGACCCAGTAGGTTTATCTGCCATCTCTATTAACTGTACCGCACACCACATCGGGGTTGAGCTAACACACGGCAAGGTGTGATTTCGCTTGGAGGTGGTTTGCCTTCCCAGGAATACTTCCCCTTCCATGAGATCTCCGTCAAAGCTCCCAGCCCCAGCCAGTTTGCAGACCCGGCCCCTGCTAACCCCGAGTGCGTCTTCACTTCGACAAAGCACGATGTGGCTGACGGAACGAGCGATTTCGATCTCGAGGTGGCTCTCAACTACGGCCAGTCAGTCGGATATGCAGCCCTCGTCCGATGGATCACCGAACATGTTGAAGTACAGCCACTGTCCTCTCCCCCCCCCCGCCTCACCACCCCTGAATACTGGCTAAAAAAATATCAATGGAACTAGATCGTTCACAACCCTCCATACGGCGATTGGGACATTACCATGGCTCCCGGAAGCACGCAGGGATGGGATTTTGTTATACGTATGCTGTGCAAGCCCGGCGACATGATCCTGACGGAAGAATACACTTTCTGCTCTGCCATGGAGGGCGCCGCTGCACAGGGCATCACTCCCTACCCCGTCAAAGTCGATGCCGAAGGCCTCCTCGCTACGTCTTTGGACGAAATTCTCACCAATTGGGACCCGGCTGCGCACGGCGGTGCTCGCAAGCCAATCGTCCTCTACACCGTCCCCTCCGGCCAGAATCCAACGGGCGCCACACAGAGCGCCGAACGACGCAGGGAAGTCTACAAGGCCGCGCAGAAACACGACATTATCGTCGTCGAAGATGAACCATACTACTTCCTTCAGATGGAACCCTACATGGGGCTGAACACTCCAACCCCTCCCCCACCAGCAACTACAGAGGAGTTCCTCAAGACACTGATCCCTTCATACCTCAGCATGGACACAGACGGGCGTGTTATCAGGCTAGATTCCTTCTCTAAGGTGCTCTCCCCTGGCTCTCGAGTCTCTTTCCTCGTTTCCTCCGCCCAGTTCACAGAACGCATGATCAGACAGGCAGAAACATCCACCCAGGCACCCAGCGGAATGGCTCAGATCATCCTGTACAAACTCCTAGACGAGTCATGGGGCCATGAGGGATATCTCAAGTGGCTCATCCATATCCGGATCGAGTACACAAAGCGCAGGAACTGCATCATGGATGCCTGCGAGGAGTTCCTACCCAAGGCCGTGGCGTCCTGCAACCCTCCGACTGCAGGCATGTTCGTAAGTTTTTCTCCTTTTTTGCCCTCCCGTAACCCCTGCCCGTTCCCTCTCCGTCCCGTTATTGCTCTCTTGGAAGGCCGGGGGAGGGAACAAAAAAAACAACAACAAAAAGGCTAATATCCCTGTAGAACTGGATGCGAGTTGACTGGAAGAAACACCCTGCCTATCAGCAAGGAAAGGACCACAAGGCTATTGAAGAAATGATTTTCCTGGCTGCTGTCGATGCTGGTGTCCTTGTTTCACGCGGAAGCTGGTTCTTGGCAGACCAGTCGGCTACCGAGGAGGACATGTTCTTCAGGTCGACTTTCGCCGCTGCCCCGACAGATATGATCAGGGAAGCCATCAGACGGTTCGGCGAGGTCCTCAAGGCCCAGTTCAATGTCCAGTAGACACGCCGCTCCTAGATATCAAATGATGAGGTAAGTAGATTACCTTGGTTCGTTTCGTCAAAGTGTTTAGGGTGGCTTGATGTTACTTAACTAGTTACTCCCGCAGCGAGTAGAGAGTTGGTTAAAGGCGTCTATAGACCGCGGCGAGTTAGTTATGCTGTAGATTCCTCCGGGTAGTTAGAAGTTACACCCCTTCTGTACATGACTTAGATCAAAAAATGGAAGCCATTCATATCAATTCCTTCTCTTCTAGCATTGGCTATTTGTTGCTCCCCTTTCCGTGCCCTCCGCGAATGGCCCGAGCCGCCTACTTAGTCATCACGCATAAATATATTCTCCGCATTCCGATCTCGTCCAAAACAGGCAAGATCCAACATCATTGTCCAGACGCCAGGCCAAAAGCTCAATCATCCAACTCAGCAAGCTACGATACCCATTCCCTTCACGCCGTTAACACTCGCTGTATAACATTAGATGGCGTTGTGGGCGTTTTTGGCAGGGAATTCTTAATAACGTTCTCTTTCTTAACCTTAACTTTTCTCAATCATAGTTTTAATCTTCCTGGTTGATACCCTACTTACTTTCTTGCTTGTTCGCTGGACTTTCGACGTTGTGCCTTTTAATTCCTTCAATTCCATAGGTAAGGCTGAATAGTTGTACTCTGCAGGGGCCTTTCGAGAGCTTCTTCCCTTTTGGTAGTCGGATCCGTAGTTTTGGTGATATATACCCATTTTGCCTCGCTATAGAATCAGCCTCCTTGATTTATTACCTGTCTGGTTTGTCTGTAAGGTCCAGGCGGGAAATAATTAGAAAAATACTTAGATAATACACTCGATTGTATTGGATTCTGGATATATACCCCTTTCCCCTGATAGATGGCTGCTAACGTCTGTGCACTGCTAGATCTTGATACCATATTATCCTGGCCAGTGGCAACTCTCGTTATATACCAAAATTCACTTCAACTCAGAGACAAAGAAAGACACATACTCGGCCTATGATTTATACCTTTATTTGCTGAGAAGCATCAATACCATCCAGCATCTTTCTAAGGCTATTTGTCTGTCTCTATTTGATTGTTTCAGGTATGCCTATCTCTTCTACCAGAGGCCAGGCTGGTTGCTTTGTTTTTTGTTGATATCCTTTTTCACGCTAAGAAATGGCGCTAATATGAATCCGGACAGGTCATTATACTATCTAAACTGCCTGTGTATAAAAGCTAGACACTCCTTGTCGAGCTTCTTTGCAAGGGGCCTTTGGAGCAGTGAAGCCATAGCCCTAAATTATCCTAATATCTGGCCTAAAGATGGCAGGGACTGCTGCATACTGCTTCTAGATAATACTCTAGCAGCTTCTATACCCAAACCATTACCCCGACTGCTCTGTATTAAGGGGTTTTGAGTTCTATCTTGTGGTAGTGAGCATAGGCGCTCGACAGATTCTGTCGTAGTCTAGCACATCTGCAGTTTTGTAGGTACTCCCTCTGTTTACTTTTCTGGTCACGTTGTCTCCCTGCCTCTCTGTCTCCCTCTTCATCCTCGCACAACATGCACTATTTTCTCTTTTTCACCTTTCACCCTCCCTTCTTTACATCTTCCTGGTCTTTTCCTGCTCTGTATTTCCTAAGTCAAGCTCTATTCACGTCGTCCTATCTGCTGCGTGATACTTTTGCTTTGATATTACTCGTCCTGTCTCCTTTCTCGCCGCCGCTACAATGGATTCTTCCGCCGAGGAGAACGCACAAACGCGTGATGCGGCCTGGTGGTACTCTTTCTTATATTCTTTTATCACTCTATTATAATATTATTGTGACCCATTGACTAATTTTGAATGGCTATTTAGTGATCTTCCAAGCCCCTTACGCGCGCGTGGCTTTACAGGAAGTAGGGAGGATATCCAAGCTGCTAGTGCTTATCTCTTCTGCAACGCAGCAGCGAGACTCCAGCAGCAGAACCTCGATAGGGTTGAGAGTACTGATACCAATCCAGCCGCCTCTGGCTCTGTTCTAGCTCCGGCTTCAAGAACTCATCACCCTGTGCCACCGCTAAGAGAGCGCGACCTTAACGAAGGAAATCCTGAAGTAGCATCTTACCTCCAGTCAGAGAGCTACGAAGCCTTTTCTACTCAGAACAATCCAGTTGATAATACTCAATGCATCAGCTCATTTGAAACTTATCAATCGAACAAGTCGCGCTCCACCTTAGCATTTAGCGAGGAAGTTGACCCTGATATTGGCCCCAACCCCCCTTCAATCTCTGCTCAGTAGGTTTTATCATACATCACGAGTATTTTCTTCAAGCTTCCTCTGACTCTTGTGTGCAGGTTTCCAACGGAAACTGTTGTCTCTGAGAATACTCCAACTTCGCACCATCATCCATTCAACCAGCTAGTTGACCCAAAACCTACAAGGGAGTCCTACCGTGTCTTCCCTAGGCTTCGCGAACCCCAGCAACAAGCTGCTCCTTTTCCAGCCCACAAGTTTGACCCTCATTCGCGCCCATTCCCCATTAGACGCGTCTGCACAACAGAAAACCACCACTATTACGAGGCCCCGCCTGTACAGACCTCTAAATATAAACAATATCCACGTCCTCAACGCGTCTACACCCGTGGCGAATTTCAAGCGAGGACTAGAGAGCTCCTGAAACACGACACCGCTCCAGGCGGTTTCAACGATTTTGATCCCGATTTCTCGAATCGCGAGACACCAGCAACATCGACTCTCAAACAGGTCCGCTCATTCCCGGACCCACGCTCGCTTACTGACCCTTTACCAAAGTCGAGTCGTGGACTGGGTCCTAATAATAGACAGCGTTCTGCTACTGCTCCCAAGAGACCACAACCTCGCCCACAAAAACCACGCGAGTTCAAGGCTGACTCATTCCCTCAACCACATCACTTTTCAACTCTTAACCCCAAATCTCCATATAACCCTTTGAACTTCATTCCTGGTGGGGTCAACTCGTCGGGCTATCTTTATCTGCCGGCCCCTGGCAGTCAACCGGTTACGCGACCCGAGCCGGATCAAGCCCCACCCGCCGACAGTCTAGCCGAGCCACGAGCTTTCCACGCCCAGGGTGACTTTGGCTTCCCGTTCGATAGACCTTGCACTGTCGAGCCAGCTCCTGAAACGTGTCCAGCTCCGCTTCGGCCAGTCTTTCGTCTTGAATTCCCTTCTGCGCAGGAGATCAAAGATCGGAAACGAAAGAAAAACGGAGCTCGGAGATTTACTTCTTCTCTTAAGAAGCTCTTCTCCCGTAAAACAAAGTCAGACCCGGAAAATACCACCGCTGCTTCTTGTCAGCCTAACGCGGATTCTTCACCAGCACCAAAAGCTGAAGAAACTTTTAAAGGCCCTCCTTCAGCAGCTCCCCTTGGACGATTTAGAGAAGAGCTAAGTGAAGCTGATCCTACTCAGGCAGCGCAGTTAGAAGAACAGCTCAAGGACGTTGATCCAGCGCAAGCTGAACACTTTGCAGAACAGCTTAGAAAGCCGTTTATTACAGTCACTGTTGATCCACCACCTGAAGACGACAGTACACCTCCACAAGATACGCCCAGCATGTTCACTGCAGGACATCTTGACCCTTCCTCGGCCGTTATGGCTATTACCAAGCAGAAGGCTGAGGCCATGCGACTTGCTCGAGAACAGGGATTTATTGTTCGAGAGATGTGCCGTAGAGCTAAGACAGAAATTCCTCCGTACACTTTTGAAGAATTGATCGGAAAGGGATCATATGGTCGTGTTTACAGAGGGTTTGTATTCAACTATTTCTGTAAGTGTGTGTATAATAGATTACTAACAACTATGAATAGACACCACCTTTCCTCGAATTCTGTGGTCGCCATTAAAGTCATGGATATTGATAACCTTGACTATGAGACTACAAGAGATTTTAAGGATGAATCTATCAAGGACTTCATCCATGAGACGAAGGTCATGTCTCAGGTAAAGGAAGCTGGTGCAAAGAATATCAACATCTTCATTGAAGCGGTGTCGATACATTCACAACTTTGGCTTGTTAGCGAGTATTGTCCTGGTGGAAGCATCAAAACACTGGTAAGTTCTTTGATACAAAGGTAGCGTGTTCATACGCTAATTTCCTATACAACAGATGCGCGCAACTGGTGATAAGCTGGAAGAGAAATTCATCATCCCAATTGCTCGAGAGGTAGCTGTGGGTCTGAAGGCTATCCATGACGCCGGCATTATTCACAGAGATGTAAAAGGTAATTATCACTTGGATATCTATGCATCAACTATCCTCTGAGCTAACTCGTTTGGCACATAGCTGGCAACATTTTAATCCACGAAGAGGGAAACATCCAAATCTGTGATTTTGGTGTTGCAGGAGTCCTCCAAAGCCAACGTGATAAGCGTTCAACCTGGATTGGCACTCCACATTGGATGCCACCAGAATTGTTCCCAAGTAAGCCTGGGGATGAAGTCCATCCTTATGGCAATGAGGTTTGTCATTACCTGAATAAAGACGGTTTTGGATACCTATATTAATGACCCGAATACAGATTGATGTTTGGGCATATGGTTGTACCCTTTTCGAATGCGCTACTGGTAATCCACCCAACGCTACCTTGAGAGAGAGAATGCAAATCGGTCGCCAGCTCAATCGCTTTACTCCGCGACTTGATGGAGAAAATTACTCGGAAGAGTTATGTGGGATCGTCTCGTACGCATTAGATGCAGATCCTAGGACTAGACCTGCCATGGGAGATATCCTCGGTCATCCATACATCGCTGGTTCCGAACAGACTCATCCTACTGAAAGCTTGAGAGAACTGGTAAAAACCTATTACCAGTGGTCTCAGCGTGGAGGCCAGCGAATCTCGCTTTTCAATCCTGGAGGCGCTGTTGCAGCGGAAATGCCTGGAGTTAAAGGCCCACTCGAAGATGAAGCCTGGAACTTCAGCACAACTGAGGGATTTGAAAAGAGATTCTCGATCATTGACTTGGATCAGATTTCTGCTTCACTTGCAGCTCTAGAAACCGAGCAGTCTCTAGAGCCGAATTATTCCTCCTTCGATCAATTTAACATGGACTCTGAAGAAAGAGAGCTCACGGCAGAAGAAAAGGTTAACTTTGATGAGAGAGTCAAGAGAGGCGCTGCCGCCATGGAGGGATTATTCGACGAAGCAAAGCCGAAATACAAGTACGAAACGAAGAATGATTTCGTTCCTGTAGAGCAGACGCGCAAGATCACCGACTTGCCATTGAGAACTGATACGGATAGGTCTTCCGTCGCGTCTACCTTTATTGACATTAATCTTGGAGTCTACGACTCCTCTCATTATGCATCCGCTTCAGGATCTGCCAACCCTCCTTTCCAGCTTGCTGATGCCGACACTATTCGTGCTAATCGATCCAGCAGCCGATCGTACCGTGCCTCGTCAAGCGCGGGCAGTGAGCCACAAGATGAATTCCCACAAAACCGTGGCCCACGCCCTCCAACAATGGATTGGAAGTTCCCAACCACGGCTACAAGCATTGAAGAACATGAAAGCCCCAATGCAACCGATGACGAGATTGCTCCGCATGATGCCGAACCGCTTGAGCAGCCGCGAGAGGAGAAGCGGGACACTAGGGCCTGGACATTCCCTGTTATGACCGTTGAAGAAGATGGGCCAGGAGACGAACCGATTGATGAGACAGCCCATGCTGAAACCCCTGGTGCATGGAGCTCCGATAATGAAAGCACAACTGCACAAGCAATGTTTCCACTTCAACACTCACCCTCCGTCCTCGATAGGGCCATTGGTAAACCAGAGCACCGCACACTTGCCTCCGAATCGCGTCCGTCCACCGCTGAGTCAATACAATCTTCCGTCTCCGATGCTGACTATGACCCATTCAGATTGGATAGAGAGGGCGTGTCAAGCGGCCCTGCAAACAATGTCCAAAGACGAGGCCTGGCAAAGGCACCTCCAATCAGAGAGCCAGATTACCCATATTTCCCTCATGACGACGAGTACAACAACAACCACTCTCGACCTAACACAGCCAACGGTTTTGAGGAACATCATGTCGGCAGCTTGCCAGAAAGCGTGACTCTTAGAAACGGAAATGCAACAGCCGTACCCCTTTCCCGCTCTGGAAGCTCGTCGATGTACTCTCAGAACGGGAATAGCAACGGCAATCTTAGGGGATCACTTAACCCTGCACCAGCAGCAGAGAATAACAGTTTGACCCAATTCCCTGAATTGAATCCTCCAAGCATTGAGAGCCTAACGGAGGGGGCCAGCGATGAAGTCGTTACCGCGGAGCTTGATCGGTTGTTCGGAGAACTTATGCACGGCCTCGCAGCTACGGGTGAGGCAATCCAGTCCATGGACTCAGCCAAAGCGGCAGAGAGTGATGTGCGACCAGAATCACCATGATATGATAAGAAATGAATTAAAAAAAAGTCAAGGCGGGAAAAAAATTATGTAGGAGTAATGGAAATTGTTGTTTTGTTATGGATATCCTGTTGGCATACTTAGGGGGGGCATGGGGGGTGGATTATCTGCTTTATCGTTCTTGTTTTTAATTTCGTTTCCCATTAACTAACTAGTTATCCCCGCGCCCAAAACATATCTTACCTGCAAACTAATGCCGGTGTTGCTAGTTGCCTCTTTCGACCCCGTCCCTTGTTTATGCCAGGGCCTATTGTATAAGTAGTGCCGTGGCGGTTTCATCATTGGGATTTAGCTCAAATGGACCAATTGATGGGCGCCGCGATATGTGACGAGTCTACGATTGGACGTCTGGAATATGATAATAATAGGCAAAAAGCAAAAAACAAACAACCACACAGTACGCTTGCTTAACTACCCGTGATGCGCTTTTGTTTTTTCGTTCAATCAATCAATAATATATTCTATGGTGGCCACTGACCCGTGCTTATATAAGCCGTGACCTTCTTCCGCCTCCAGCTTCCAACTTTCGATCGAAATGAAATCAACATCGCCAAATGTCAACCTCGCCAATGTGACGACGTCGACATCATAGTTGCCATATCATGAAGGACAACAGCCAGTTACACTAGGAGACGTTTCATGTGGCATCAACCGGATAGGTGCAACGTGTACGTCTCTCGGGTATACAGATGCGTGCTTGGGCCGTTTCTTGTCTGCCTAATAGTTCAGTGCTCTCATGCCTGTGGCTGTGAGAGTGCTGTACAACTCTGGCTGGCTATCGGAGAGCCTGTTTATACCAGTCTGAAGAGTAACGGAATTCGACGATACTCCGTAAATGATATAAAACTACGAAAATGATCGTCATTTTGGTTCATTTCTTCGGTCTGTCAGACACATCGAGTTATGGTTGAGGCTCGTTCGACTCTTAACTTGCCATTTTATACTGTTCAATATCAGATCACACAGGCCTGGCTCAACGCTCGGATGTCGACCCGAGATCAAGATCAGCCTATAATTCTTGTGTTTTATTTCCATTCTTTTCTTTTCTTATTTCGCCCCCCTTTTTTCTTTTAAGGTCAAAGCCACTCGCTATTTAGGTGGTTTACGTTTCCTCGTAACTATCCGGCGAGTCATTTGACATGTTGTATATCTTGGTCGGAAGGCAAATTGTCTCGCTACGCATCATCAACTTATATAGCTTCAATATCTCATTCAACTTTTGGGATGATACCTGGATGTGAGCATGAATATCTAGTGATTTTTTGGTAGAAGGAAGTGAGACTTAAGGCGCCGAAATTAGGTTCAAACATATAAAATACTATATGTTTGAACTAAGAAAAGTCATAGATCTTTCTTTACCTTTTTGCTTTGGCCTTTTCCGTTTGTTAGCTTCGATTGCTTGCTGTTTATTTACTTCAGTTGACGGGAAAAGGCGCGTTCTTTTGGTTCTTCGACGAGGCAGCGCGACCTACATCTAAACCTTTCTACATCACCCCTCTATCCACGACTTCGAACTCATATTCCTTCCCCCCCCTTATGAGCATTATGAATAAAAGAGCGTTCTCAACTACTGACCACCCATCTCTAGTTCTGTATTAATTCATTGGCGTTCTATGCATTTTCTGAATACTTATACTAAAACATGCCTGTTGGCCTCTGGAGCCCTCCTTCACCAAAGACTCGAACCACCACGAGGATACTCTCCAATCCTAGTGAGCAATGGAAACTTTCTCTTCAGGAAGTCAAGCTGCTTCATCTCAGATGTCGTTACAAGCAATGTGCCGCTCGTTCTATGGAGGTGTTGAGTAAATTCGAAAACCAGGTTCGTGGCGCTCTTCATATTAGCCCGATAATAATTATATCTAACCAGAAGAATATCCAATACAGCTTCACAAGGTCCATGAGGCATACTTTCAATACTATATTGCGGCATCATACGAAAATCTAGGACGTGCCTCTCATAGCTTTTCTGGAAATAAGATCCCCCTTCTTCAGATTGCCATGGATAGTTTCATAGCTTGCAAATCATCTTTAGAAAATGCCTTTACAGATCCTGCGCGGGCTGAGGAAACAGAACCATTTCCTGAATTTAACGAGGCGGTTGGTCGATACCCCGAATGCGGAGCTTATGTTGCCACTCATGGATATATCTTTTACCAAAGTGCACGGGAAAACTCACGCCCACCTGCTCTTTTCCAGGTCCGATGTTGTGATGAATCAAATTCAACAGGGTCCCAATCCCGCACAAAGAAAGGCGGGAGGCAATGTATCGATGTCAAGGCCGATCTGATTCCCCAGCCTCTTCAGATTCGCAAGAACCGCAAGGATACCATGCCGCAGTACAACCAATCTCACAAAATGCCTTTTGCTACCACAGCTGCACGGCCGCTTCCTGAACCCCCCATTTCTATCTCCGTCAATCCTGCGTCAGCAGCTATTAACGGTACTGCGGCTTTTACACCGCCACCAACTCCAAAATTCATAGACTGCTTTCCGGATGAACTAGCAATCAAAGAGAAGCCGACGCCACGTATGATGAGCCTTATTGCTTCACTTTCCTCTCAGATAGATGAGAATGTCAGAGAACTATCGCAGTTCATCAACAAAACAATGGAACTCCAACGTGTCCATAAAACTAGGAAGATGAATCGTCTGGCTTCCTACTGGAGTTTCACACCTACTTATCCAAACGGGCCATCTACTATCCATGGAAACACCGAATCGTATGATGCACAGAATGAACTGCGCGCCAATGAACAGGCTCGCGGGCAATCAACACTGACCGAGGGGAAACAGCAGCGTATTGCGCGCCTGAAAGCCGAAGGTTGGAACACGGTTGGTATCAAATCGGTTGAACGCGGTTGGAAGGGGACGCTTCACTATGACAGACTTTGCAGTGAGGCTCTTTCGGAGCTATACGAGCCCTAATCAGGGGTCGAAGCTTGTCTCCTAAATTTTTTCTTACTATTTATATGAGTTTGAGATGGATTATTCTCTCTGGAATTAGTTTGCATTATGGTTTATGGGTTATCTCTCCGGAAATGGTCATTGGCGTCTAGGTAGTGGTGTTACTTTTTTTTCAGGGTACAGAGAGCATGGGAAGGGAAGGGAACCAGCTATTAGCGTGTTTATCACTTACATTTTTCTATTACTCGCAATGAACGATTGGATGAAACCAATTGAAAGAAGGCATTACCTCTTAAGACCTAGCTAAAAGCTCTGGGAAATATTTTCCTTCCGCCCTCAAAAAAATTAAGAGAAAGCACCAGGATGTAGTCATAACACCAAGCCACGAAGATAGACAAACATACGAAGAACTATGAACACCGAATCACAATCACACTGCAGCTTATTGATCCTTGAAACATGTCACTCTCTTCCCCATGTCTCCAAGGCAGCGGGATTAAACATCAACCAGCCGTTATCCTTGTTAGATTACTCCCCTTTGCTCTTCTCTATTTTCTCTAGAGCCTCCTGTTCAATTTTATGCTGTTGTTCCTGCTGCTTCATCTCCCGGACCTTGGCGAGCACTACTTCTCTGAATATAGCGCCTCGGGCAAGTCTGCTAAGACGGCCCTTGTTAGCCGGTGCTGCGGCTTCAGGTGCAGGAGAAGACTTGGCTTCCCCATCAGGCTTATCCTCTGCCTTTTTCTCCGCGGCGTCCTCCAGAGTGGTGCCAGGGATATCGTCACCCTCATCCTGCATCTTCAAGGCCTCGATACGGTTGGCAAGCTTGATGATTTCGATTCCGCGCTTTAACCTGTTACGAGCAATGTAGGTCTTGAGTTCAGGAAGAATGTTGTGATCTGTGGCTGTTTCGCCCTTGAGCCATCTGTGCTCTAGAGCCTGTTCGCTGGTTGCCCTAAGGGTTGGATCAGGTTGAAGGAGAGTGAGGATGAACTCCTTTGCATCCTTGGAGACGTCCTTCCAGTATCGCTCGTGGAAGATGATGCGCCCTGATCGGCACTCTTCGATCAGGTCATTCAGAGACTCTGATCGGAAAGGGGAGTAACCGCAAAGAAGTGTATAGGTGATAACGCCCATGGACCACATGTCGACAGCCTTACCGTGGCCCTGTTTTAACATGACTTCTGGCGCCGCGTATCCAAACGAGCCAGCCATAGATGTGAGCACCTCTGTGTCACTGTCAAGCATCTTCGCAATACCAAAATCTGCTAGAACCAGGGGAGATTCCTGGTCAGTAGTGAGATATAGAAGATTCTCCGGCTTCAAGTCTGAAAAAATGTTAGTCACTAGCTGTTGGAAATAGATTGCTCCATCTTGTTACATACCTCGGTGAACCACGTTTCGCTCATGAAGGTAGTTGACGGCATCTAGAACCTGTCTGATCGTCTGCGAAGCGTCTTTCTCGGTAAATCGTCCGTAATCACAGATTCTGTCAAAGAGTTCACCACCGGTGGCCAGCTGTGTGACGATATAGTATTTATCCTGATATACGGTTAGTATAGTGAAACTGCCTTGCTGTTGCTGGGAGCCGGGAATGCACACCTTTGACTCAAACCAGTCATGGAATCTGACGATATTAGGGTGGTGAAGTCTCTGAAGCATGTCCAGCTCATCGTACACCATCTGCTCATTTCCCTTGACGTTTTTCTTAAGAATAATCTTTATGGCAACCTTGCCGTTGGGGCCGTCTGCCTCTCGTACGATGCCATATGTACCTGCACCAAGAGTCTTTCCAAACCGATACTGTGATCTAAAGGAGGTATGTATGTAAGCCGTGATATTCTTGGTGATTCCCCCGATCAAACTCGACAGTAAATGGTAAATATGCGTACTTCTTATCGTAACTCTCCGGCTGCCCTTGCAGCTTGTTCAGCATGTTCGTGACTAGACGCAGCAGGGAGAAGACGAAAATGTCAGCTGCCATCCTCAATTGCGACAAGAAACAGCTGCCTCGAGCTTCATCGGCAGACAGACAGACGAGGTTGACTGTGATATCGGCCTCTGCAGTGAAACAGGAGGGGCCACAGCACAGTAAACGAAACCAGGCCGGCTACTCGAGAGGCCCGTACCCCTCATCGAGGCGCCTTAGCAAGCCAAGGGGAAGAAGACAACAGACGTCGAATAGTGGGAGCCGCGTAGGACTTACAACTCATCTTGCAGGCGGACCGTCAGCCACTGCTTGCTATTCTATCGGTCGTCAGAGCCGCGGAGCGTGTGGTCGAGGAGGAAGAGTGCGTTGAGATGGTCGCTGTCGTTGAAGAAAGAGGGGCGCAGGTTGTTTTTAGTTACTAGTTAAATAACGAGTTAGCTAACGAGTAACAAATGCTCCTCAGCTTCCGTTTAATAGCGAACCAGTTAGCGAAACTAACCAGCGGTCTCGATCGAAAAAGAAAACAAGAATGCGTCCTTCAGCCTGGTGATGATTAGGGTTGGCGCTGCGATATGCCTGTTGTTATGGTGAGGGTTTGAAGATGTTGTTCAATCCATGTTGTCCCTCGTCACTGGTGGACGACGATAGCTGACTTAGTTAACCTTAGCTGCCGCGTTAAGACATTTAACTACGAGAAGGAAGCGCCACAGGGCAGCTCCATAGGCTCAGCCACAGCGGGAGCTGGCGCCGAGTGCTCCATTTAGTTATATCAAACGCTGGGTCTCTGTTAGCGAGGAAGTCGTCTGCTTTTATCTCGGCTTTGAACATGGAAGTTGCTCGTTAATCGAAAAATACAGCATACTTGAAGTGCAGGTAGTCAGGGTAGAAAGTCCGAAGAAAGCTCAGGGGCTGCTCCGTCTGGAAACGTATCAGATAACTACTGGCAGCAAGCTAGCAGGCACAGGACGAATTGACATCGTGAACGGATGGGCTTTGAATGCATGTCTATAGTGGTCTGTTTGATTATGGATCTCCTCGAGATATGCAGTGATAAGCCCATGTTGGCCATGTTACACAAGACTGTAGGCTTTGAAGGAATTCAAGGTTTCCATTCTCCACTTTGCAGTGTAGAAACTCAGTGCTAATAACTGGCCAAAGACCTCGTCCCATAGTGCCTTTTAGGTTAGTTTTCTGTGTTAACGCATTTAGTTTAGCGAAAGCCTTCATAGACAAGAGCTGAAAGTGCCTGCTCGTGACTCCTGGCCGCGGTAATATGTTCATTTATTCATGTATCAAACTAGCAGGGTTTGCTAGTGATCAGCCTGTGGACATGCAAAGGATAAACATGAGTTACTTAATTGTAACTTCAATAGCTCCCCAAAATCAACACCGTAAAGCCTCTTGGATACCAAGATTCAGGAAGTTCATGCCAGGTCAAGCATGTCCAATATACCCATAACGGCTTACTCCAGGAGCCTGGATACTGAGTTGCCCGAAAAAACACCCGATGTGGCTGCAAGTTCGAGGCCTTGATTAGAAGACAGCTGCTGGGTAGGGAGCAATTGAGCCTTCGGACTAGTATTAACAGTCTTCGTCGGCCAATTGCACGTTCAAACTATAATTGCATTATAGCACGTATAACGGATATCTTTCCTCGCATCGAGCAAGGGTTTAAAAGTATTTGCAACCTATTATACTTCAAGATATATCAAAATATTGTACTGGAATGTCTTCCGATATTTATGGTTCTTATTATGGCTGAACCGAAATACATAAAGTGAAAACGCAGTTATTGGGTATATGAGCCACGTACTCTGATCATATAGGAAAGGGATATTTTGTTTGTGGAGGAGCCAAACAAAAAGAAAACTGTCAAGCTCTTGCCTGTCCGTTCATAATAAAATGATGTTTTGGTGTTGAGAAAGAAAAAGCTTCGAATGTAGAAACGCACGGTCCACGCTTATTAATACGGAATATCTATTATCCTTAATATTAAGGTTATTACCTAATCATGCCAACCCAAATCTTATCAAGAAAGTTAATTTGAAAGATTTTCTCTCCAAAAGATATCAATTTCGAAAAAAACGGATGCATTAAATGTGCCATTTCTAGACAAGCATTGACATTACACCAGTCATGTTCGCCGTTCCAGGGTGGTCCGTTTCGTCTTCGGAGCTGAAGCCTCAGACGGAAACACCAGCCGCAAAAGATGCGCCCAAATCTCGGGATACTGATGGCTCCTTCAAGAAGCGGAAAAGAGAACCTGGTGCAGATGATGATGGCGGAAAAGTCACAAAATCAAACGTGAACGAGATGTGGAAGAGATACATTGAAGGGGAAATACCAAAGCCAAAGAAACCGCGCTCGGAAAAGAAAGTAGCCCAGCCAACTCAAGGAAAAGGGAACAAGATAGGGGATGCTGGAAATTCGAAGCCCGATATACCAGCCTCAAAGGGCAACAAGAAAGCGAAAAAGTCGAAGAAGGATAAAACGTCTAAAAAAGAGCAACAGACAGGAAGCAATATGACACCGCTAGGTACCCGTGAACCAAGCGCGGTTTCGTCTACCACGACTTCCTCGCTCCCACCACCACCACCACCTCTGCCAGAAAATTCAAACCTTACTCCACTTCAGCAATCAATGCGCCAGAAGTTGATTTCAGCTAGATTCCGTCATCTCAATGAGACTCTATATACCACACCGTCTACCGAGGCAATGGAACTATTTACAAGCAACCCTGAAATGTTCGCCGAATATCACGCTGGTTTCTCACGCCAGGTTAAGGAGTCATGGCCGTCTAACCCTGTCGATGAATACATCAAGCTAGTCAAAATTCGAGGCGAAGCTCGTCCTGTACATAAGAAACAGGGGAAGAAACCCCTTCAAAACAGCTCCGGCCTTCAACCGCTTCCAAGGAGGTCCCAGGGCCTTTGCACTATTGCAGACATGGGATGTGGCGATGCACAGTTCGCCCGCGCTCTTTCATCTTCTAAAAAGGCAATGAAACTCAAGATACATAGCTTCGACTTACACGCCCCGGATTCCGTGATCACTAAAGCTGACATTGCTAATGTGCCGCTTGAAGATGGCAAGGTTGATGTGGTTATATTCTGTCTAAGCTTGATGGGAACTAATTGGGTTTCATTTGTTGAGGAAGCGTGGCGTGTACTCAGAAGTGATGGTATGGGTGAATGCTGGGTCAGTGAGGTAAAAAGCCGATTTGGGAAGCCGAGTAAGCACAAATCTGCTAGGGGATCCATTGGCCAAGTTAAGAAAGACAAGTCCAAGAAAAAGCAGAAAGGCGAAGAGGAGGAGGAGGGTGCTGGGGAGGATGTATTTGCTGAAGACCAGCCTACGAAGGCAGACGATGATGATCAAACAGATATATCAGCTTTTGTGGAGGTCTTTGCTTCAAGAGGCTTCGTTTTGAAACAGGAGACCGTTGATAAGTCTAACAAGATGTTTGTGAAGATGGAATTTACTAAGTATGGAGAGCCTAAGAAGGGCAAGTGGGCTAATCCAAATGGCCAAGTCGAAAAGAAGACTCCGTACAAGAAATGGGGTTTTTCATCAATACCGAAGGATATCGGGATGACGGCCGAGGAGGAGAGCAAGGTGTTGAAGCCGTGTGTCTATAAGCTGAGATAATATAGGCTATCCCGTCTTCCGACAGTCATTGATTATACGGAATACATTGGGTACATTCTACTTGGGCATGTATTGAGGCTTTTGGATAAACGTCATGGCTTGTTGTAGAGTCTATGGGCTTTCTTGATAGAGACATTAATCAACCCAGGCCGATGCTGCAGCATTCAGCCGCCACATTAATTACTCCCTAACGTAGACACAACTCGCCCCATGTCCTCATCACTATAGATCTGGAAGCCTTTCTCTTTTGTGACGCTGGCGAGCTGAACATTCTTCTCGTCGAGCTTCTCTTCCATGACTTGTTTCAGCGTCTTGAGAACTAAAGTCTCGGCCTCAGCTAGTGTCAAAGACCGATGATATTCGTTTTGTAGTTCGGCCTGCGCCCCCTCGCTTCCGGATCCTATGGCTTTTGCATCATAACGGTAGAATGTGCCGGATGGTTCAGCATGGTACCTATGGGATGATGACCATGTTAGTAACCGAATATTGGCTTGTGACGATATGGGGGGAATACGCACAGCTGTGGACCATCCTCGTCGTATCCAGCAATCAGCAAAGCTACTCCAAAAGGCCTGCTCATTATGCTCTCTTCGCCATCAGCGCCCTCTCCGAATCGAAGGGCAAGGTCACATATTGCTTGAGTACAGCTCTCGACTCTTAGCGGCTCTGAGTAATGGAATCGGTGGTTTTGGGTCTCCACTCGTGCATGTTCAACCATTGATCTAGCATCAGCTTGCAGGCCGGACATCGCACACCCTATGTGTTGGTCTATCTCGACGATCTTCTCAACCGACGATGTCTCCAAGAGGGTGGAGGTAACTCGCTTTTCGACACCCAGAACGACACCCTCAGAAGTGGCAACCTATACAACGGTAGAAATAGCACGTCAGAGGGAGGCCTAGGCAGCTATATTTTATATCGAGGATAATGTGGCCAGTATCACTTACTCCGATGGCAGTAGAACCTAGTTTTATAGCTTCGAGAGAGTACTCTACTTGGAAAAGACGGCCTTCCGGCGAGAAGGTGCTGTACGTAGCTTTAATAAGCGATCCTGTTCTCCAGGCAAACGGCCAAAGGTATAATGCTATGCTTACTTGATTCCACGATCTAGAGGGGCGGCCTGTCAGTATACGTACGGCACAGCACTGGAGGGACTATAAACAGGTACTCACCATACTCGGACCGGGCGATAAACATGGTGATATAATTGCAGGTGGACGGGTTTTTAGTAGATCGGCTGTTGTTATCTCAGGAGATGTCCTTGAACGCAGACTGGGAAGTGCTTGTTGGAAGCTGCTGGACCTGGATGTCGTGTATCTCGGCGGTTGAGCTCGTCCTTTCTTCTGCGTTCTTTGGTCCACGCAAACAGAAGAAGTGCCTGGGCAGGACGCGCTAAACCCAAACGGGAGCTCCATCAAGCATCGTACTAGAAACGCGGTTTTGGCTATCAGTTGAACTTCCCGTCAAAGTCCCCTGCGAAGCGGCCCTCAATTCCCAAGAAGAAGCCATCTTCACGTCCGGCTACGTCTTTTTAAATGATTTTATGATTATGAACTCCCCTTCTTCCGCAAAGTCAAGGGTGGCACAAGAGCGCGCTGCAAGCTATAGCAACCCGCATAGCAGGCCCGGAGCCCCCTCCGCCCGCGTTCATGGAAGAGTAACCTCCAGACAGGAATCGCCGTTTTCAAGAGAGACTACCCCAATAGCCGAAGGCCGGCCTACTATAAAATCCATAAATAAGAGCCATGTTACGGCCAGCGAGGTGCGCGCGGAAAGAACCACCGTGATGACCAGGGAGAAGATGCAGGGCAAACAACGATCTGCCAAAGAGAATATTGCGCCAGGAAGCCCGAGGGACTGGGACAAGAGTCGCATGAAGAGGGAGCAACATAGAAGCAATTCGATGGCTATGGGGACTGAAAAACCCCAGGTTGAAGGTTTGTTTGTACAAAAGGCTGTCTCCTGTTTTCACCCACCAGCTACTAACGGCCAACTATCTCAGTGCCATGGAATCCAACCGTGTCACTTATACCTCACTCTGCCGCGCCTCTTGCCTGTCGAGTCTCCATTCCGCCACTGTTCTCAGACGTACCGAAGGCCCTACGTCCGGAATCTCTTCGAGGCCTCTCTTTAGATGCGCAGGAATCTGCAATTCTACAAGACCTGCTATTTGTGTTTATGGGGTACGAAGGCCAGTACATACACTATGCTAATACATACAGCCCGTCTGTGGAGACGGATCGTTTGGTAGGGCCCTCTTTTCAAATAACACCCGGTCTTGATCCAAGTTTGAGAGACCTGACGATAGCAATGTTAAAAATGGCTACACACTACAGCGCAATGGAAGCATTTGTAGAGGTGCAAAGCAGGTCTGAATTCGGTGCGGTCAACCATGCACTGTGCGCAACAATACGGAAGCTCCTGAAGGATTATTTGATTATGGTGGCTCAGTTAGAGACTCAGTATATCAATAACCCGAACTTCACTCTGCATGTCATGCACCTCCATACAATGCCAACTAGCCAGACATTAGTCCAGTTGTACTCCCTTGGGCAGGAACTGTTGAAAAAGAATTCTCTGTTGGCTCAAGATCCAGATGAATCAATTGATGATTTTGATGATGTGGATAATATCCTAGAACAGCTTCGTGAGGGAGGGGAGCTGGCCCCGGGAAGCATGTCTAAGAAGCTTTGCAAAGGTGGTAACGTGCTAGGGCTCATTAGCCAACGTCTGGCTACATTCTCAGGAGACCCCGCTACCGGTGTATTGCTTCAAACATTGTTACGAGAGGCCAGTCGACCATATATGGCCATGTTGAACGAGTGGTTGCACCATGGTGGAATAAGAGATCCACACGCTGAGTTTCTTGTTAAGGAGCAAAAGGGTATCAAACGCGATAAGCTTGAAGAGGATTATACCGATGAATACTGGGAAAAACGATATACAATTCGCGATCAGGAAGTTCCCCCGCAGTTAGATGCTGTCAGGGACAAAGTCTTACTGGCAGGAAAATACCTGAATGTCGTCAGAGAATGTGGAGGTGTTGATATCAGCAAGGAAGTAAAGGACGTTCCCAAAACGTTTGATGACCCACGCTTCCTTGATAATATAAACGGTGCATATGCGCACGCAAATGCATCACTTTTACATCTTTTATTAACAAAAAACTCTCTCACAACCCGTTTCCGCTCACTGAAACACTATTTCTTCTTGGATCGTTCTGATTTCTTCTCATACTTCCTTGAACTTGGTGCCTCGGAGCTTCGGAAACCTGCGAAACATGTCAACGAAGGAAAGCTTCAATCCCTCCTGGATATAGTACTGCGACAACCGGGAAGCATTGCTGCTCAGGACCCATTTAAAGAGGATGTGAAAGTCAGGATGAATCAAATGGGCCTGACAAAATGGCTAATGCGTGTCGTGAGTGTATCTGGAATCGATCAGGATAATCCTGAGGGAGGCATGGAAAAATACCAAACTCCTGCTCCTCAATCATCTGAAAACGAGAAGGACATTATCGGCTTCGATGCTCTCGAACTCGACTATCTAGTCCCGTTTCCCCTTTCATTGGTGATCAGCCGCAAAACCGTTCTCCGGTACCAACTTGTCTTCCGGCATCTTCTATCCCTGAGACATCTTGAGACATTATTGGTTACCTCATGGCAAGAGCACAGCAAATCCACCAGCTGGAAACACAAGTCCTCCGACCGCAAAGTTGAGCTTTGGAAAAGGAGGGCATGGACACTTCGTGCCAAGATGCTTGTCTTCGTACAACAGTTGCTCTACTTTTGCACCGTCGAAGTGATGGAACCTAATTGGCAGATATTGATGAACAGAGTTAATGGTGACGGCACTGAGGCAACGGAAGTGACGGTAAATGGGACGAAACAAGTCAACAGAACTGTGGATGAGTTAATGCAAGATCATGTCGACTTTCTTGATACTTGTTTGAAGGAGTGCATGCTTACTCAGGGGAAGCTGCTAAAGGTAACCATTCCAAAACATGACCAATCCTAAATGCTAAATTACTAACTTACAACTACTCTAGATTCACTCCAAACTCATGACATGCTGCACTATGTTTGCATCCTGGTCTGCGTCCTCGTTGACTCGCAGCCTGTCCTCGGCAGACCCGGATTTGTCAGGGACTCTAGACCCGTCTAAAACTTATGACCCTCTAAGACTTGCAAAACTGGAGGACACTCTTAAGCGATATGAGGATCATTTCAGCCGGCATTTGCGAATTCTGATGGACAGGTAGGACTATACCCTTGCCACAGCCAATGCCCGATACGTGAACTAACCTTTGAACCAGTCTCAACTATTTTGCTGCTACGGAGAGTGTAGTGCTACTAAAGCTTGCCCATTCTTTAAGCGCAATAGGGAATGAGGAATGATGAACTTTACGACTTATGGATAACTCACAACTTATTTCAGCTCCCAAGGTGCTGAATGCGGCCTGCGCTGATCGGACCGTGTGCTACAAATATGGCGTGCCAGCAAGTCCATTGGTTGATACATGGCAAATGGAACGCAGGTAACAAATCCCGTCGTGGCCCCCGGATTTTTGTTTATTTAATTAAACAGATGCTGTCCTGTCTATATGGATTGGATGGGGAGCTCATCAGCCGCAAATTCACGGCCCAAGGTACATGACGCGCCGGAGCCGTGATAACCAAGATGAAAGCAACAGTAAGATATGGTATCAGCTGAACTCTTGGGGATTCACGATCGACAAAAGTGTTAAATCAAAGGATATCAAAGAAGTTTATACCATAACATATATAATAAACGCCTCAAACTCCAATGAGAAATAACGCCGAAGAGCATGGCTTCGATTACCATTTCAAATCGTGCGTTTCCTTTTTTGAGCGTTTCTCATGCTTTACTTTTATCTCCGCATCGTCTCCGTTCCTCTATTCTTCGCCTTTCTCCTCATGCCGTTTCCGCTTCTTCTTTTTCTTTTCACCCGTATCTTCCTTCGGCGGTATGAAATCTTTCTCCTGCTCCTTCACCTTCTCCGCCCTTTTCTCCCTTTGTTTCTCCATTATTTCCTCCTTCCGAGCCCTCTCCTTGGCTTGTTTGGTAAGGAAATATTCACCACTTTCAATTTGCAGATCAACCTTACTCTTCTCCTGAGCAGGTGGGAATGGTGTGTAAACCTTCTTCGATTTATCTGTAACCTTGAATGGTTTACGTCTCTTGCTGAGTGTTCGTTTCTTGAGCTGTGGAAGGAATCTGTCCCATGATTCCTGTGCCAGTTGCGGATCCTTGGCTAACTCGCGTTTTATCATTAATTCCTTAATGTGGTATATGGGGTGAATGTTGTTCATGCAATCTTCCACAACTCGACGGACTTCCTTCAGGCCCTTGAAGGGGCCCATTGCAGCAACTGTGTTTCCCTGGACGAGTAGATATGTACTTGTAAGAAGCTCAAGGGCTTTTAGCGTCGATCCCGAAGGCCCAAGAATACGCTGTCGTCGTTTAACGAATCTTTCTTTGTTCCGGACCAGGTTTCGGATCTTGATGATATCGCATGCAACGTCATCCTCGAGGATTTTCAATGCCTATATGCGGAGCCATTTAGTTACACATCTGCGAATAGCATACAATGTAGAATTCAGCAGCGGTTCTTACTTGTGGAGCTGGTACACTTCTAGCCAGCAGTTTGATGAGGTCTCTTGCTTTCAAGATCGAAGCAGGGTCGAATGTCTTTCGGGTGGTCTTGACGGTCATGCTACCCTCTACCAAATCTAGAGTGCATGCTATACCACTCTTCTCCAGCGCCTTGGTGACCAACGGCCATACCTCTCTTAGGTATATTTCTCGGTATTTTGGGAACAGACTAACGAAGGAGGATTCTTCGGTGAATGTACCGCCCACATTATCGGAAGGCTTGAATTCTTCAATCTACTCATAACATAACGAAAGCGCATTAGCTAAGAGGTCGCATGTAAATGATGAGAGCGCAACACACCTTCCACTTGTCAATATCATCTGTATCCCAGGGTTTATCCCTCTTATATGTCGAAGGCATTGTGGCCTTATGACAGAATAAACCACGTAGGTCGTCTTGGTTTCTTCCCGCACAGCTTGACCTGGGCTGTTTTGATATCCTAAGATGAAGGGAAAAAAGAGCTTTGGTTTAAAAAAAAAAAAAAAAAAAAGAAGCTACTTTAGGCAAGTAAGCCGAGATCCATTCAAAAACAGAAGGTCTGACTATTGATTACGTAATATGACTCGCGATTATCGCTCTCACGTGCCTGGTGGACCACCTGGGCAGTTAGCGCGTTAAGCACACTTCTCATGATGGAGCCAAGCCTCGCGTGACCCCACTATTTCTAAGCGATCGCGGTTGCTACAAGCGCTTAAGAGGCTGTTTTGGCGTTGGCTACATGCATCTTATTTCAAAGTCAAGATGGTTCAGACAGAGAGAGAGAGAGAGGAGATACGCAAATGTCCGAGGGGAAATTGTGCTCGTAATCACCAGTGCAAGCAATGGGCCCTTGCGACGGAAATTTTATCTTCTGCATGTCCTTCTCTGTAATTCGTTAGCTACCAGTTCGTAAACAGCGATCCACCCTGACCATAGCGTTCGATGGCCCACTACTTGACATAATGGACGGGGGGTATTTATAGATAGGTTTCTGTGGCTGATATACAAGGAGTCAAGGTACAAAAGCTCGTTAAACAAGAGCTCTTCACACAACTCGAGTCAAAACCCCTTTCATGATGGGACATCTCATCTGAATCAGTCTAAACAGCTGTGTGGAACGGGGTCAAAACTATTGGTTAGTCTCCAGGCACTTGGAGAGCTTCTAGCTAGTTTAGTTACCCTTGGTCTCAAGATTGCATGGCAAAGGTAGATCGTCGTGGGAGAGAAGAGTTAGTCAGATGCACATCATAAAAACCGACAAGGATAGAAAGAAGAATGCGAAGCATCAACTAGAGCAGAGAGGCGGTGCAGGTGGTGGTTAGATCAGGGGAGGCGTCGTTACATGGGCGTTTCTATGGCTCACTTGTGGTAGTAAAACCCTGTAACGAAAGGGGCAGAAAGAGAGTCGATATCGCAGTATCTTGATGTTCCTTAACCAATAAATGTACACACATATAATTAGCATAAAACGCATCCCGATAGTTAAGTGATATTGCCGAAGTTTGATACTTACCTAGCGGCGGCTGACTAGGTGCACTGTCCAAAGTATAACTAACTAATGCGTCCCAGAACCTTGGGAGGTTACCTCAGGCTCTTCTCTCCTCCGCACGCCGGCGAGTTCCTTTCCAGCAAGCCTCAGCTGCTTCCATCGTCAGTCCTCACAGCTTTAAAGCCGACCTGCTACAACCCGGGCTGAGAGATACTCGATACTGTTCTCACAGGCATCAGATCGTGCTGAGGTTGTGGTGTGGAGAGGCCGTCTTCGAGATCACCACCTTCCCTGAACCTCTCCTATTCTGCTTGGCCTCGAACCCCCTTTCAAATCCATTGCCGTTAATAACCTGGATCTTCTAGGGCCAACGATCCGATGCGACACTCGGGAATTGATTTCGTGAACGCTTTACAGGCGTTCTGTTTCGAGAAACCACGTCCTTTGTTGTCAGGTCGATAGAGTCATGGGAATAACCAGTTCATCCATCCCATCCCACCTACCGTATAACTCCTATTCAACCTATCCTGTTTCTCTGGGAAATACAGATATGATGAAGTCCCGAATGATATTCGTCCGTTGACATCTTTTCTCCAAAAATGGAGTCATGGCTCTGTTCTGCGACATTGTCAACTCATCACGACTGTCCTTCCAGTACATCGCCACCTTGTGCTGCCCCATTGCACGCCTCAATACACGAAAGAATATCTCTAACGTTTTGAGACGTTCATCGATAGCCCCGATAATAAAACGATATAACGACGTTTTGATTATCTTCGCCTTGCCGATATAACTAAGTTCAAGCCCGGCTTGGATTTGAACCAAAGGCCTGTGGGAAATCATCAACCATCTGGTAGGAACGGGTTAAAAACATATCAAATAATATTTCTTTCTCCTTTCGTATACTTGAGGGAAAGAACTTTCAATCTCGACGTGAAGTATTTACAGGGCTATGAGAGCAAATAATCAGGACATGCCTGGCACTCCACCCCCGGACGAAATTTGATCACTCATGGTTTCCGCCCAATGCAAATATACCTGCGAAGTCAGATTCAACAATATCAATCTACCAACAAAGGTGACTTACAATGGGATATATGCCTTCAATGAGATATCGTCTGCTTCCTGCCTAGCACCCGCTAAAAGTTCTTGGAACTGGACCTCAGACATGTCAAGCCGGTGCATTAGTGGATATAGCCCAAGGGATTCCAGGAGAAGGTGCACGTTTCTTTGGTTTGCTCTACCGATAGCCCTCATCCTTGGATCTAGTCATCAATTAGCGGGGCGTTGACTAGCTATTAGTTAATGTGGCTGCTGGATCGATCTTATGGATCTTACCCGTTGACCATCCAGATAGGGGCAGGGGTATCATCTTCGACTCAATATCAACAAGGCCAGCTGAAGCCATCAGGCCAGCCAGCTTCATTCCGCTTCGAAGATCCTTCACTCCCTCTAAAGCTGCAATATAACTTGTGCTCCATCTCCTGAGGCAATGGCTTTCAGTCAACGCTCCGTTATCTGACTGGACATTAAAGTATATTTCTACCATTTGTGCCCAGCCGCCTCGTTTCAAACACCTATATATCGTATGCTTCTCAGCATAAGCCGAATTTATCATTTAGGAATAGCTGCTGGTTATACCCTTCAGTCTCCCAGGACAATCCATCTACTCACCTGAAAATATCACGGAGATAGCGTGGCCATCTTTCCTTATCAAGGCCAGAAGCAACCAGGCGCGAATGAACCAGATCGAATTGGTTTGAACGAAAAGTGAATGTGCGGTTCAAATCATCAACCTAGCCATTCTGCAATTAATATATAACATTGGTTGAAAGGTCTCCTAGAGATAGGGATCATTACCTGGAACCAAAGGTTATCTGGCGTATCATCGGGCTTCATATGTGGAGAAACATCGATCCCTATAACCTTCATAACATCTTTTCAGTGATAACTCATTCCTAGGAAGCCAGATGATGTTGCTCACCTCACAGTCTGGATATTGCTCAGCAACTTCGACAGCCCAAGTTCCCGATCCATATCCGCAATCAAGCACTTTATCCAGCTGCTGGACTGGTGGAAATATAATTCTGTCATCGAATACTGTGCTGAAAAGTTGCTGCTCCAACTCTAGCCTTTCGATTTCTTCCTATTCATGAATGAGCGATGTTCTGGTTTCTAGAGGTTGGGTTAGGCAACACCACGCACATCGTCGATGGGAGCGAAATATATCTGGTTATCAAGTGCATATTTTTGATACTCCCGTCCTTGAAAGGTTACAATCTCAGAATGTGCGCTATCCAAGGCTGTGGTACCGAAATGAGGATCGCTGTGGAAATAACCGTCAGTCAGGAACAACAGATGATAATCAAAAGAAAATTGGGAGCCAACGTTACTTCATCCTGCCTGTGTGAACTTTTCCAAAGGGTTGCTCGAAGAATCAAATGATGTTTTCAGCGAGATTTCTCGATATATTCGAACAACAAGCTATCTCCGAAAGTTCAGGGGGTCTGCTCACGGGGGGCTAAGGAGAAAGTTCAGCCTGTCAACGATATTCTCGCCTTGCCAAATTGTCACGAGGGGTGACATTAAATGTTAGGACATGAAGTCACCGTCCTGCTGACTAGCATCGATAATATCAAATCCTTGCGCAGTCTAAGTTGCGGAATACCCGATGCCCAGGTAGATCCGGTCATTGGTCATGTAAGTTATGACCATTCCCGGTAGCCTTGCATTGGGTTCTATATTATCGACAAATTCATTGGCACACAATGGAGCATTTTTGACTGAATACCGGCCTTTAGGACCGGCCGCCACATAGGTCGTCAGACCTGCTACGGAAGGTACCGATACCTTGATGCGTGGGTGAACGTGGATATCCACTATGGCCCGACATATATTTAATCAGAAATCTTATTTCCCACTCGTGGAAAAGGTCTGGATATCACACGTACAGTAGTGGGTCTCTAGGCCACCTACCTATGAAGTTGACGCAAACAAGATCGATCTGCTTCTCGAAGACAGGCCCGTCCCGCATTCTCCCTATGCCTCTTAAGCCTGTGCTCATTTCATGATTGTTGGTATGGCGAGTTAGAGTTGGATAGACGGATGAGCTTCCAAAATGCGCTCCAGGCTACACTGCCTGAGTTGGTCATGGATTGATGCATGGCTGAAATATCCTAGCAAAAGGTAAGGACTGATGACGAAGTGGAACCTGGATGCACCCGTTATAATGCTCCACGTATTTCGGGTCAGGGCCACTGGAATCGTGAATACCCAGCACCTCCTTGACTTAAACCAGTCAAAATGTTGCTGTCATTATCGGCTCTCCCAGTGACATGGACTTGGGTCATTCGGTGATCTTCCCTTTCCCCGCTTGCTTGGATCAAGGGGGACGGAATGATAGGCCGCTATACGGTAAACCACCGAATATAATGGTATCTTCAGCCGGCCTCGATGACATCTGCGGTCTCATGCAAAATTTATAGTCATCCCATCTAGGAAATTTCCCGTATTTAGCCTAAATTCTATGGTATAAGGGGACACGTCTATATCCGATCCCGACATGGACTGCTACTGTTCTGCATGGCAAACTATATACTTGAAGCAGGCTAACGCAGGAGTTGACGCAAAGCATGAAGTGATGGATCAGATCACCTCTCCACGGCCGAATATATGGTACATCCAATCCTCTGTATACCCGACATACAGATACAGAATTCGAAGAGACTGAACACACACTCATAACAACGTCCAGACCTTTAAGACATGTTGCTGTATGTTTCCGAAGAGGCACAGGGCTGAGGTAACAAGTTTCTAACAATCCTTCCAGAAGCGCCCAGTTCAAGAAATGGCAGATGGTCCCATACATGGCCAAAAGTCCAGTTGAGAGGACAATTTCTCGCATTCCCTTGTTGACCTAGAGGGCTTCAGTCTCTCTTTCCAAAAAAAAAAAAAAAAAAAAAAGCCGTCCAAGTTAGTCTCATCTTACGACACCGGCTGCAGGGGAAGGTGGAGCTGCCATAGTGTAACATGCACTCCTGAAAGATGAAGGATTATCCGCCACTACTATAGTTACTGTGAATATGCACTGTATCGATACTATGTAGCAGCCCTATGGGGCATGCCTAGTAATGGTTAACGGAGTGGATTTTCTGATGTTGGAAGCCACACTGATTTATATTGCTGGGTACCTCGGCTTCAGCAACAGCAAAGAGAATCATCAGCCTTACCAAAGTTGTCCAAGCGGATCGGTCCAGTGGGAGTCTCTTTACTCCATGTAGCAACATACTCACATATCAACACCTTGTACGCCTTATACCAGCCTATTGGCAAGGAATTGTGACCTCCTTGCAACCTCACTAATTAAGCGGAGTGTCGAGGTATTCAATGCTTCGCGCATTTTGAGCAACAGGACCTAGACTCACCATGATACCATTCACGTCTTGTTACACCTGCCTGTTAGCATGTAAGTATAATAACAACTTCATGTGAAATTGTTAGCCACCCGAGCTAGTAAACCCGTCGGAGTGATTTACCTTATGATTCTCTACCCATGCTAGGTCACCTACGTGTATCTGGTATTGAATACGTGCGTCCAGGGAGAACGGGTCGTCCCGAGCCTGAGAGATTCAATACCGCCCCGTGTATCCTAAAATAGGGAGATTTCATGCGCGAGTACTCTGTAGATATAACTCTAATAATAAATAAATAAATTCCTTTATACTATTCAGCTACTAGCTACTAGCTATATAGGTACTTACCTAGTTTAAACTAGTAATTTATTTATACCTTTTATTATTTATCTTACCCTTCTTTAACTCTAATACCTACTAAGGTATTAAGTTATAGCACCTCTCGCTGCCAGAGAGAGTCTTTGCTGGTCGAACGGGATAGACACAAACAGCTTCACCAGGTCGACTGTCATCTCCTACGTTTACGTCTACTGCTACTGCTACTGCTTCTGCTTCTGCTTCTGCTTCGTCGCTCGGTTTGTCTTTGCCCACCAGTTCGTTGTAGCGAAGAAAAAACTCGCCAGCCAGCCTATCTAGCCAGCTAGATAATCTAGTCAATACTCAAAAAAAGAACTCCCGGATCCTGCCTCCCAAGGGGGCCCCCTCCACCTTCCTCGTCCGCTCTCTCCCCCCTCCTCCTCAAAGTACCCTCAAATTCGCCCGCGATGGTGCCCGCGCTCACGGTCGACACGCCCTCCTCTGCTCCGCTGGCCGAGTTCTTCTAGATAGCCGGTGTGGATGGCTCGGAGATTCTAGATATATATACTCAACGCTCGGGAGGAATACAAAGCTTCCCTGTCGCCTGCGCCGCCGGTCACGGATACCATTGAGGAGGATGCAGACTCAGCATGGAGTACTAGGCTTGCAAATGTGTTGCCAAGCTCTGGGACTCTTCTATGCTTTCAATATCAACTGCTCTTACATTTCATCATGTTCCCACATATCATGCAACTAGAAAACTCCTCTCCGCTGTTGTTTACTCCGTCCCTCGCCCAAGAGATCAAGCCAAGGATTCCCACCATATATATATATATGGACCCTTGTTTATAGTTGAGCTGCGGCTTCAGTACTTGGGCAAAAACACCCAGTTCCGCTCCGTTTCGGGCCCTGGGTTTTCTGTTAGTATCAGGCATGTGTGTGGCTTAGCGGAGACATACTCGGTGTCTATGACGACCGACTGCATCAATGATCCACTGGAATAATATCAATACATAGCAAACAAGGCTATGCTCGGCATTAGATAAAGACATCCATCTCCTCCTATCTAGCAGTATACAAATATCTCGGTTTCTGAAACGGACATCTCAGCTTTCACACAAATTTAACGCCATATACTGCTATGAATACCGGATTCTAAGGCTGATTTAGGAGAGACTCTTGATAAAATGACCACAACACCAACACCCAAAGTGGGAGAGCTCAAGGCACAGGGAGACCAAGATTTGCCAGCAGGCGTTGACGACAATCTCCCTTCATACACACAGAATCCCTCGGACGACCAACTGCCCCCGGAAACGCTACTTCTTGCCGGTGACGCCATACATAGCGCGTCCAGGCCAGCCTCTTGCTCTATTCCTCTATACAAGCTCTCCCTTGATATTAGTTTCTTACGCAAGAACAATACAAAAGTTGAGCTTTCTCGCTTTGAACATCGCATCCACAGCCGCAATAGCTCCCCAGAAGTGAGCGCTCGACCAAGGCACATCTTCAACTTAACTCGGCCTCCAACCGTTACTACACCGTCGTTCGAATACCATCTCGAGTCTGTCTCTAATAGTAACTTAGGCCATATCGGCTTAAAAAGATACCATCATATTTTCTCTTCAGGATATCAAGCTTGGAAAGCAACAATAGCCCACCCCGGCGCTAACCTATTGGCTAAAGATATCATTTTCATAGCGAAAACACAGCATAAAGGACGGCATAAAGTACGGCACGAATGGCGTGAAGCTGGAGATAGCGGTCAAATTCTGGCGTACGATATAATGGACGATGGTATTTTCTACTTGGAAATTATTAAAACTATGCCACAAAATCAGCGTGATACCTTAGTCGGTGCCTGGTGTTTGCGGGTCTGGAGGGATATTGCTAATTCCAATATAGAACCATTGACCTGGAACGAAGGTGTGTAAACCCGTTTCTTATTGCTCCGTCCATACTTATTGCTCCGTCTATATATATATATTGCAGTCACTAACCGTGCATAACTCTAGTTAAGCGCATTCTTGGAACACGGACCACCGAGTTTCCCCTTGGAACCGGTTGGGGGATGTGACAAGTTTGTAAATGATAGCCCGTCAGGTTTTCCGTCTCAATTTATTTAAGTTGTTGCGCATAGAATTGATGTATGATTTTGAACCATGCCCGCTGACCCACAGACCTAAGTCTAAAGCAATATTTCTTTTGATCTGTTAACTGAAACCGTGCTTCTTCTAAAGATTGATCTACTGTATTAGCGACTAGCTTGTATAACGAGCTACTATGGGGTGATGACAGGCAGTTACAGAGGTATCCTTCAAGAAAGTGAGGTTCTTTCTTCATTGTCAGGCTTTATTATGTTTTATTTTTATCTTTAGTGCCTACTAGGGTAACAATAATACTAGGTGACGCCGACTATCATCAACACATCCATTCATAGCCCGAGTTCAGGGGGGAGCACCTTCCGTATTTGAGCTCCGTACATCAGCCTAGAATGAAAGTGGCACAGGATGGAGGCAATATAGGGATAGGGATATGATTTAAGGAAACCAAACGCACGGTTTGGTCGGACAATGTGAGACGCGCATGGAATCACAATCCTTTCTTTCCTCTTTCCCTCTTTCGGAGTGCTCGCTTACGGATAGACTCATGCATCGACCCATTGAAACCTATGACCGTCTTACTTAGAGGCCCAAGGAAGGTGGCAATGCTCCAGGCCATCAGGGAGTGACTCCAATACGGGACAGAGGTATAACTATAGGAGAACAATCCTCCACTCCGCCCAATATGGCTGAGGGTAGCACGGACGAAATCTCTGGGGTTTGGAATAGCCATGCTAGTTTTTCTGATCTTAGACATAGCAGAGGTGACGAGGTAGCTCTGGGTGAGTTGAACAGTGATTCCATACGGTTCTAGCTCGGAAGCCAACGAGCTTGACCAATGCTGAAGGAATGCCTTGCTTCCTGAGTACGTAGCGAGGAGAGGTGTTGGGAAAAGGCCAGCAAAGGATCCCATTGTCAGAATTAGTCCACGCTTCCGCTCCACCATACCTGGTATAACCAACTGAGTGACGCGGAGAGTACCAAGACAGTTGATGGTGATTATATCTTCCATTTCTTCCGGGTCAGTAAGAATGAACGGGACTGGGATTGAGTGGCTGAGTCCGACATTGTTGATAAGAATGGAGATATCCAGGTCCCTGATAATTTTCTTCATCTTCTCGTAATCATCCTCATCGTTATGGGAAAAGTCCATGGCCAGAGTCTTGGTTTGAACAGTGGCATTTTTCTCGCAGATCTCTCCGGCTACTGCAGCAAGCTTGTCTGCTGACCGTGAAACAAGCAAAATATTAAACCCAGCGCGCGCCAGCTGGTGGGCGTATTCTTTGCCAATTCCATCAGATGCGCCGGTAACCATAGCCCAGCTGCCCTTGGGGCCAAACGAGCGCAGCTATAGATACCAAAGCACTTGTTAGCACATTACGTGTAAATGATAGGCGCATTGGAGTAACAGGAGTTCTCATACCGGCTTTCCTGGGAGTACGAAGATGCTCAAGAAAGCTCGAAAGACGCTGAACAGCTTCGAGGCAAGGAAAAGACCTCCAATCGCAGCAACAAAGGTGGACGCAATTGACGCCCACCCGGCTGGTGGCTCGACGCGGAAATTGTGAATTGTCTCACACAAAGTCATCTTGGCTGTCCGCTCTGCGCGATGCACCCTCTCTCCTAGTGTTGTCTATAGTAGGACGCCGTCGAGGTTGTCAAGCTGGGGAAAAGCAGCTTTCTGTTGACTTTTGGCAGCCTCAACTTGTTGAAATGGATATTTACTTTGCACACGCCAAGACGGAGCGACTCAACCAAAAGGGAAAACGAAGTACCCCTTTTTCTACTTGACCAACTCCAACTGCAGATTTAATAACCGTTTATACGCTGCAAAAGAGAGGCAGGAGAAGCGTTAGACAATATTAACAGCACTCAATTCAGGCTTGCATTTGGCTAATATGGACGCAATTGTTGCTTATCTCCCTCAACATGCGGGATTCCTGCCCAAGTGGCTCCTCTTTGTAAGACGATACAAAACCCATAATCTACTACAACATGGGAGACAGAGAATTTAGACTAATACATGCTATTGCGTCTGCAGGTCTCGGTCGTATCGTCTCTAAATACCTTCCAAGCGTTCGCCAGCCCTGCCTACACCGGTCAACTCTACTCTGCGGCCCCAGTAACACCTTTATCCTCGCGCAAATTCGGGACATGGACCTTCTTATCCTCGGTCATTCGCATGTACGCCGCCTACTATGTGTCCAATCCTCAGGTATATGACCTTGCCATGTGGACTTATGGAATTGCGCTGGCCCATTTTGCCAGCGAGTGGCTGGTTTTCGGCACTGCAAAGGCACAGGGGAGGTTCATCAGCCCTCTGATCGTAGCCAGCTGCAGTTTGACGTGGATGTTCACCCAGAGAAGCTGGTATCTGAACTTGTGAAGTGAGGTCATTAAAAAGCAAAAGAATTAAGAAATAAAGTAATAGAGGCGATGGCGTGTTTTCTTATGGGATGTTTACATGTTTTACATGACTTAGCACGGCAATGGATTGACATGTTGGGCAAGCATTGGCTGCCCGGGTGTATCCTAAGTCTGATCACGAAAGCCAGATAGATGGACCTAAAGAGAAATTGATGAATTCCTATTGAGGTTATCAACTATATACCATACGAGTTCAGTTGGATGGTATTACATGAAGCCTCCAACGGGCGTTCTATATACCAATTAAGAAGGCGAGGGCTATAGCCGCTTTTTATACAACTCTCCCGCGCAGTCTCTTAGTCTTGCGGCAGCCTGCTCTGGCGTAATGTCACGCTGGGGTTCCGCAAGCAACTCATACCTAAAGGAAGAGTGTATGTTAGCTTTTAACGCTCTCCTAGCTGATTGATTGAAAGGATGCAAAATGAAGACAATCTGGTATACTCACCCTACTAAGAACTTCTTAACGGTAGCGCTTCTCAGTAGTGGTGGGTAAAAATGAAAGTGAAGATATGAGCAGGCGGTTTCCTCCTCTGAACCATCCAGCGGGGCTTGGTGAATACCCATGCTATACGGGAAATGGGTTTGGAAGAGATTATCATATCGACGAGTTAATTCAGCAATTGCCTCCGCCAAATGCTCTTTTTCTCTTTGGTTCAGGTCCACCAGTGCCCTTTTATGCCGTTTGCTCATTATCATGGCCTCAAAAGGCCATATCGCCCACCATGGACAGAGGACTAGAAAAGTATCATTTTCAAACACTATTCGCTCCTTCTTTTCTACCTCGAGTGAGGCATAGTCTTCAAGCATGTGGCTGCCATTGTGCTCCTTACAGTATTTCAGCATCTGCGAGAGCTCCTTTGAAGGCTCCTCTGGTAAGGAGCTCGTTGTCCATATCTGGCCATGTGGGTGCGGATTAGAGCACCCCATTGTTGCTCCTTTGTTTTCGAATATCTGCATATATCGATATTGTTCCTTTGGACTTGATATCTGCCTGGCTGGTGAGTCTGCTGATATATTCGCAATTGCATCTAGCCTGCACAGGCTTGACTTTGGTGCGAGGTGAAGCGCATATATATCCGTCCAAACCTCTATTATAGGGACAATCTCTTGCGGCGAAAGATCTGCAAGTGTGAGGTTGTGTTTGGCAGAGAATGTCAAGACATAGCACCTCCCTTTGACAGGTTGAGCTTGGAGAAACCGCTTGGATAGGGATTCTAGTAATGCGCTTAGCCACAGATAGCGCCTTTAATAGGCTATTAAGGGTATCATGGAAGGCATCTTTAAACTGACCTTTATCATCCGTCTCGTGGTCCGCCTGGTTCTCCTTCACGGCACTATAGTCATTGACAAAGACAAAGACCTTATCGTACTGCGGGTTTTGGTCGCCCTGCGCTCGTTTGTTCCCAGGGCATAGGTAACAATTGTCATCATACACCGGAAGGGTAGACTTGGTTGGCGCTTCTTCTTGGCCTCTATTGCATAGCAATTGTTAGAGACCATGGCTTTCTTGTTACTTTGCAGTGCCTATCAATTGACTTACTGCCATGGTCTTTTCGTCCGATGTGGAGAGACAAGGACGTGAGAGTCGGTAAGAGGATTGTATCTCCGATGTGATATGTCATCTAAAACCGAGCTAACCATTTTATAAGGCCTTGCTTTCTCCTTTCTCTCAGCAATAGCTATGGTCTACTTGCTGGGTTCTCTGATGTGTTGGTCATTCTTTGCCGTGGAGTCATTTGCGGGAGGTTTAACTCAGAAGTGAGCATGCAGAATCACCCCACTGGCTATAACGTCATAGCTAGCTTGCTCCCTGTTGCTCTACTTTCTTCTCCCCTTAACGCAACATCATCAACAGCGACAGACATACTGAAGAGCTGGCGCTGGGAGAAGACTTGAGGTTGCATTACATAGTGACACGTTCTCTTGATATCCTTCCTCTCTTGTGGTATCCAGACTCGTGGTCCTCATGTCGATTTGCATGATCTTGTCAAAACGCTATATCAACTAGTCTAAGCAAGCTCCAAGGGCCCTTCTTCCTGGCATCAAGCCCATGAAGCCTGGGTTAGCTTCATAGCGCTCTAGATTGTTCTTTTCGCCGATGATACCCTGATATCCTGAGCATACGACTACGCAAGTCTCCGTCCAGCTGACTTTTGTCCACGGAATTTGAAGTACGATTAATATTTGCCCGACAGTATAAGGCGTTATTGGAGTGAAATATAGCCAAGAGCTAGCCGGTATAAGTAACTAGCTATAGCAGCTCGAGTTTATTTATCTGTCGATGCAAGACATAGTTCCAGCCCCAATACCCGTGATGCCTATACCCTTGAAACTGTTGTACCGAAGCAACATCTAGGTGAACCAAACGGGGACAAGGGTCAAGACGAGGCCATACATTTTGCATCAGGATGGTGAACTCTCGCAGCATACCGAGTGCTTTTTAGTGACTGACGCGAAAGAAACCGGGGTGTTGAACAATCACGGCGGCTCGAAAGGAGATTACTGAACAGTGCCCCTGATAAGCCCTGGCGGGGGTAACACTTAAAGAAACACCTATTGTCACTTTCCATCCATGCAGTGAATCATGTGTATAGCTGCATGAAACTCTACGAGATGCAGTTATGACATTGTTATGCAGTGCAAGGGAGGGGTCTAGCCGTCCGGATATCTTGCATTTTCTTCCTTTTCCCGAGGTGACCCAGGGTTGCATTAAGCGTGCATACCAGCTGTCAACAAACATTCTTGCCTCAACGCAACGTCAATGGCGACTAGGGGCACAACTCTCCGCGCAGGGCAAATCCTTCTTCTGGGCTGGCTCCTATTAATAGGTAGGCGCACAGCCAACCACTACGGTTCAGCCGCGCGGGGCTGGAGAAGAAGACTAAACGGCCGTTTACTGCGTACCCGTCGGTGGTTCGAAGTCAATTACGGCGGGCTTTATAGATGCCTGGAGTTGTTAGTTTTAACTACTGGTCAATGCCGGAAAACAAGCAACCATAGACCCCTGGGCATCCGTCATTATAAGCGAAAACGAATCAACATCTATCTATATCTTTCTGTGTGCGTGTATGCATGTATGTTATGTGAGTGTGTAGCATGCTGGTCCCTCATGGATTTCCACCCTCCTCCATCCCTCATCGTGAAGCTGGTCAGATTCCTGCAAATAGATCATGCAGCTTCTTTTATCCTTATTGTCAACGAATTATCAAGCGGTGCACAGTGTACAGAAAGAGCAAGAGGAAACAAAATATAAGAACAGAGTTCGGCAGGATCCCCCGACGGTAAAAGGGGACCAAGCCTTGTCAGCTACACGCATCTGGATCCCGGTATAACGTGCTGTTTAATGCTTCTCTATCCCTGCCCGATCCGTTTAGGGAATATGCAGAGAGTAGTTTGATTCGACGACGTGCAAAGAACCAAGGGTAGGTGCACAATGACACGAAGACACGAAGAGAGTCCTACTTTGCCTACATTATCCTCAGGTCCTGGCTCTTTTGAATATGTGTTTCCTCGCCAGGCAGTGTAATTGCGTAGATACGGAGAGTCACGACCAGAAAGAAATGGACAGGCAACTCTTCCAGCCCTTCATGCAGAGAGAACTGAAAAAAAAACTAGGAAGGGCTTCAGGTGGCAAACACCCCTATAACCACCTCCGCTCTCTGGCAGGGAGTCGTTCTCTCGAATCACGCGAAGCGAGTGACAGCCAGGCCAGCCCTGCAAGCAGAGAGTGAGACTCCATCAAGCCAGTTATTAGCCATGGGTTACTCTGGACTTGGTTAAGTCGACTAGTCTAGGTCAGTAAGTTAACTGCCTTCCTAGTAGTTAATCAAACAGCCTTGGAGCAGGGCTGGTCCCGTGATATCAACTTCACCTGGGCGGCACCCAGTCCAGCCTTTCTTACGGACAACCACATCCTGTCTTGTCACCCCCTTCGCTGTCTCGGGCGCATTATTGAATTTATGCGAAGAAAGCGTCGATTGATAGACTTCCCTTCTCCATGTGCATGTCATGTCATTGCAGTAAAGGTTACGGAACGAGGAATAGGGTTCAGCCTTGCTCGCCAGCTGGCTAAAAAAAGGTCCAAAAAGGACGGTTCCAATGCCATGGACGGCGGTCATTTCTCTCTACAGCAAGTCGAGGAGCGACGTCCAGCTCCCCCATGCATGAATACAGCTTTTTATCCATCGACTATCGATAGACAGCGTTGAGCCAAAAAAGCTCTGGATATACACTCTTGTCCTTTTGCTTCGCCCAGTCACTAGCTCGCCGTTAGTTGCGCAAGTTAAAAAGCAGTCGAACTAGGCCAGAGAAGGGCAAAGCAAACAGCCAAAAAGCAAAGAGAAGTCGAGCATCGCCCATTCTCTTTTCGCCCTACAGCCATCCAATAGGCAGACAGACCGATTGGGAACTCCCCATCGAACTTGAACCGAGAGGCAAAGCAAGCATGCAAGTTAAGCAGAACACAGCACAGCACAGCACTTTGAGCACAGTGACTTTTTACCCACCGCAAAAGAAAAAAAGCATACGGAGTACAGAAGAGGAAATGCATTTGAAAAACAAATATAACGAACGACGAGAACAAGAAAAAAAAAACCCTCCCATGCCATGCGGCTATTTCCAGATTTTCCCAGCTGATGTGGATGATGATGAAGAGGGCCCGCACCGCAGGTATGGATAACTTATAGTTAGTTATATGCAATCGCGCATCGTGCGGAGGGTTTGCCTCGTTCCCTCGTTCCCTCGCTTATACGATGTGGTACCCTTGACCTGAAGGGGGCACAGGCCAGGACGGGATGTTTATCAGTATATGGGATGGAACGAGGGGGGGAGGGAAGGCTTGTGTGTGATATCGATGTGAATATGTAATATAGTGAATATGCCGTTTATGGGTACTCCGTACGTACGTACGTAACTAACACCGTCAGCAGAGCCGTGCAGGACCATGGCTGTTAAATCGGATAAGACCGTGAGCGCGAACGAACGAACACCCCGTCGGTCCGAATGACTGTCTTTTACCAGCAGGTTTGATGCATCCCGCCCCCTCCCCCTTTTCCCCCTCTCCCTCTATCGGCGCACGAGCGTTCTTGAAGATAACATCTTACGAGATGGGAACAAGGATGAACCATCATCTCACGTAACAAGTTTAACTAGTTAGACTGGAGGGAGAGACAAAAACAGTGCCATGCGATGATAGCCCCCCTGCAGGTGAACTATTTTTCCGATGTTTCTATTTATATGGAGCAGCTTACTAGTTGATCGGTGAATATGTATGTATGCCCAGCTCGAGACATCTCACCATTCATCGAGGTTAGTTATATTATTCTCCATCTTGTTTCAACGTGATCTGAGCACGAACTGGGGGATGTTTCTTTTCCCTGTGCTGCCCTCGTACAAGGGGAGGAAAATTTTCCGAGACGAAGAGAGGGTCGTTGATATCGATTCGACAGGTATGTACTCCATACATATGTAACTACCTAGCCAAACTACCTAACAGGGCAATGCGGTCAATAACCAGGTACTCCGTGTTCAGGGATGTGATTACGTTTCACTGCAGTATCACAAGTTAAGGAGGTGAAGAGGCCCAGATGAGAAGGGCGATGTGATAGATGGATGTTTAACCAGCTGGCTAGGTTAACTAACTGACTAGTTGTCCATGCAGTGGCCCCCTGTTTTAACTATCTTGTCTCTGCCACACTGTCAGCTAGGCAGACAGAGAGACATAAGAGATAGAGAGAGAGTGTGTGGGAGAGGGTAACTAACGTATACATAACTATATCAACCTTGATCGGAAGCCCAAGTCAAACTTCCGGTGTATCCTCGGCGGCGGTAAAGGGCAAGAAGAAGCAAAGAAAGTGCAAAAAAAGGCTGCTTTTGCTTTGTTGGGATTGCAAAGCAAGGCAAGCCATCTTCTCCCTAACTAACTGAATAACAGCTAGCTCGACCTTAGTTATCGAGCTGTGTTATGCCTGAGCTGAAGGAAAGGCGCTTCTTCCCTCGCAGGGCCCAGACAGGGCGTATCTATCTTCTGCATATGTACATCCAGCGTCAACAGCTAACTAGTCATCGAACCATGGCATGGCATTGCATGGCATGGCATCCTTGGTTGATATATTTCTTCTTCTTCTTTTCCTGTTTGTTTCTGTTCTGTTTCTGTTTCTGTTTCTAGGGATAATCACGACAACGGACATCGGCGCTAACTAGCTGTGTATATGTCTGTCTGTATGGCTATATGTATGTAAGGTTGGCATGGGGCACGGCATGAAAGGCATGGCAAAAAAGCACATCACAGCATAAGGAGCACATCACAGCACAGCCAACTTAAGCAGCCGAGCCCAGCTCCCCCAAGCATCCAGCATGAGCCTATCGGGTAACCCAGAGAGAAGGGCGGAGGGAAGAAAGGCCTCGTATTCCGCTAGCAGGTTGTGTAACTCGACCTCCATCATGTATGGGGATGGGGGGGATTTGCCTGCCTGGCCATGTGGACGGAGGCGAGAAGAGGAAGAAGAAAAGAGGAAGAAAGAAAAAGAGAGATGAGTCCCCCTGCATCCGCATGCCCTTGCGCAGCGTGGCCATGCCATGACAAGCGGTAAAGCAGCAGGCATGATGTGTAAGTCGGTAGGTACTTGGGGGTGTACACATGTATGTCAGATGTATAATTTGGACATTAGCCAGTTAGGAGGCCGGCGAGACATGGGAGAAATATAGGGCGGAAGAGGAAAAAGAAAGCAGAAACGGAAGAAGATGAAGAAGTACTTTCTGTGGTTAATTAAGTGTAATGGTGATGTGATTGATGGTTGATAGTAGAGATAGCGAACGATCGGAGATGAAACTGCGAGCGTGTATTATGATCTGTGTATTATGACTCGGGCTCATCTCGGTTTTGCCTCAGGAAGTATACATGACTTAGCCAGCTAGTAGAAAGAAGGTTAAGCGTAGGTGATGAAAATGATATGATGATTTGCGGCTCTTGAGCAGTTTACTCTGTAGGCGGTGCTTGAAAGGGTTAAGGGATGATGGATGAAGCCGTCTGTTAGCGACTCCGACTCCCCTTAACTTCCACCTAGGCAAACGTTAGTATCAGATGCTTTTCTCATCTCTACCCGAGGGAACGGGAAATCACTCAGTAAAAAGTGAAAAAAGCTGCAAAAAAGGGAGGAGATGAAGGAGAAGGATTTGAAAATAAAAAGAGGTGAAGATTAAGCATATGTTTATTAACTAATTTAATAGCCAAGGGAGGACGAAAAGAGGCAGAGGCAGCAGGAAAAGAAGAATAAACATGTCCAAAAAAGCTGCTGGTGCTGCGGCTGGAAAGCAAAAAAAATATAATAAAAAAGATTATTTAACTAGTTATTACAGTTGATGCACCCCCAGTCAAATCCCGAAACACCGGGAGTGTTAGTCTTAGCTCAGAAGAAGGGTAGAGATGAGGGCAGAGGGTAGAGGGACACAGAGAGAGAAGGGATAGGGATAGGGATAGGGAGAGGAAGAGACAGGACCCCCCAGGGAAGTCGACTGGACGAGGGCAAAAGAGAAGACGCCATCTTATCTCTCTCTGTCTCTCCGGCCAGACCCCAGTAAAAGGCTTTTGCTCCGGCTCCGAGCAAGAGGAAGAAAAAGAAACGAAGACGAAAGGGAAAAAAGCACGCCAGGACCGGCCAGGGGTTAGGGATGAAGAAGATGCGCCAGCGCCAGCACCAGCACCAGCGCCAGAAGAAGAAAAAGAAGAAAAAGAGAAAGCCAGTGAGAGAGAGTGAGAGAGAGAAAGAAAGGCCAGGCCAGCCCTTTTCTTTTCTTCTTCTTCTCTTCTTTCTGCACTGTCCTGTTCGGAGCAGGAGAAGAAGGCAGATTCCCACTTTCGATGGCGCAAGCTAGGGGGAAGACGTAGTAACTAAGTAGTAAGAAGAAGGAGAAGGAGAGGGAGACGCAAAAGTCTTCTTCTCTTCACCCCATGCTTGATGCTTGCTCTATTTCTGGACATGGAGGGAGGAAGTTTCTTTGCCTGGGACTAAACTAGTTGCGCGTTACGAGTTAGCCGGTGGGTTCGACATGTATGCAAGTCATCAGCTGATGGAAGAAACACCAGCAGCAGCAGAGACAGGTCGAGATAGGGACGGAAACAGGGACGGGGATGGGAGGATGAAAGATAGGGGATAGTGAGGCATGGAGCTTGCCACCAGGACGGAGATGGCCGTTAAGAAGACCGCGAGAGTCAGAGAGTATGCATCGTAGCAGATACACCGTCGACGATACTCACCGTCGAGCATGAAGAAGACAGGACGAGATGGTCTGGACCACCTGGATCTGGGGATGGGAAGGGCTGGGACGGCCATGTAGACGCCGTTTACTCCGTACGTGCTTAATCCTCGTCCCTTCCTGCCCCCCGACGACCCAACGCTGCTGTTCTCTTTGCTTCTTCCCACGCCTCCTGTCACCGTCAATCGTCATCGTTCGGCCGGAGCATGGTCAATCGTCAATCAGCAAATCGTCGCATCGCCAAAGTGGTTAATCGACACTTTTTTCATCCTCCTTCGTGCTGATCTGGACCCGACGAGTTGGTTGCTGCTGGCGTGGTCAAAAGCTTGGTAGGTTAAAAAAAGGGAGGAGGGCGAAGGAGAGCAGACAATTAGACGAGGCAAGGCAAGGCAGGCAGGACGCGGGAGCAGAAGAAGCAAAGAGGACGGCCTGGGTGGAGGGCAAGGGATGGACCTTGTTCGTCTAGTATCTCTCTATCTCTATCTCTCTCTCTGGCTCGTCCTGTCTCGTCCATGTCTATATGTCTGTCTGTTCAAGGTAACTGGAGAAGGCCTGGAGATGGCCTGAAAAAAGGAAAGCAGCAGCAGGAGATGAGGACGACGACGATGCCAGCCACCGCAATCAAATCCAAGGCCAGCTCAAGTCATCCTGGCCAGCCTTCCCTCTCTCTCTCTTCGGTCTCGCTCTTCTGTGTATCTGTGTCTACTTCTTCTCTGACGTGGAGCTCTTCTCTGCTCTGGTGTCTGTCTCCTTTGCTTCTTCCGCTTCCCTCTTCGTCCTCGTATTTTTCTTTTCTTTTGCCCCTTTGGCTGGTAAGAACCGTTTCGGCCACGTTGGTACTAAAAAAAGGCCGTCCAGTCGCCGTCCGCAGCAGACAGACAGAAGAGACGGAGAGAGAGTGAGAAGACGGATCCCTGGCCTGGGCCTTAGACTTTTTTCGACTTAACTGACCACTTTAGCCTTTTGACTGAGAGTCTATGCCCTTTTCTCCGGTCGAGGACGAAGACGAAGACGAAGACGATGAAAAAGCAAAGGGACGGGGAAGAAGCAAAGTGGTTGGCCAGACGGACGGAGGAGGTCAAGGTCAAGGGCTGCGTTGTCTCAAGATAATAGTCTTCGGCCACGAGATGAGATACATACAGAGGACAGAGGGTACAGAGAGCACAGATACAGATACAGATGGAGAGACCCTGTGGTACCTATAAGCAGCTGCTAGTCAAGCTGGTCGATAGCAGGACGCCTGATATAGCGAGATGTCGGCCAGGGTCAACCACCGGGACGGTCGAGTTTGATATCCTTCACTCTCTCTGTCTCTCTCTGTCTCCCTCGCATAACTCAATCTCCACGAGGAAATATTAAAAAAAAGAACAGGAAGAAGCAAAAAAGACGAAGAAGAAGAAAAGAAAAGAGTAAAAAAAGAAGAAGAGACAAAACCTTTTTTTACTCTTTTCTTTGCTTCTTCTGCTTCCCCAACTTTCGTCGTCGTCTTTGCTTTTTGGTAGTTATCTTCCTGCTGCCTCCGTCCACCCCCTGGATGAGAGTTAGTGGCCGGTGAAGCCTTGCCTTGCCTCTTCTCCATCTCTCTCCATCTCTCCATCTCTATCTAATCCTGTCGATGCAGGTCAAAGTCTTCGTCCTCGTCTTCGTCTGCTTCTTCAGGTTTGCCTTCTCGCGTGCTCTGTCATACCTTGCTTGCTCTTTGCTTCTTCCCCTTATCAACTCTACCTTACAGCATCAGCAACAGGGATACCTCTCTCTCTCTCTCTACCTGTCTTCTCTTCGCTGACTATTGCTTTTTTCCTTCTTCATACTCCCTCTCTCTCACTTGTCACTGCTTTTGCCTCTCCCCTTTCTCGGTATAAGGCCGACCCAGCCAGGTGGCAGCAGAGAGTCTATACTCCAGTCTGAACGGATATCTACCTTTTTCCTTCTTAGTTAACACCAGCTAGTAGTTAGTTTACTTACTCCGTACATAGACTAGACCAGTAACAAGCAGAAGTAGCAACAGCAGTAGAGGAAGAGAAGAAGAAGGCCATGTTTACAGATGATATCATCATCAGGTCCTTGAAAACCCGCTGCGTGAGCCAGTGACAGTGACAGCCAGCTAACGAGAGCTAGCTAGCCTTGCCTCCGCTGCCTCTGTCTCTGCTGCTGCTGCTGCTCTGCCTCTTCTCTCCATCTCTTCTCTTTTCTTTTCTTTTTTGCTGTATATATTTGCTTCTTCCGTCTTTTCACTTTCTTCCCTGTCTGGGCGTTTCATGGGCCTTTTTTCTTCGCTGCCCTCTCTCTTCTCTGCCCTCTCTCTGCCCTCTCGCTGCCTCTGCCTCATTCCACCTTTTCTTACTATCTGCTTATGCCTTTTTTCATCCTTAAAAATTAAGTGACTAGCTTGCCAAGATAGGCCTTTTTTTCTTTTCTTCTTTTCTTTCTTTTTTACTCCTTGCGACTATCTATCAAGCTTGTTCGTTGGTGATAATAACTTTCTATATATAATATATATACATTCACTCCGTATATATATAGTTATATATCTCCCTGCCCTCCTCCCCCGCCGGGTCCAGTGTCATATACAGAACATCTATATGCCATCGGCTCTTCTTCTTTCTTTGATACCTCTTGCTCACGCCATGACTGCTGCTGTCTTCCTATAGCTAGCCCTGGTATCTTGCATCTTGCTCTCGCAATCGCATCTCCGGCCTTTTTGCATCCGCCGTCGTTCTCCTACTTACTCCCGCTCCTGACCAACCAACCACCCCATACATACATAACACACTCCCCCAAAACACACACCTACACACACATATACACACCAAGATGGACATGGAACAAGCCTGTCTAAAGGGGATGGACAGTCCTCCACAGTCGGCAGAGGAGAAACCCTCCAAGGACGCTGCTCAGAAGGCCAAGGGACCTCGCAAACGGACAAAGACCGGCTGCCTCAGTAAGTCTTTCTTGTATAGCTATCCCATTGATACAACCACGACAGCCACTAACAGCTCCTAGCATGCCGCAAGAGACGCATCAAGTGCGGCGAAGAGAAGCCCAGATGCAACAATTGCATCAAGTCCAAGAGAGAATGCGAAGGCTACGGCCAGCGAGTCGTCTTCAGACACCCCGTCGGCCCCATCCCCCATCTCGGTCCCATCCGCCAGATCCAGGGCATGGGAGGCATGCCAGGCATGCCCATGATGGCAGGCTCCTTCGGCCACTCCATGCAGCACATCGAAGCCGCCTCTGCCTCTCGACCGGCCCTGCTCCCCATCGCTCCTCGCCCTTCCTACCACCACGCTCACCCAGACGACATGCCCCGGCATCACTCCTACTCCTCCTCTGCCTCAGATCCCTACGCCTCCTCGACACATCTCCACTCGGCCATCAGCCCGGACCAGCCCCCGTACACCTGGGACTCCGTCTCGTACAGTGACGGCTCATACATACCAACTTCTTCCGCTGCCGTCTCTGCTGCTGCCGGCACTGCTCACCACTATGCCACTTCTACCTGCTCCGCCAGCTATCCCTCGTCTGAGGCTCCCTATCCGCATCAGGAATATGCATACGAGGACACCAACACCGGCTGGGATGACGCTGGCCAGCAGCTACAGCCATATGAAGCTGCGGCTGCATATCAGGCCCAGCTCTCACTCCAAGTATGTTTATGCTTCCTGTCCTTTTTTTTTTTTTCGCTTCTTGTAATAGGCAGTACCAACAACATAGCTAACAGGACAGGGATTACATCCTCACTCGTCGATAGTCACGCCAACACCCGAATGTATGGGCACATACCGATTCATAGTAATGTAGCACTGACTAAAAGGTTTCTACGTCCAGATGTTCGACATGATCATGTTTCTACTACTACTTCTACTGCTACTACTGCTACTACTTACACTGCTACTTCTACTACTACTACTACTACTTCTACTACATTGGTGCCTAAGTTGGAGTCAAAGGAGGTGCTGCTTTTCCCCCATTCCCATGATGCTAATGCCCTTAACCAACATCGCCAACAACATAACGTGGTGATGCACGATGTTGGAGAGGAGAGTGATGACTATTATGATGTCGAGACAGACGAGGAGCCGGATGATCAGTATTCTTCTGCTGCTCCAGCTGCTACTGCTGCTGCTTCTACTGCATGCTATACAGTACCAGGCAAAGACAGCTCCTACTACCCTTCTTCTGCACTCGCAGTATCTAATCCGCCCTTCGCGAGTTATATGAATTATGATAATTTATTGGCCACTTACCGCCCGTCTCCCTTAACTTCCCCCCTTATCGACCCTGAGGTCGCCAAAATATTCTCCCACTTCATAGGCTCAATTGGCACCATTATATCCATCTTCGAGCGCAAGAGCAGTATCGCGCCGTTTCTCAACGACTTCTGCCCCCTGCCCACCGAGCAGCAGAGCCTTTTCACCCATACCCTGCCGACCCTGGCCCTGGAAAACCATGGCCTGCTTCACTCCATCCTGGCCCTGGGAAGTGCGCACCTCGCCAACACCACGGGACAGTCCTCGTCACCGGCGTTCAGGCACTACCACTTTGCCCTGCGTCGCATAAGCAAGGCCGTCGGCCTGCCGCAGAAACGGAAACAGATTCCAACGCTTGCTGCCACCTTGCTGCTTGGCTTCTTTGAAGTCATAGCGGCCGAACACTCTAAATGGTGCAGCCATGTCGCCGGAGCGTCGCAGCTGATCCGGGATATCGACTTTGCAGGCATGACCAGACGCATTCGAGCGATGAGAGCGCGCGCCAGAAAGCAAAAGTCCGTCGCTGGCGAGAAGTCGTGGACTCGAGCTGGTGATTTCAGGCTTGATACGTTCTTTGAGAATGACATCTATGCGCCGATCGAACGGGAGATCGACGTCGATCTAGTCGGTGCGATCATCGGTAGAGAAACGAGCTATGATGATGCGACGCTGGCGGAGTCTGAGCATGAGCAGCCGCTCACGGCGAAGGATATCGAGGATCACAGGATACGGACCGACCTCTACTGGCATTACTGCAAGCAGGATCTCTTCCAGAGCCTCATCAGCGGCAACCCCTTACTGTATGTACCATCATCCGTCAGCCCGTCATGCCCCTTTCCTTGCATTTCCCTTCCCTTCCCTTCCCTTCCTTTAATTCCTTCACTTCCCCGTCAGCGAGTGTCCTAATAGGGGTAATGCTGACTGCTGCAGTCTCCCGTACGATAAATGGGCACAGACTCCACCACGCTCAGCCGTCGGTAGGATCCAGACAGCCTACGGGACGATGGACCATCTCCTACTGCTGCTCGCGCGCATCTCAGCCTTTGGCGTCCGCGACAGAAAGCGGAAACTCAAGGTCATGGAAGAAAACGGGGGAGAATGGCGGCCGCCTCCCAACATGTTTCCTCCTGGCATGGCGCGGCCTCCTCCTGCTGCTGCCCATTCGACTGGGGGTGCCCCTGGCGGCCCGCCCAGGCCCAAACAACCACCACCATCAGCGAACCGGGACAAGAGCCCGCCCATGTACGGCATGCTACCAGCGGGCCCCGTCAAGCTGTTTTCAGGCTTCGCAGCAGGTTCAGCACACCACCCCTCCGGCTCTGCATCGTCACCCAGCACAACGAGCACCGATGAGACTGATCTAGACGCCCGCACTGCACAGGCAGAGGCCGAGTGGCAAGACATCCTCGCTGCATGCGAGCGTTTCGAGCAAGCCATGGGTCCAGCCTTTGCTCCGTTGCCCCCAGACGGAGCACCTCTGATCACGAGCCCGTTTGGCCCTGCATTGCAATACCGCACCCACATCATTGGCTGTATCTGGGGCCTCTACTATATGGGCCGTATTATCCTCCATCGATTCCACCCTTCCATGCCTCCCGCTGCAACCATGGCTGCAGTCGTAGCTGCCCCGAGAACAGCCCAGTATGCGCAAAACATCGGTCGTGTGGCTGCCGGGATCCCCTACGACCACCGCCTGCACAACAACGTCAACAACAATAGCGCTTTCTGCTCCGCGTCTGCCGGCGTTGGCGTTGGCGCTGGTGCCAGCTCGAATCTAAACGTTACTATCGCAGGGGTGCTGCACGAGCTTACCGTATGCCTTTTCTTCGCTGCAGTGCAGTACGTCAACCCTGCGCAACGAGCCTGGACGGTGGCAATGCTACGTGACATATCCATTATAACGGGCAGCAAGTCTCCGATCGCTATCGCTCGAGGCTGCGAGACATCCTGGACCAAGGCGTTTGAAGCCGGTCGAGGCCCACCGCACCAGCGTATGGTTTTCGACTTCGATCCCAACCTCGTGTGCAGTCGTGAGGGCGTCGTTGCAGACCATAGCGACGATAGACGCTGGGTCGCTGTGCATCGTGGCGGCTCGATCTCTTGGGCCATGGGCTTGCTGTCGATCGATAATGATTATGCTGGTGGCGGAGAGTAGTTAGTTAGGGGGGGACCTTTCTACGTGACACAACTATCATGATGAACGAATTGACGATGACTTGACGATGATGTACACTGAACCAGGGAGTATTCCGTATTCCTGGCTTTCTTAACTCTCTTCTCTTTTCTGCTGTGTTGCTTTTTTTTAACGTGATGTACCCATGTAAATATAATGCTTTTCAATCATAGCCTTTTCACACTTTCGGTAGCAAATCATCATATAACTATTCTTTATAGGAAACGTTCTGAAAAAATAACTAATATAATCCCTTATCATGCCATTGACCATAACTGCGTTTATCCAGTTCATTCCAAACTACATAACCATGAAATCCACCTGTCTTTCCTAGATGAGATACCCAATTGCACCGTCAAGATTACCGTTCGCAGCATCAAGCGCCTGTATAGCTTCGTCCCGCGTGAATCCCAAGTCAGTTATTTTGGCAATGGATTCGGCTGGCCAGCGCGAGGCTCGCTGCTGAGGGATATTAGATGATAGTTCTGACGGACCACTAACGGCTGGAGTAGCAGGGATACGAACAGAGACATTGCCTCCAGTAGCGGGGAAACGAACGGTGGTAGTAAGAGGAGGGGAAGAAGCAGAAGCACCAGCACGAACAGAGGCAATGCCTCCAGTAGCAGTGGTACGAACGGTGGTAGTAAGAGGAGGGGCAGTACCAGGAGCAGCAGCAGAACCAGGAGTAGGACCAGTTGGAAGAGGACGTTGTAACGAAGTAGGCAGCGCAGGCCTCTGGAAGGGAGACATCCCCCCGGCCGCAGCGGGACGCTGCACGGCACCAGTCCTCCCTCCGATGATAGCTCCATCCGATCCCCTGACCAAGGGCTCATTTTCCAATTCGTCTTGATGCTTGGGTATATCAGCTTCGTGGAGGAAGGGCACCGTCTCATCACGAATCTTGAGCACGCCTTCCTTCAGGTCGATGCATGCTTGGTGGCGTTTAAGCATGTCTAGGCCTAGCAGGAGATCGATGTGCTTTCCATCCATGACCGTGAAGGAACAAGGAAGATACATGTCGCCGATTCGGATCTCGGCGCAATGCACACGTCCCAGGATGTCAGCGGTACCTACACCCTTTGCAATACCGCCATATCGGCGGTCGATCAATCGCATGATATTGCAGGCTGAGGCGCACGCGGGTGACATGATAGTGACTTGGGCGCCGGAGTCAACGAACGCCTTCACCTTGTGTCCATTCACCTCTACGGGGATGTACAGCATAGTTACTCGACCAAATGCTATATTTTTTAAAGTCAGAATAAGAGTAAAAAAATCTGTGCAAGCAATACCAAACGACATACCTTCGGGAGTGTGCTCCATGGCCGCATGTAAGTTCTCCGTAACAGCATTCTGACGAATAATCTCCTCGATCTCTCGCTGTGCATCAAGATTGAACGGATCCGAGTTCAACATGGCTATTCTGGCCTGCTTTGCTGCTTCGGCTTGCGCCTCAGCCCGTCGATCAGAGAGCATTATCTCCCGAAACCGCCGCGAATCGTTTACCGCGCCCGCCAGCGTCGGATTCTGCTGCCTAACTGCCGCTAGCACTCGTGGGTCACCCAGCATATGCAGCCTTATCGTCTCTGGATCTGGTAGCCTCGGCTGCTCGCGTGAAGAGTCACCCTGCTGCGACGCCGCTCCAGCACTGCCAGCATCTCCCCCTGCAGGGCCAGCAGCAGCACCAGCACTGGAAGGCGAGGGGTTACCCTGTCCTGGCCCAGAACCCGGAATTGATACTCGTATACGCATAGCCAGCATGTCACCTTCACTTATGCCTAGCTGCCCCAACGGCTTCGAGTCATCTCGCAACTGTATGCTGTTGTAGAAGAGGAACTGCGACTCTGGGGGGATTTGGACTTCGCTCTGTATGACGGCCTTGAGGTCCGCCAGCGTCATGTCCTCGCCGACCTCGAGAGACACGATATCCGAGCTGATGGTCACGTTCGACGCGACAACAGAGACCGTGATGCGCCTGTCACTCACTGGTTAGTATGGAGAAACCCTGCTAACGTAGCTGTAGGTCACTTACATCTTGCACCGGTAGCAGTAGACAGCGTAGTGTGTTAATGTGAATGTATATGTATGGAGTGCTTCCCTAAGGATCTTCCGTATCCGTGTCTCTTGTATATGCTATCTGGTCCCTAAAAGAAGATCTCTCGTTTCGTGGTTGAAGTTGAAGATGAAGATGAAGCTAAGGCTGAGGTTGAGGTTGAGGGAGTTGGAGATGGAGCCGGAGTCGTTAATAAAAGAAAAATAGGCTCCGGAGCAAATGACGCAGGCGGCTCTTTTTCTTCACGACGACACAACAGCAACAGTAGCAACTCCAACAGCAGCAGCTTAGAGAGACCTGGCTCTTCTCGACTGTGTCTGTCTGATAGGTACCTGACGGAAGTTTGTCTGAAGTCTGTCTGAAGTCCGCGGGTAATTTGTGAGGGAAACAAGAGGATGCGGAGGGCACAAGACAGCCGAAGAAGCGCCTGCAGCTAAGTAAGTAATGAATGATCCTGGGGTTATAGCACGAAGAAGCCAGCCCTCAACGAAGGGGAGCAGCAGTTTTTTTATATTCTTTAGTATCGAGAGCTCGCTGCCTGTTTGTTCCTTTCTTTCTTTTCTTTTCTTTTCTTTTACGATCAAGCTAACTCTATCGAACCAGGTCGGACAGCGGACGAGGACTGCCCAATCCACCGAAGCAACGGGAAGGGAGAAGAAGCAGACCGCAAGCCGCGAATTAGTAACAGTTCGCGCCCATCCATGCAGTCTGATTCATATTGATTGCCTCCTGCGTCTGCGCGCGAATGCAAGGCCGCCATTCTTCCTCGTCACTGTTACCAGACTTGGATCCAAACGGAGGCGGGAGTGCGTTCCATTGGCCGGGGAGCGTGAAACTCGAGAAGCATGCACCCGTTTATCAACCCGGATCTGGATGGAAACACAAAAAGGGCGCCGTTGGAGTAACACTGTCATCCATCCATCCCGGGAGTGTGAATAAATGATCCTCGCGGCCGTCTTTCTCTTCTGGGTTTCTTGCTTTGCCATTTTCGTGCAGGAGGCGGCCCGAGATGCTGCATATCAATAGGATACGATGTGCCTCCCGTCTTGTCCTCAGATGGGCAAACGCAGGGATGCACAGCGTTTGTCAACTGCAGCTGAGATATATGTCTCACCATTCATGTTCTCTGGCGTAGCTGGCACCATTCACCAAAAGGGGCAATACCTAATCTCCCGTTTGCCCCGTCACGGCTGCGTGGTATCACACACCGTGGGCAGACTCCAATACCCAAAACTACCTTTCTCGCCATGACAGAAAGGGTCAAGATCTAGAGGACGAAGGAAGAGGGGAGCGGACACTACTGGCACCCCTTGCTGCTCGGTACGGTGATCCAGGCTTTTATCACGCTTCCCTGTACATAGCGGTCTGGCGCATTCACCCACTCTGATTACAGTACAAGCTGGCAGCAGTCTCCAGAGGGGTCCAGATACCTGCAGGGGAAAATGCTCCATGAAGCCGCCTACCTACATATGCGGTTGAACGTCGACCTGGCTAAAACATTGACCAACTAGCTACAGAGTACCTCCAAGGTAGTCAGCACCAGAGGCTCTCCAGTTGCCTTTCCGGGCGACTTCCGTTTGTCCAGTTGATATTGATATCTTCCCTTGTTTGCTAGAGATATACTTGGACGCCTATCCCACAAGCTAGCACTGCCCTATTTGGTCAAGGGAGTTTCTTTGACCTCTCCCCGAGCATGTATCACGATGCACAATGCTTAGTTAAATAGCCGTATTATGAATGACTGTAGCCTTGCTCCATATGTGAAGAATATTCAACGTTTGACTAGAGCATGTCTATCACCCGGACTAGACTCCTGGACCTCTGTCTATACCTCGCAGATACCTTGACCTCCAGCTGCATCCTGCGCATCAACCAGGTATCTCCCTTGTACCGACGCCAAGTGCAGCGAAATTCTATATTTTATCTTCGGCAGAGCAAACGAAAAATTACGACGCAGGCCGTCTCGACTTCTCTCGACCTCTCTCGACCTTCGACCTCCGCCGTTTCCCCTTGCCAGAACGCTTAGAAAACGACCAACACCACCATCCACGCTCCAGCCCAACAGCCAGTGTCCCCGTCCCTTTCTGTCTCTGCTCAGCTCTCGAGACACTCCTCTACCCAGCCAGCCCTATCTCCCACCCCCTTATCGCCCAGGTTGTCCCGCAGTTAGACTCGGTGCCTCCAGACGCCACAGCTTTGCAAACGAGCTGATCACCCCTCCACGCCCTTCGCCAGGTCGACGTCCGGCGCAGTCTCGTGGGATAACAACATCTTAAAGGTAGAAAATCCATGCGCTGCTGTCTGGAATCTGTTTGATCGTCGCGTTCTGCTCTAGTTCTGTTTTCTTGCCGGTGCCGTGGTGTCTCGTCTGCTCGCTACTCTGTGCGCAGGCGCCAGGATGAACGGCGAAGTTCTACCTACCACTTTTTTACTGTAGTTAGATGGAGATGAAGAGGAAGAAAGATGTGACGCCTTAAGCTGTGATACTCGTGTCTTGTCGCCTTTTTTTTTTTTTTTTTTGGCTGTGCTTCCTGCGTCTCCTTCCTTGTCCTGGTGCTGCTGCTGCTGTTTTTTTCCTTCTCGCTAGCCTTACAATCTACACTTCCGAATTAAGCGCCGTCCTGTTATTCGTTCTGTTGCTCTGTCCTAGAAGCCATGCTAACCGCCTTTAAAAGGAACCAGTATCCGCATATCTGCAGCCTGTAACGAGAGAGGAGGACAATCATCGTGGAACCCAGCCCTGAGGACAACCAGCTGATACTCTTATCCTCCGTTTTTTCCCTTGTCCCTGTGCCGGAGACCCGCTGGCTATTTAACTATCACCATGGCTGAAGGCACTTCCATATCCACGACCCCGGTCGACGAAACACACGAGACAAACCCCCCTGCTTTCCACGCCATTCGTCTAAATGACGTCTCGGGGCTTACCGGCCGACCTACGCCTCTGCCTCGGAAACTCTTCCTCAAGCAGCGATCTGAGCTCTTCAATGGGGCTGGCGCTAATAGACTAGCGGGGGGTGAGGGGGAAGAGGACGATGAGGATGATGACGACGACGACGACGATGATGATGTTGAAGACATATACCCAAATGGCAACGGTTCCTATGGCACGGTTGAGGATGATTTCGTAGCTGTTAATCATTCGGATGCCTCGGATTATCCTTGGTATATGCGGTCGCGGGTACCGGCAAGGAGTTCAGAGCTATCCAAGCTCCACCCATATGTGCAGTTACTCTCAGTCTCAGATCTTGACGACTGTGAAAAGGTCGAGGCAGCATTCCCTGAGTCCGAAAGATGTTCGAGAGAAAACGTACGTATTTCTACCCCGGACACTCTGCCACAGTTTTACCTTCAATCATGTTCCCACTAATAAGTTCGCCTTAGTTAATGTACCGTCTTTCGAAATGTCCTGAGCTTTCTCTTGGAATCTTCTCCATCCCACCAGCTACTGCGGACAACGAGAAACCAAGGCCGGCAGTCGTTGCTCACATTCTCGCAACCAGAACAACGTCGCCCGTGGTTACGAATGCGACAATGGGGATCCCAAAGGACTGGAGAACTAAACAGTCTACCCTACCAAGCGCAGGCGATGAGGAGCCCATCGGCCACCAGGACCAGGGTTCTACCATAGCCATCCACTCCCTTGCTGTTCTTCCTGAACACCAGGACAAGGGCCTCGGCAAAATGCTGCTAAAGTCGTATATCCAGCGGATCCAGGATGCGAAAATTGCTGATCGAATTGCCCTGCTTGCCCATGATCATCTTCTTCCATTTTACGTCGGCCTCGGATTCGAGAATGCTGGACGCAGTAAATGCACTTTTGGCGGTGGTGGCTGGAATGACTTGGTATGCACCCCTTACTCCCTCCGCTTTACTTTTTTGTTTCCTATTATACTAACTTGCTATTTGAACAGGTCTTCGATCTCAACAAGACCATCAACTAAGCTTTACACGCGCTAGTGTTACATTTTGCCTTTCCTATTTTTGCTGATGGGGTTTCTGACTTGAGTGGAGGGGAACGTTGCTCGGTCTTGCATGTGGTTGGCTTTTGCAATTATTTGGGCGGTCGGTCGGTTGGTGTGCATGCATCATTATCTATATCAGCTCTATACCTAAACGTGGTGACTGGTGTCCCCAGCAATGGTTGGAAAAGCATTGCTACGTGTTATGGATATAACGAACACACGGGGCAGATATCAGGGACGAAAAGGATGAAACTGTATTATAGCAACAGCAATAATATCACTGTGCAAATACACCAGAGCGTGGCTGTCATTGTAAAATTTGATGCTCTCTTTATTGCGTCGAGGATGGTACCATAGCATTAACAGTCGCAAGCCCTGGAGTTTTGATGGAGTAGATACCATCTCCGTAGCGTTAGTATGATATTTGGATATTTTGTCTCTAACGATGCCAAATCACCCGATTATCTCCTGCTCTTGCATTCTTCACAGTCCCAGGCAGGTTATTTTGAGACCGTTCAATTTGTCGTTTTTGCCATAGAAGGGAAGTCGTTGGATTGGCCAATCGGAAGTCGCACCGGGCAGACAAACTATTGATTACCTAATAGAATGCGGAACAGAGATAATCCATTATTATAAACCAGTCACGTGGCTGGTTAAAACTGCCGTGAGTAACTGCCAAGATCCCGGGAAAAACTTCCGTTTGTGGCTGCAAAAATTCTCGAAATCCAAAAAAAAAAGTTTCCCACCTTCAGATAAAGACGGGAATTTTTGATTTCACGCGGAAGCAACAGAGATCATCGTGAGCTTCGGACCTGAGACTAATACCAAGGGACGATTTCTCGAGCTCACCATGAAGACCACCTGGAAGGATGTAAGTTAATCTCCTTTGCGTATTATCTTTTTTCGCACGTCCCAGCGTTGATGCTCTCGTCTGGGTGGGAGAAAAACGGTATCTAACTGTGCATTGCCAAACAGATCCAGCCGGTGCCAACGCATCAGGAGTTTCTCGATATTGTCCTGAGTCGAACCCAGAGACGGCTGCCAACACAGATTCGTGCTGGATTCAAGATTAGTCGTATCAGAGGTAGGCGCTGGGACCTCTACGGGCGGAGTGGTGAGGGCCATGTCGGCTAATGAGATATCAATACGATAGCGTTCTATACACGAAAGGTCAAATTCACCTCTGAGACTTTCTGTGAGAAGTTTTCAGCAATTCTCGAAGGATTCCCAAGACTACAGGATGTCCATCCATTCCGTATGGTTTACCTTCCTCCAAAGATATGGCGAGATTTGACCCCTTCAATGAAGGCTCACCTTGGAGTGTGCGCTAATCAGAAAATTTCCCCCGGCTTTAGATAAGGATCTTTTGAACACCTTGTACGATGCCGACCATTTCAGAATTGCACTCGGCCAACTGTCGACTGCCAAACGCCTTGTTGAGACCGTTTCCCGTGATTATGTTCGCCTTCTCAAATATGCACAGTCTCTTTTCCAGTGCAAGCAGTTGAAAAGAGCCGCTCTTGGTCGTATGGCGACTATCTGCAAGCGTTTGAAGGATCCGCTGCTCTATCTTGAGCAAGTTCGTCAGCATCTAGGTCGTCTTCCCGCAATTGATCCCAATACTCGAACTCTTCTTATTTGCGGATATCCAAACGTTGGTAAATCTAGCTTCTTGAGAAGTGTCACGAAAGCGGATGTAGATGTTCAGCCATATGCTTTCACCACTAAAAGCTTGTTTGTTGGACATTTCGACTACAAATATCTTCGTTTCCAGGCCATCGACACCCCGGGAATTCTCGACCATCCTCTTGAAGAAATGAACACCATCGAAATGCAGTCGATCACAGCTATTGCCCACTTGAGGTCTGCCATTTTGTACTTTATGGATCTTTCGGAACAGTGCGGATACTCGGTTATGGATCAGCTTAAGCTTTTTAACAGCATCAAGCCGCTTTTCTCCAACAAGCTTGTTTTCATCGTCATCAACAAGATCGACGTTATGCGCCCCGAAGATCTTGATCCAGAGACTCAGGAACAACTACAGGCCGTTCTGAAGTCAGCCGGCGTGGAGATGTTGCAACTTTCATGCGCTACGACGGAGGGAGTCACTGCTGTGAAAAATGCGGCTTGCGACAGGCTTATCGCAGAAAGAGTTGCTCAGAAGCTGAACACTGGAGCGAACAGCTCAGGAACGCCATCAGGACGATTGGGCGATGTCCTGGCTCGTATTCACGTCGCTCAACCCATTGGTGGTGTTCGGGAGTCCTTCATCCCTGACGCCGTCAAAGACCTCAAGAAATATGATAAAAGTGATCCGAACAGACGCAAACTTGCCAGAGATATTGAAGAAGAGAACGGCGGTGCTGGCGTTTATAGCGCTAATGTGAAGGATAGCTACCTTCTCGCTGACGATGAGTGGAAGAACGATAAAATGCCTGAATTATGGGAAGGAAAGAACATCTATGACTATGTTGATCCCGATATTGAAGAGAAACTGGCACAGTTGGAAGAAGAAGAGGAGAAGCTAGAAGCAGAGGGATACTACGACTCTGATGAATCTGTGGAAGATGCCGACGAGGCTGAAATTCGCATGAAAGCAGACCTGATTAGAGACAAACGGGCCCTGATAATGAACGAGTCGAAGATGAGGAAATCCCTCAAGAACCGCGCACTTATTCCGCGAAGCTCACGAAGCAAGAAGCTATCGGACATGGAGAAGCATCTCGACTCGATCGGATATGACGCAACTTCTTCCTCTGCGCGAGCCAAGACCCAAGCACAACCTCGTGGCCGCAGCACCACCAGGGACGAGCCGGATGCCATGGACGTCGATACCCCAGAGTCACAACATGATGCACTCCGACGAGCTGTCAGCCGTGCACGAAGCCAGGCAGCTACCAATCGCCGTGTGGACGGTGTTACTAGCTTGACACGAAGGTCTGATGCAGAAAAACTCATGAAGCTCGGCCAGAAGAAAATGAACCGTATGGCCAGACAGGGAGAGGCAGACAGACACACCCCTGCTTCTCTGCCAAAGCATTTGGTATGTTCGCTTTTCTGGTTCTTGTCTCCTTGTTTCTTTGCCACATCACTAACTTTTTTTCTCTTTTCTAGTTTACTGGCAAGCGTTCCATCGGCAAGACCCAGCGACGTTAAGGAAATTCAAGTTGATATCATTTCATTTCAGGCTTCGTTACTTTATCATCTAATGCCTTGTTTTCCATGACGAAATGACAGTATCCTGTTTGTTTTGTTTGTTTGTTTTCGTTTTGGAAGAACCGAAGAACCCCCGGAGTTAGCGGTGTTATGGCTTTGGTTTCTCTTATTTTGTATAGAACGGTAATGAGTGACCTTGTCAAGGGGAAAAGTTTCATCCTAGCCTCAGTTGAAAATACTTATATACACCAACCAAACTCTTCCTACACTCCCCATTCCTGTTCCTTATCATCATCCGCTGTGTTCACCAACCTTGGAAGTTAAGCATAAATTAAAGTTTGATATTGAGTTCGATGACTAAGCAGCTCCCTGGGTCGCATGACATAACTCGCCAAGCCTCCTCGCCTCTTACTAACCCTTCCCCAATATTTCGGCTTTCTCCCAGCTCCAGGTCCAGCTCTCTCACGACCAACATCACACGAGATAGGGCTATATCTACTGCATAGTACTCCGTACAGACTGCTCTCATTACTAGCTCTTGCCGACAAGGGGGCAGCTGCTACTACCTATTCATATCCTATACGGTCTTCCTATCCAACACCCGCCCGTCCTTCAGCCTTTCTATATTTCGTCATCATGCGTTTCTCTTCCCCTGCTCTCGTCGCCGTCCTCCTCTCTCCTCTTGCTCTAGCCGCTCCGCCTTCTCTTTTCCGCGATACCTCACAAGTATTCCTACATACCGATCAAGACCTCAAAGTTCCTGGTGTCAACCCTCTAGAGTTCTGTGATGACCCAGCAAATAACCTTCTTACGATTGAGAGGGTAGATCTCTCTCCGAACCCACCAGTCCCGTATGTCGTTGACTCCAACTTTCCTCTGCCTGGTGATCTATCTATATACCTTTAGCAGTAACTCATGCTAACATACAATATACTACAGTGGCCAACCCCTCGTCATCAAAGCGTCCGGCATCTTCTCCGAGAGGATTGAAAAGGGAGCTACTGTTCACTTGCAGGTCACATATGGCTTCCTTCAGTTAATAAATATGGATATGGATCTATGTGATCAAACCGATAAGGTCGGACTGAACTGCCCGATCGAGAAGGGAAAGACGGTACTTAAGAAGACCGTGGATATTCCCCAGCAGGTTCCTCCAGTATGTCATCCTTCATTCTTTTCCAAAATAACACAGAAGACTAATATGTTATTCTTGAACAGGGCAAATACATTGTCCGAGCAGACGTTTTGACTGCCGACAAAAAACCAGTTACCTGTCTTACAGCTTCCGTCGTCTTCGAGATCAAAGTGTAAAGGCTATGTTAATGCACCTTAATGGAGTGGCTATGACCTATTGAGTATCACGACTCGCCGTGTGCTGTTTGGGTCATTTTTAGCTGCCGTTGGATCATCCATCCGGGCATCATACGTCAACGGAACGACTGGCCCCGGACTGATACGATACGATGAGATGTAGTATGAGTTGTGCTGTGACCCTTTGGAGAAGCCCTTTGATCATGTTGCTCATGTTGACAGAATTGCAGTGACTTGTTTTTTTTACCGAGCCTTTGGGCCAATGGGGCTCTGCTCCATACCACTAGCCCATAGCTATGGTATCCCTTCCATCCGTTTCTACATATCTTTTGAGGAATGCTAGCGCTTGTTCTACTGAATTTTGGGTTTTTGTTTCTGCATGTTCAATATCTCGTTTATCTGATCTACTCATTTCCTATTTCGTTAATGTTTATCCCGTTCGGTTCTTTCAGTCACATAGATAACCATAATACGCAAACAATAGCTGAGAATATATAGATCGTATAATTTTCAGCTACTGCATTCCTTAGGATATGGTTGTAACTACCATATCTACCAGAACCAGCCACCGTTCTTAAACTGCATCAGGCTCTATATCATCATGAACTATCACCGAAATATATAATGATCAAAAACAGAACCCTTCTCCCGCACTGAAAACAATGTTTACTCGCCAAAGAGTCTTCTCACACGTCTTAATACGCTGTCCTTCTCAGGGTCATAAGGATGATCCTTGCTTGGGATCTCAAGGACGGCCGGGAAAGCGTCGGTGAAGCTGTCTACGCTATTGCGTATCCTTTCAGCAACCTATTTGGAACGGTAAAAATTAACAGGTTATCCCGACTTTTAACCAACGATCAAAAAGCTGCATACATGCTGATTTATGAGTAAGACGCCAATATCTTTTCTCTCTTGTGTGAAGTTTTTAAATGCCTTTTCAATGGCACTCGTTTCGGTCTTGGAGTCAACGACTAGGAAATTGCGCTGGGAGTCTGGAGGGTCCGTTACGTGCTGAGCAGCCTGGGTTAGTTTCTCCATCAAAAAGTACAGTGTCCTCTTCATCGATGCTGTGGGGGGGAATTTATGGTTAGTAGTATAGATGTACTCACACCTATGCCGGCAAGTAGAAGGCCCGTCACAGAGCTATATTACACGACGCTGTTAGTAACACCCTTGGATGTAAATATTGGGTGGTATCTCACTCTTCATCTCCGATAACGGCAAGGAATTGCCTGTCCTAGATATCAAACGGAAAGCGATCAGTATCAAGCTTGCTGGACTGCCGATATGTTTGGATGGCTTGGGATTAGGATGAGGGACGCTTTACCTTCGAGCCTGAAGACATACTGCTTCTGACGGCTCAATAGCGGAGCGAACAAGGGCCCTAGCACGATATGACGGCTGTACGGGACAGGTAATCGATATCTCCGAAGTTTTCGATTCCCTCTTTGCAAAAGAAACAGGCAGATAGAACAACAGCTCCGTTATTCTCGTCCGCAAGCTGTTGTTGGCTGATTGGTCTTGGAGCTGCTTATCGGACTGCACATGATCTCATTAGCTTATGTAATCTAATACCTTCTACTTCTTTATAACTGCCTACACGATTGATACGATAAAACAATTACCTAGGTAATTAAATGCTTCGTAAATAAGCAAACTGCATTGGATCTACTTATGTATATGACCTTTGATACTCTTTCAACTTGCTCTCTCGCCTGTCTATGCTCCAACCTTCCAGGCCATTTTGTATCTGTCACGTGACGAAACTTCCGCGGCAACCGCTTTGGAAACCAACAACAAATAGTTTTTCTTCAACAGCAACAGAGCAACAAGACAGAAATTGAACATCGACACCAAGCTTAGATACTACGTGCTGAAGCTTTGGATAACTACTAATTTAGCTAAAAACCTCACCGGGATAATATGAAGCTCCAATAGCCAACAACAGCCTACTCTTCACCCTTTGCGACATTTGAAACCGGAGCCGTTGGCTCCCATTAACTCCCACGCCTTACGATGCCCCCTCTCATTCGACGGAGACCACTTCTCGAGCGTATCAAGGCCTATTTGAATCCTCTTGACTTTCTGTTATGGCTATCAGAGGAGCTTGACTCAAGTGATTGGGAGCAATGGGAGAAGGAGTGGGCGTTACCCGTTGGAATCGCGTTGAACGTTCTATTTCTCGTTGCGCGTGCGAATAGCCAAAAGGGCAGCCGAGCTCATGACGATGTTTTCGGGGATGATGGAGGTGTAAGCTATGTAGCCTGGCTGGTACGTGGAATCCCTGGTGGAAGTTTGGCAGTACAGTATTCTTATACCAGTATCCTATGCTAACGGGCATCTCTGTTTACAGGCATCATTCATTGTCCACTCTCTGGCGCTTCTATCGATCTCAAATGCGCTATATGCGTTCTGTCGGACACGTCCCTACCGCTTGTTCGAAGTACCTATCGACAATGTACCATCAACGCCCTCTGCTAAACGAGTGCAGGTGAACTCTTCACCAATGTCCTCCACCCCTCTGCGTTTTATATCCAACGTCCTATCCGCTACCTCGGCAGAGAAGAGGGCACATCCCGATGCACACCGTGATGTATGGCAGGTGTCTGTCTGGGATCCGCATCCACTTTCTATACGATTGTTTTGCCTATTTAGTCCTGGCCATATTCTGGTTTACTGGTTGTTTCTTCCTACTCTCTCGTCAGATCCGCGACCCAGTGTGACAATAGTGACGACTATATTTTTGGCTTTACTATTGACTGCACAAATGTCCACCCTTTCCGCCTCGTACTCCCAACAGGCTAAAGACTCGGCTTTAGTCCATAAGCAGGTTTTGAACGAATACGACACGAAGTTCGTTCACCCAAGGACCAATCCAGATGTTCGCGACGTTGCGACCCAGTTTACAGAGGCAGATTCGTACATCCAGCATAAAGATGAAAAATACAACGTGGTAGAAACTTATGCACCAACCACCACACAACAAACTTTTAAGACTCGCCCGAACCCCAACTATATCCATCATGTCGATCCCGATTACCGGGTAAAAAAGAGAGCACAGGTGACCCCTAGAGCATCTCTGTCAACACCGCGAATTAGGTCCACTGGTTCTATACAGCGAACGACTGATAAGCAAACACCCTATGCTGCAGATGCATTTTCACCAATTGCCAAACAAAGTATTCGTCAACCGCAGTTCCGACCTACAACTGGCACAGGTGATGGAGGAAGTCTTGGAATATATTCCCATGCCCAGTCACCTATACGGAAAGCAGCAACACCCCATTTTGACCGGAGGCAAAGTTCTGCCTATCGAGATTCCGAGGGTTCTCATAGCCCGAGAAAGCCACCAAGCAGCCCACTCAAGCGTTCAAGCGTGGCCGGTGATATGAATTCCATGTTAACATCTAGCCGAAGAGCTCAACTTGCGAACGAACATACTCCCAGGAGGGAAAGCGGACGGTTTTGATCACCGCCTTTCCTCCCTTCGATATTCCTTTTAGTTTGCATACAATGAATTCGTACATTTGTATAAAACCCTTTGTTATCACTAGCATGCAAGTTATAGCCCGGTTGAGATGATGCTCCTTTAAACGCCCTTTCAATGCATAGCTCCTTCCAGCGTGTTTCATGGCCCCTTCTTCTCTGTTGTACTCATACTTATTATTTATGATACCCGTCGTGCTTGCTCTCTTGCCAAAGTAAACCAAACACCATAACGCAAGTTTTTTTTCTTTACTTTGACCATTGTTTATCTCGATATTCAATACATCGAGTTGCTTTTCCTCATGAGCCGATGCTGCAAGTCCATCTTTTTGTTTACAAATTCTCACTGCTACGTATGAGTGCCTTGGTTTCTCTCCAGCTCGACTCTCCATTTCGTGTGTTATTTTTATCGTGTTTCAACAGGTTCCTCCCATTGTCACTATGCCTAGCTTATCCCCATCTCTATCTGATTTGACGGTTAGTTCTTCTGATAAACCAAGGGGCAAATCGAGCCAGAAGAAATCCATACGCTCAACATCTTGGTCGGCATGGCTCTCGGGATCAGCCTTCCGCGGCACCGATGCACACGGGGAGCCCATGTCAAACGTTAATAGGAAAAATGATGAGGCCACCGCTAAGCCCGGCCCTAGTGACGAGATGGTCATAGGCAATAAGGAGAATCAGAGTGATGGATTCAAGAAATACGCTGCGGTTGAAGAGCCTGCTGAGGAAACGGGAAATAGTACCGAAAGTGATGCACACAGTGATGCCGGGACCGTCAGGAGACCCCGGGCTCCCAGCGGCCAGACGCCGCCTAAATTCGTCCTGCCACCTGGAGCGCCCAGTGACCATATGCAACGGACCTTATCCCATAATGATATCTGTCACTCGCCCCAGAACGATGTGCTAGAAAGGCATATGCCTCACAATTCGGACTGTCAGCGGCCAGGGGCTCGTTCTCGACTTTCAGGTCCAAGAAGAACTTCCCAGACTGTGAGCCGGGACGACTTTCTTACTGCGCGCGGTGCAAATCCTCGAACGGGAGTTGTTAGTCCGGATTTAACAGATCACAGCCATCTGGATGACTTAGAGCCCCAGGTCGATAATTCTGGTGGAGCTATGAACAATCAGAAGTGGCGTCTCAAAGGAGATCAGTGGATTAGTCTTGATGCCTCAGAAAGGACCCCGGTACCTACACCGCCATCCAACGCAGGTATGAATAGTTCGCTGTTGATCAGTTCTCGAGATCAAGCAGAAGCTCATGTAGCCTTCCTAGCAGAATCCGGCGTACCACTCAAAAACCTTGAGGATCGATTTGTTGTCAATATGCCATCTGTTAGGGAGCCATGTCCACCGTCTATGACTCCCCAGCAGATAGCTGACTTCCAGCAGGCTTGCAATCGATTCTATCGCTATGATAATAACATGATCCACCCATCAAGGGTACCAAGCCCTCGACCTAGGACTCCTGATGGCCCTAGCACTCCTCCAAAGAGACTTTCTAAGGTTCGCGAAACACTTCTTCAAAGTACGGGCCCATTAGACAGAGGACGACGGAAAGACAGGCCACCAGGCAGCCCTCATAACCAACCTCCACATGGTGCGTCACGGGAATGGAGGCACAGCTCTGCTCCTCCAGCTAGCCGACCACAGTACGGGTGGAAAGAACATACAAACAAGTATTTTTTAGGTGGTCCCGGTTATGGAAGAGAAGAAAGGATACCACCCCCTCAGAAGAGGAGGCATCGGCACCCTCCAGGCCCGGATCAATACAGACCAACTGGTCACTCCAGCCACAGGGGCCCTCAGGAGATTCCATACCAGGGTCACCGTGGCCCAAGCATGCCAACTTACCCTCGGGAGCTCCATTCCGGTTTCCGTCGCGCAGGGCCAATAGGGAGACAAAACCTCGACCATCTCCAGGACAGAAGCTTCTCCAGGGACCTGTACTTGGAACCCCAAAGCTATTCCAGACAAACCATCCAAGTCGGAGCCTCAGACGGAAACGACCTACTTGCCACCATTACCACTACCACTACCACGTCCACCGTCACCCCAGTTCGACTCAGTGCAAGCGATGTGGAAACGTATTTTACCCCAACCGAAATTTCGATGTCGAAAAGCTGCTCCGAACAATCTCATGGAGTCTCCAGAGAAAGTATCACCACTACCGCTACAATGACCGGAAGTGTAATAAATGCAGAAAATGCCGAAAACACAGCAAGCGTAAAGCAGGCCACGGCCGTTCACCATGCCGCAGGGACTCAAAGTGGAAAAACAAGGCATACGAATAATGAGAACGATATGGAAACACCGGCAATACCTCTCACGAAGCGGGCGTACTATCATTTGTTACCAGCCGCAATGTTCTACCTCACCCTTATTGCAATGACGTATAGAGAATATCGCGAGAATTTGCTGGTGACAAGGAGTCCAGGACTCAGGCCATCACAGGACGTGAAGTTCATGAAAATTGCACTTGGCGCTGTATTTGTGGCCGTGGCTGTATCAATTATATTCAGGGATTAGGCAAAGGCTCCTCCCGAAGCCATCATGGTATAATATAATGGCCCGCTTTCCATCAGGAAATCATAGGTTCAACGTTGAGATGTCTGCTCTCCTCTCGGACAAGTCTGTTCATACATGCTAGGCAGGAAGTTATTAATACCAAACGGTCGTTTTCCACACCCTCTTTAGAGATAGAAATTGAATAGACTACTTTCATTTACTTCGGAACTTGGGCTCCAATATTGAAAATCCATGGAATTGTTTGAACATTAGCATATGAAATTACAAAATGCTCTAAAGAAAACCTGAACGCTGGTTTACTGATGTTGAAATAGTGTTGAAAGAAAAGGTCATTCACCCGTTGCATCATCTCAATCATCAAGGTAGTGCTTTGTTGAAATCTCCCTTCTTGTTGCGCGCCTCCCCGTCCCGTTGCTCGCTATGATATAATTGAATAAAATGATGCATCTGACTCTTCAAAGTCGTTCTCTTTTCTTCCCTTTTTCATCTAGACGCCGCTTTCCCATGCATGAGTTGAGTCTAGCCCCGGCAGCCTTCCTAGACAATAAATAGCCTATCCCTTTTTATCCCTGACGTTTATTTTGTTGCCATGCCTTTTTTTGCGTTTTAAACGAGGAGAATTGTAAGAGAAGCTGTGGAGGGGGTAATAAAAAAATAAACGATTTTAAAAAAAATGACGAATGCTTTGGAACGAAACACGAATGTTGAATGGGGTATTTTGAAGCAGGTTAAGTTGAAAGTTGAACCAAAAAAAGATAAGAGGATTGTAAAAGTAGTGCTGTGATAGTTAGTTGATAATTAGGATGTGTATGGGGTGTGTGAGTGTAGTGAAAATAGGTCTAGTTTGTGGAAACAACCTGTTGGTGTGTTCCATTCTTTGTGGGTTCAGTGGTCTGTTGAGTACCGCTGACTTCGGTGCCGATGTCCTCGAGGACTAGACCCTTGAAGAGATCAAAGATATCATGGGTCTTATGGAAGTCATTGTTCACTGAAAAAGTTCCGTTAGTATATCTTCTGAGAATGAAAAAGGGTGACTTATCAGGGACTTACCGATATTAACGAGGTACCAGGTATCCATCGTGTTCTGGATCAGCTTCCTGCTAGCGCTTGAGGCATCGTGGCATTTGGCCCAGTCATCTCCGAGTCTATAAGCCTCATCCTTCCATGCTAAGAAACTGACAGTCTCTACGATTGTAGGTTGGATAACTTCCTTGGAGGCGAAAATACCCCATGTGACAGCATTGGGAGTATCACTCGAGTTCGTTTTCAACTCTCCATTCTTGTTGATGCAATGGTATGTCAAGTCCTCGTTGGTTTCAATTCGCTTGATCACCTCATCAATCAGTGCTGGAGAGATAAGCAGCTCTAGGTAAGCCTTTTGGTACACGTAGCCGTTCCTAGGACCCCATCCGTAAATTGGGTGAGAAGATTTAGCACCGTTGATTGCGGGCTGTGAGTTGATGGTAAGGAAGCCCCTGTTGTTAAGGTCGATTAAATCATCCTTAATGATTTCTGATTCCTGGGTGATTCCACTTTCACTCCATGGTAGCCTATCGAGCTTCTGCTCCAAGAAGCGAACAAAGATATCAGATAGATCTCTGACCGATTTAGGCTGACCCCATAGCTTGATGTTTTGCTCGTTGGTGCCTTTGAGTCCGATGCCATACACGTCAAGCTCTCCAAAAGCAGGAGAGCGCGAATCGGTCCAACGCCCGTTGGGGAATTCATCCCAGGACTGAGTACGTGCAACATAGGATTGATGTCTGTGTCTCCAGAAAATAGGTCGGACATCTTCCTCCCTCCTCCCAAGACCAAGAGACTTTCTCCATGGTAGTGGTTTCTGGAGAGGAGTTTCGGAGGAAGGTTTCAGATTCAACTCTTCCAAAACCATGCTGGTGGATTGTGCAAGGTTCATAGTGTAGCTGTGAAGAACGTTAGATCATCGAACCCAAGAAAATGCAGTAGTGGATGACAGATGACGACTTACAAGTGCAAATGGTTGATGCCATTATCGAGCAGCTTTCTGCACATCTCAGCCACGAGAGCCTTTCCGATATGCTTAACAGCGGCATCATCATTCTTCACCGGCTCAAGAGCCTCCATCCAGCCTTTCGGGACAGCACATTTAACCCATTTGGTACGACGAATAAAGGCGGCGTAAGTTGAGATTGGCATGATGCCGGGGATGATGGGGATCTTAATTCCAGCCTGTCGACATTTCCTCACCCATGCGATGAAATTATCTGCATCGTAGAACATCTGGGTGATGATAAAGGTGCCACCGGCGTCGACCTTTTCCTTCAGGTACTTCATTAATAGCTCAGGGTCTTCCTCATCCTCACAGCCCTCAGGGTAACCCGCGACACCGATATCGAAATGGTTGCCATACTTCTCCCTAATGTACTGGACAAGATCTCTCGCATACCGGAACCCTCCTTCGGTCTGCTCCCATGCTTCCTTCTCTCGAGGCGGGTCTCCTCGTAGAGCTAGAATGTTGGTACAGCCAGCCTTGAAAGCACTTTGCAGAGCCTCGTCAACCTTCTCTCTCGGCATATCAGTGCAGGTGAGATGCATGCAGGTCTCCAGCCCGTAGACAGACTGCGCGACATGCACCATTTCACATGTGAGCTCCGCCAGTCGACCTCCTGCGCCCCAGGTTATATCGATGAAGGACGGCCCAAGTCCATGCATGCGGTCCATACGGTCATAAAGATTTTGTACACCCTGTGCGGTCTTTGGAGGGAAGAATTCAAAGGAGATTCCCGGTCTCCCGGTGGCCTCTGCCAGGGCCAATTTGTCTTTGATATGCATGATGAATTAAAACTGTTAGAAGACGGGGAACGGTCAGTAACGACAGCTCTTTCAACTGAAGACGAGCGATGAACGTAACGAAAGGAAGAGGAAGTACAACTGGGTCGATCGACAGCAGTTATCGAACAGTCGGTGTAATTCACGCTGCCCGCTGAGGTTATCAATCTCTCCGAAATCGGTACTAGGAGGGAAGGACTGAGTCTCCCGCGGGGGGTGCGAGAAAGAAACACCACCGACGGTCGAGGAGAAAGCAGGAAGAGAGACAGAACAGGGTGAAATTCCTCCAGCCAGACGTCTTTACGCACCTTTCTGTCCTTTTCTAGCGAACAATTCGAGTAAATAGGCCGAACGAACAGGCGGGAAAAAAAGAGGGACCAAAAAAAGCCTCCGAGCTGAGCTTAGGTGACGCCAAAAAGTCCGATATTTCTTTGCCTGCTGTAATTCCGACCTGGAGTTTCAACCGAAATAGCGTTTGCGTGCCCACCTGTCTGCCAGTATGCGCAACATATAGTGCAGATATGCTGTTATTTGTTTATCTCATGTACGGCGCAGCTTTGGAGGGCGAGTTGGGTGTTGGATGAAGCTTTTGGGAAGAGCAAGAGAAGAAAATAAGGTGAGCGCCGAGTGCTTAAGCTTTAAAAGTTCGCCGGAGGAACAGGCCAAACGCCAGCAACTTGACTTGTACGGAGCAGTTATGCCGTCTGTCTATGAGGAATAGCAGAGCACGAAGAGTACTCTTCTTGAGAAAAGACGAAGAAGGAGAAGAGGAAGAGGAAGAGGAAGTGCTGGTGAAGGAAAGGGGAAAGGAGGAACGGCTTTATAGCTGTTTCTCAGGGCGGGACTGGCTCCTTTTCCCCTTCTTTTCTTTTAACTACTTAACTAACTAGCAGGCCGACTAATTAACTAACTACTGATCCAGGCTTGACACAAAGAGGCGCGATGCTCAATTGATCAAGGCCCAAAAAAAGGAAGAGAGAGTCATAACTCGCCAGCATGGGGACAGGCAGTATTTTCCTCCTCTGTTGTTGGGGCTGCATTTCCAGCATGCGTTTTCCTACTGTCATTTTACCCCTCCGCTAACTAGCAACCTAGTTATTACACCATTGCTTCGTCCCGCTTGCTAGGGTGACCCCGGCCTACAGATGAACACACGGAAAAAGGGAGGCCAATTCGATTTTCGCCCAAGATTTTGGCCATTTTTGTGGCTCCTTGCTGACGACACCGAAGAAAGGCAGTCAGGGTTCGAGGCTCCCGTTATTGCGACTTGTCGACGCCTTCCGACGCAGGCAGGGCAAGGCGGAAAGAGAAGGATGCGTTCGTCGCTGTTCCGTGATAGGCGGGGATCCAGCTCCATCGGTTCGCTTCCCGGCGCTGCCCTACTAACTTAAGGCCTGGACGAACAAGATGATCTGCTGCAGAGATAGAATTTATGGCCCTCAGAGCCAGGGTCGCGTTGCCCAGGAATTGGGATTCTGCTAGAAGTTAACTACTCTGCCCAGGGCGTAAGATGGGATGGGGTATATTTCAAAGGCGTCTGCATCTCTGGTCCATGAATGGCAGCCTTTAACACGTGCGGGATTAACTACTTGCTCGAGCCCCGCGTGGGGTGTTACAAGCAAGACTGCAGTCATGGTACTCCGTAGATCTGTCGACATATCGTTACACAGAAGCCTTGTAGGAATCGGATTCAGAATAAAGATGAAGTTGTTGATGGTCAAGTTGAAGTTGAAGTTGAAGTTGATGAAGCCGCAAAGTCGGAGTTGAACAACAGAAAACGGTGAGGGGCGGCAGAAAGCCTAAACGGGAAATGCATGTTTTTTTTTTGTAGAACGAGAAGAAAAAGATATCAACACCAATTTCGTATAATTAACCATTGGAGATACTTGACACTCCCCTATCTTGCATCTCCTTGCCGTAAACTTGATTCTACGGTGGTCGGACCTTATATACTCCTTTAATTAATTGCACTCTCTCGCCGGCCGATCGAAGCATATTTGCAGATACCCCGCCGGGCAGCTAGCTACTTCTTTACTCGTTCGCGGGCAACGGTCATATTCGACCTTTCTACGGCGCAACATGTCAAGCCAGGACTCAAGCAAGTCTGCGGACTATAAAGCAAACCTTCTCTCGATCCTAATCTCCAGCAAAGTACTTTCGTTCGGCTCCTACGTCCTCAAATCAGGCCGAAACTCGCCCTACTTCTTCACCACCACCCTTCTACACACTGCGCCGTTACTGCACGCAACAGCCTCTGCCTGCGCCTCAGTATTATCGAGTCCTCCATTCGTTACCAGCCAGGAGGGGAAACCTGCTACTCCCAACTTTGATATCATTTTTGGACCCGCATATAAAGGCATACCGCTCTGCACAGCCGTCCTGAACGAGCTCGGTGTCCGAGATACTCAGGGTGTATGGGACAACATCAGCTACTCTTTCAACCGAAAAGAGGCCAAGAGCCATGGTGAGGGTGGAAATATCGTTGGTGCCCCTCTCAAGGGCAAGAAGGTAGTCATTATAGACGATGTCATCACGGCTGGAACTGCCTTGAGAGAAGCCGTTTCTATCATTGAGAAAGAAGGAGGCATTGTGGTTGGCGTATTGGTCTTGCTAGACAGACAGGAGAGAGTTAGTGATACAGAGACCAAGAGTGCAGTCGGTGCCGCTCAGAGAAACCTGGGCGAATCGATTCCCGTGCGGGCGGTACTCGGCTTGAATGATATTATCGAAAAACTTGGCGATGATATTGGCAAGGAGAATCTGGAGAAGCTCCTTGAATACAGGGCAAAGTATGGTGCAGAGGAGTAGGCTGGCCCTTAGAGATTGATATGTCCAACTGCAAAAAACTAGAGAAAATGCGCAAGTTGAACGTTATGACTCTCCTTTATTTTTTGTTCTGATACTAAAAGACGTAGACGGAGCGTCGTAAAAAGGTAGTTAACTATAAACATGGAAATATTTGACCGAGACATGATGCAAGTAAGTATTTCAATGCCACGCATAATTTCGATGGCGCAGGGTATTATTCATATGGACACAAGAAAATGTAACGACTTCCTTTTCGGGATATCTCTCTTACCATTCCAAAGGCTCTCCCTTGACTTCGCCCCTATTTGTCTTAGGAACAGGAGCAGCCTCCACCATTGCAGGGCCTGTTTGCTTCCCATTTTGTCTCTTTAGATATCCGCTTCCATCAAGCCATGGTGTCTCGCGTGTTCGCTGCCCCTCGAACTTACGGATCAGACCCTCCATCTGCATAGTCAAGCCAATATCATCAAGGCCATTGACGAGACAGTGCTTTCGGAATTCCTCAACGTCAAAGTCTGCAAGTTTATTGCCAGCAGCATCATTGATTCGTTGGTGGACAAGGTCAACTTCCAGCTCATGGCCAGCATCAGCCTCCTCGGCTAGCTTCTTGAAAGTGGCGGCATCGGGAATCGAAATTGGAAGCATCCCATTCTTGAAGGTGTTGTTAAAGAAAATGTCGGCAAAAGACGGGGCAATTATACACTTGATGCCGAAGTCAAGCAAGGCCCAGGGAGCATGCTCACGAGAACTTCCACATCCAAAGTTTTCGCCACTGACAAGGATTTTGGCATTACGATATGGCTCCTTGTTCAGGACAAAGCTGGGGTTTTCCAATTCATCCTCATTGTATCGTAAAGGGTGAAAAAGGGCACTTCCAAGGCCGGTTCGTTTTATTGTCTTCAGGAACTGTTTGGGTATGATAGCATCAGTATCAACATTGGCTCGATCCAAATGGGCAGCGATCCCTTTTAGGGTAGTAAACTTCGGAAGGCCGGCGGAAGACTTCTCGGCGGTGGTGTTGGTGTGAGGTTCGTTGTCTTCAGGGTAGTCGAATATCCGGTCAAGATCCTCCTCATCTTCTACCTCCTGGTGTACTTCAAGTTTCGGCGAGGATTTCTTCTGCGATATCGGTATTGCCGAAGCAATTTTGCGAACATCCGCTAGCTTTCCTACTATCGCAGCAGCAGCAGCCATAGCGGGAGACATCAAGTGGGTTCGGCCAGCGGCACCTTGTCGACCCTCAAAGTTTCTGTTTGATGTACTCGCGCATCGTTCACGGGGAGAGAGAATATCAGGATTCATACCAAGGCACATGGAGCATCCAGCCTCTCTCCATTCAAACCCAGCATCGGTGAATATCTTGTCGAGTCCTTCAGATTCTGCCTGTCGCTTAACCAACCCAGAACCTGGAACGATCATTGCTCGCATGATATTCGAGGCAATTTTCTTGCCGTCGACGATATGAGCAGCAACTCGAAGATCTTCAATTCGCGCGTTTGTGCATGAGCCAATGAAGACCTTGTCGATTGGGATATCTTCCATTCGAGTACCGGCGGTGAGTCCCATGTACTCCAAGGCACGGCGACAGCTAGCTTTCTTGACTTCATCAGAGAAATCGTCAGGGCCAGGCACAACGCAAGTAATTGGGACCACATCCTGAGGCGAGGTTCCCCAGGAAATTGTCGGTACGATGTCCTTTGCATCTATGAAGACCTCCTTGTCGTAGACAGCACCCTCGTCGGATTTCAAGCTGGACCAATAGGCAACTGCCTTCTTCCACTCAGCACTACCAAACTTTGGAGCAAGCGGTCTGTCCTTCAGATATTCGAATGTCACTTCGTCAGGGGCGATCATACCGGCCCTGGCGCCGGCTTCGATTGACATGTTGCAGATTGACATACGTGCTTCCATGCTGAGGCCTCGGATGGCAGAGCCGCAGAACTCGATTACTGCTCCTGTACCGCCAGCAGTTCCAATGACACCAATAACATGCAGGACCACATCCTTACTGCTGACTCCTGGTGGAAGATCACCATCCACTTGCACACGCATGTTCTTGCTTCTCTTGGTGATCAATGTTTGGGTGGCCAGGACATGTTCTACCTCGCTGGTACCAATTCCAAATGCCAAAGCACCAAAAGCTCCATGGGTAGATGTATGACTGTCACCACAGACAACTGTAGTGCCGGGAAGAGTGAACCCTTGCTCAGGGCCAATGATGTGAACAATTCCTTGTCTTTTATCACCCAAACCAAAGTATGTCACACCAAACTCCTTGACGTTCTCCTCGAGCGTCATGCATTGTAATCGGGAATCAGCCTCCTGAACGAACCCGGCAACGTCTTTGTATGTCTCACGGGACGTCGTTGGAATGTTCTAATAGACATAAAATGATCAGTACGGGAAATATATTCAGCCCAGCAACGTTGGAACTCCTACTTACATGGTCAACTGTAGCTAACGTGCAGTCCGGCCTCCTCACTTTGCGTCCTGCGTTCTTCAGGCCTTCAAAAGCTTGCTGTGACGTGTTAGTCTTGGTATTGCGGCTAACGAGTTATAGGGCAGGGATTCCATGTTGTCCGACTTACGGGAGATGTGACCTCATGCACAAGGTGCCTATCTGTTGGATTCAAAAGTATCGGTTGGTTATTCAATCATCAACACCAATAGTGAAGAAGGGTATCTGCATGCAATAGTGCGTACCGATATATAGCAAGATAGTCCCATCCTTCTGCTCGTTCACAATGTGGTCTTTAAGGACCTTGTCGTACAGCGTCTTGGGCGTTTTATCTGGGGCAGGCATCGTGCTAGTCGGTATGAAAACCACACCCGCAAGATAAAAGGAGAAAAAAGGGAGCTCGAAGAGGTATGAAATTGAGAAGCTGGAAGCTGAATCTGGAGCTCTCTTCGTCCTAGAAACCAATGCCTGGCTGCTGGTTATACTTATATTTAAGAGCTGGTCATAGCTGCACTGGTGGGGAGCAGCCGGTATCGGCGGTCATCAATTTATGATTCACTCCGATTGGCCAGATTCTGCCAAGGAGCGGATATTAGTCATTGTTGCTTTCCGGGCCGATGTCGCCGCTTTCGGAAGGCTAGGGCGGCTATTTTTTTAATTCTCTATTTACTCTGCAGAGAACGGAGTGGTAGCACGGAGCACTCCGTCCAAAGCTCTCTAGTAAAAATATCTATGCAAAGCTATGTTCAAATCCGGGTCCGCGGTTATCCGCTCTAAACACTAACAAGGCAAGTTTGTGGCGGACAAGCAGCGCAGCCACGCCGCAGAGAAGCTGGAGGCCAACTATATGCATCGCCAGCTTATCCTCCCGCAGCGGCCCAAACCAAAGTAACCAGAGGTTAAGTAAGGTCAAGTTTGTTGTCTCAGCAATATTACCTTCCTCGTTCCTTTTCACCCTTATGAGATAAAGTTTATCCAGCAGATCCAGGCCGGCTGCAATGATTGCGGGGGGAGGGCGAGTCCACTCGGTAACGGATGGCTCCATGAGCCCAGTTCGGGGGTTGAACTTTGGCAGCCGGTGCCGTGGGCAAGGAATTAAGTGAAATAGTTGTGGTGTGGAGTACAAGAAGTTGAAAATCTGAGGCACAAATAGCAACAACAGGGTTTTGCTGAAGTGGCCTAATATTCCAACGACGGCGAAAACCATACCGGCAAAGTAGCAGTATGTATCCCCGACAAATACTTTAGCGGGATACCAGTTGTGCCACCATAATGCTAGTGAAACAGCAATGAATGGCAGCAGTAGGTAGATGGAGAAAAGGTGGGATTCCGTGGCTGGGTGTGGGTATGGAGTGAACGGCGACAAGAACAGGGCATCATTGGTTATCAACAGACAAGCTATGGCTATTGACTGTGAAACCTCAATTCCGTTGATTCCAGCCAGCATATTGATGCTATTGGGGCAGAAGATCGCAACTGCAGCCATATAAACATAGTACAGCCAGCCTAGGTCTAGAGACGGTCCCAGATAGCCTTGGAGGGCGACTGGCACTATGACATGTGTCACCCCGAAGTCGACAAAGTAGACGATTAGCATCGGTACTGCGGCAAAGGCTGGAATAAAAAACTTATGCCGCCACCGAATGTCCAACAGATCGTCACCAATTCCTAGTATCACTATTGACTGGAGCGAAAGTAGGCCAGAAAGATAGGTTGCGAGCTGGCAATGGTTAGTTGTTGGGTTTCCAGGGCAGCCAAAACAGGGAAATTACCTTGTTATGAGGAAACTTGTGAAGAAAGCGACCAGTTTCCACATGAACAACTGGCAATGATATATCACGATTTCCTCCACCTGACGTTGCGGCTACAAGCTCTTTGTAAAATGGGAATGGAATAAATATGATAAGAGCTAGAATGTAAACAACTGCCACAACTGCGCCCATGGTCTCTGGTCTAGGGTCGGTATTAGCAATGTATTGCCCCTATCAATTGTGGGATATATGACCTACATCTCTATCTTCTTGAGCTTCGACATATCCTTTCCTTTCAGCCCAGCTTTCATAAACACATCTCCTAGCCATCTAATAAGGCTAAAGCTGGCAGCAAATGCAATGCCAGATAATGCGAGTGAAGCCACTAGGGGCTCTCCATCTTGCAGGGCGTTCTTTACCAGGACGGCCGAGCAGCCCATCGACAGTGCGATGAGACTCCATGTCTCCCTCCGACTGAGAGTAACTGTCATCGTATCATATACATAGCGCGAAGCCACAGTAGGCAAAAGCAACAGGCTGTCAGAAAATATATGGCGCTTAAATACCCCCTATTTTAGAGTTGCCGCAAGTTGTCCTTTTGCGCGTCAAAGTCAACAGCCGCCGCGCCTATCAACATCACGTGTCTGTCCCAGCGAATCGCGGACGTCACCTACGAAACTCTGTTAATCTTAATCAACTTGCGACAAGGCCGAATTGCGCAGCGGTTGATTCACTCATGCAGGAACCATCCCTGTTATAAGCAGAGATGAGGTACTGCGCGCGAACGACGCGGAGATGACATCTTTCACCGAGTTCGAGGCCGGCCACCGGGACTTGGTTACAGTAACCAAGTTCAATTTCTATGGTAATCGCATCCTCACTGCATCTGCGGATCACCGGATAAAGGTGTGGGATCAAAAGGACGATGGCTGGGAACTCGCAGATACTTGGCGAGCACATGATGCAGAAATTCGGGATGTAAGTTTACCCAGGGAGAAATGCATTTACTATGATCTTTTGAGCCGGAATCCCGTTTCTCACATTCTCTCTGTCCCACAAGGCAGCATGGAACGGCCCATTTACGGGTCAGCATATCGGCACTGTAGGGGAGGACATGAAATTCAAACTATGGCAAGAAGATGTGACGCAGTCCCGCAACTCTGGTCGGCGCTTCCGGAATATCTTTCGTCTGACCTCGCCCATTCGCACGCCCTACGTCTCGCTAGATTTTCGAAACATTGACCTTGAATCCTGGCTCGCGCTAATAACTCGTGATGGGCTTCTCACCGTACTGGAGCCTGTTGGCGCAGATAATCTCTCAGAGTGGCAGCAACTCGACCAGTTTCGTGTTTGCTCAGAACCCTCACGAGGGGATGAGACGAGCTTCAAGGTCCAGTTTCATCATGATCCAATGGATATGACCCATATGGTCATGCCATCCTGGGATAGTAAGAGTTTATCTCTTGTTGTTGCAGCGATGAACACTGTCAAGGTGTATCGAATGGCTGCAGACAGGAAGTTTTACCATGCCATCGAGTTAACTGGCCATAGTGGTCTAGTAAGAGACATTGCGTGGGCTAATGGCTCTGTTCGCGGATTTGACATAATTGCCAGCGGCTCAAAAGACGGCACAATCAAGATATTTGAGATATACACGTCGGTTACGAATGGGTCCAACAGCACCCAAAACGGATCTGCAAATGCCACATCTAGAGCCTCAACCCAATCCGCAATTGGGACTGCGCTTGCGAGTCAGACAACGGGGACACTTGTGGATACTCGGAAAAACACCGAAACCCCATTTAAACATACATTTAGAGAGGTTGCATCAATTGATAGCAAACATCTAGATGTCTGGCAAGTTCAGTTTTCTCACGCAGGTACGTTATTCTTCATACTATACATACGTTGTACCTGCCTAATATTTTCAATTAGGCGATTGCCTGCTATCTTCCGGGGATGATGGTTCTCTACGTTTCTGGAAAAGAGCCACTTCTGGAGACTGGCTTGAATTCGCAGAAACTTCAATGGAGAATAACTAGATTTCCCCGGCCATAGGCTCAATCTCAGCACCAGTCTTACTTCCTAGAGTGAACCAACTTTGCCAGTCAAGCGGTATCAGTCATGATATTCTCAACCACTCCTCCATTCTTCCGTGCCAGCTCGCAGTCATTGCATGGCATAATTGATGTCGGCATGAACATGAAATCTCTTGCATATATTTATATATCAAGCCCATATGGCCACATACCCGAAGTCTATATTGTTTATGTATGTACACCATATGCAAGTGGTAATAATATGATGAATGATACATTGTCTTTGTTTGTATTTGACTTTACTATAACGACTTCTGCAATCACACTACCTTATCAATTATTTCTCCTCTCGTTCCCGAGCGTAAAAATAGTGATGCATTGCCATCGATATCCTCAAAACTATTATCTACAAGGACGGCCCATGCCGAGTTCTACATAGCCAGCGGAGGTGGAAATTTAACACGATCGGTTGTGTAGATGTCATAACTGCGGGTGGTCCCAAAACTCATCTTGAAATTGAGTGTTGATGACATGATGTACCCTTCATTATTTTCATCTAGTACGCATTCTGACCTGGCCATCCTATAGAAGGAGAAGTGGAGGTTGATTATGTGCGTTCATATGAAATATCAAGTATTTCATAAAAGTGTGAGGAAGAAAAGGAGAAGAAGAGAGAAGAAACGCAAAAAAGCTGCATAAAAATATCGCGAAAATATTAGTCACGTGAGTGTTTTCGGGTTAAAGTAAGCGCGTTTCCGATGTTCAAAAGCTTCGACGCCAGCACGAAAAAAATAAAAATCTCAACTTCGACTTTTCTTCTTGTTTCTCTCAAAACAACCAAAATGACTGGAAAAGCAACAATTTGTCGTTGCATGAAAGCCTACTCTGTCAAAACCTAGATTAGATGGTGGCTGAGTGAACATGATTCAAATCTATTACGGTGGTTGTCACTCGAATAACCGGCTCAAGTCCACAATAAATGTCGGCTCTTGTTGCCTGTTGGAAAATCTCGCTTACAGCCACACATTTAATGTCGATAGCGTGCGGAAACACGATAACTATTAACCCTTAGCTATCGAGGCCATTGCTATTTGATGGCCTTCTTTCAGATGCTACTTGCCGTTGAGCTCCAATGCAGCATTCAACAACTTATTACCTAAACCACAACTTTGCCAACATCTTGTGCCTTACCTTTCAATGGTCAAGATGTATACTTCGTTTTAAAGGTCTAGTGGAAGATTAAACCCATACAGTTTTTAGCAGAGCTGCGTCTTTTCCACCCTGCCACTTTGTTTACTGTCGAGTGACCAGGACTAATATAGGACGAACATCTTTAAATTTCCATCGTTATTAGAACAATCAAGAAAGCCACAATTTATTTAACTGCACATCCCAGGTACTTCGTTTTTTATTCATTCACTATCTCTTCCCGTAGATATATATACCTAGGCTTGACCACATAAAATAGTACGCTTTTACTGCACCACATTACCAAAGTACAAGAATTCCAGGCTATGCAGGCTTTTCGTTTGGGTAAGTAAGGGTCTTCTGTGCCACATAGAAAATTCGTCATATTCAATTAACGATAGGTAGTATTTGGTGCATACGTAGTAGTTATAAAAAAGGCATAAAAATTCATCCAGATATATGAAATAAACAATATAAGGAACGACAGAAAAGCCATTCGTCTCTTCATATACCAGCGAAGGGAGTTCAAATGGCTTTACGACTCTTCCACTGTCACCAGATAACCCGTAATGCCTCAATCTTGCTTACGCCAACTTACCTTGAAGAAGACGTCGGCAAGAATGGTAATGTTTCTAGTAGAAACGATAAAAATGTGGAATTAGGTTTGATATCATCTCATACCAGCTCTCCGTTGCTCTCATTCGTCTTTCCATTGACCCTAAAGCACGGCATAATAGTCATGCCATTAGTTTCCATTATTATAGGCCTCTAGAGAAATGAATCCATCGTCGATGACGATGATGGTTGTGCTTGAGTATTAACTTGAGAAGGTGATGAGGAGGATGTAGGAGCGGGTTTTTCACTAGCGGCAGAGGCAGAAGGAGACGATTTTGTGGGACTTTTGAATGATGCCTTTGCCGTACCTTCTATCTGCTTCTCCTGGTCGTCATCTGCAAGTAGATCCATTACCGATGGGGCAGGGGGCGTGGCAGTGGGAGAGGCAGTGGCCGCTGGAGTCATAGACTGTTTTGCCGGCATCTTTCCAGACTGAAGGGCTGAAGGACGGGGATGGCGCCCTGACATAGCAGACACCTGTGGGCGAGATCCACTAGCAACAGTCTCTGCACTGGTGGTTGGCATTGGCGCACTTTCACCTTCAGATTCAGGCATAGCTGTTGTCTCGGTACCATTGGATTCTGGATTATTCGACTGTTCGGCCATGCTCTGTTGCTGTGTCGACTGACCACCCATTGTTTGCGGCTGATTTTGGTCATCAGTCATAGTATGTGTTGGCCGGTCTTCCATCGTCATCTTTGGCTTGTCTCCCATGGTTTGCGGCTGATTCTGGTCGTCAGTCATAGTCTGTGTTGGCTGGTCTTCCATTGTCACCTTTGGCTTATCTCCCATGGTTTGTGGCTGCTCTTGGGGGGTCATTGGTTGGACTTCATCATCACGGTGGCCACTGGGTGACATCGACGGCATAGGCCTCTCGGCAGATTGGCTTGCCTCAGGTGAATTTGGCATGGGCGCGCTCTCTGTGGTTGGTGCTGGACTCTCTGCCTGGGTTTCGGCTGTGGCAGTAGGATTCGGAGCACCCGTTTCCTGAGCAGCTGCCCCTGTTTCGCTTGCCATCCCAGTAGGACTTGGGTTTTCGTCTTTGTCCATTTTCGGAAGAGCCCCGGCCCCTGCAGGGTCATTTGGAGGTCCTGCCTGCGGAGCACCGAGAGCACCGCCCAAGCCCCCAAGGGTGCCCAGAAGGCCGCCTAGGCCTAACTGGGGAGTGCGACGATGATTCATATGGGCTTCATCACCGACCTTTCGAATATCTGCAGATATATGTGAATATACTGAACAGTGGGAATTGGCCAGTGTTGACCTGAAAACGCACCAATAGCTGCAGATGCAACAAGTCCAGCGAAGGACAGATAAAACAAAGCATCAAAACGCATACTGATAGTTAGGATGGACTGCCTTTTGTAGTATGATATATTAACACAAATTCCTTAATGATGTGAACTCATTGAAAGATCCGTACCTGATAAGAGTGATGGAGCTTTTGAAGTAGCTATGGTTACCCTTGTTCTAGACTTCGAGGTTGAGTCGGCTGCTTCAACTGCCATCCAGCTCAGATTCAGAGCTCCCCACAGCCCGTTTAAATAGACATATTCCTCCATGCCATATCGCCAAAATCATATATTGCGATTGCGTGTAAGGCGGGGTATACAATGCAGTGGTTAGCAGAAATCTTGTTTCCAAACATAAGGCCATGTTATAGACAGGATTTGAACATAGCTCATGAGGAACGTTGCACTAATTGTGCATATTTTCAAATTCAATCCAGTCCTTCCAGGGGTAGCACAACCAAAATGCTCATTCCGCCGTGGAACGGGTATGCTGAGGAGAAAAATGTATGAAAACCGTATGACAGGTGCCGTCCACCGTAGGAGTATAGCTCATACTTGGAAACCTGGGACCATCGTTATGGGGAAAACTTATTCCAGTGGGCTTTCTCTTCCATTAGTCTAAAGGCCGAATATGGTTTTTTGCATAATACTGCGATAGCCCAGGTGTCGGTTAGAAGATAATTCACTCACTTGTGGCACATCACAAAAGAACAGGTTGCCGTTGGATATACAACCCCTGGTGGAGGGAATCGACAGCAAGTATTTGCTGTGAATGGGGTGCGAGGGGCAACGAGTAGGTACGACCGCACTTCAAATATGGGCAGTAAAGTCCTGTTAACATATTTCGTGCTTGCTCAACCTGAGTACGTACTTCGCCACCTCATTGTGCGAGATACGCGGAGTTGAATGAAACTTCATGTGTACACATCGGTATTTATGGTATTATAAGCTCAGATTAATAGAGCTTGACGCTTTAATTTCAGTAATAAGTTCCAGGTGCAGCTTGGAGCTGCAGGTATATCACTCAAAGAGTCATATACATAGTCAAAGGAGAGAATCATATATCCAACATGCCGCTATGGGATACTCCATAAGATTCGCAGAAAGAGGTAGTAAGTTCTTCCCATTTAGAATCATGTACAATATCTCGAGCCAGTAGGGTCACTAGCACAGTCTGAAATAAAATTGAAGCGGAGGTCATCTACCACTTGATGCTAGTAATGCAGTGAAGGCTGACGGTTCGATCAACCAGGTGCAGAACTCGGGTTCACTGGGCATGGACATGTCATAGCCTTTGTGCAAAGCTATAATAGAACGTGCATGCCACATTCGGCTGCCCTTTGCTCCTTTTCGTTATGCCTGCCTTTCGCGGGCCTCAATATTTCTACGTCACTTAGGTTAACGCATCTACCTCTAAGTTAGCTTGAGATAAGTTATGTATTCAGGCCCGATTGGCTTAGTCAGAGTCCACATATTGATGTTTCATGAATAGGATGGTATGGTTCGCCTCATCTTGTCATTTTGACCGTTCTTTCAGTCTGCAGTGTCTCGTAAGACGTTTCGCATGAATCCGGGCTTGGACCAGATTCAAACAGTGAAGCAATGGTCCCAAATTAACTAAGTTATTTTTCAGTGCCCTCCTCATTTCTTTCCTTAATCTTGCATGAAGATATAATTAAGAAAAGAAAAGTGTATGTCCATCCCTAGGTATTTGTGGCTTTCTGACTGTTGAAAGCTGAGAGTTGAGGTTCAAATAGGCAGTTTTGAGTATTCCGTACTACTGGCTTCCTATTGGCTTAATTTGATTAGTCACCAGGAACAACCTCAAGTTGCTGTGCTTGGCGCATCGATCAGTCGGACATTGTTGATCCCGGGATATAGCACAGAGGTGGAGGTGAGGAGTGAGATGAGGAGATCTGTTCCCTCCGGAGTCTCACCGTAATAGCATGTAACTTAATACTATCTTTGGGTAGGAGCATCGTTCATATTACGCACTTCTCAGCCAGAGATACCCATTTGGACAATGGAAAGATTTAGCCAAGATGGCGGGGACATTTACAAACGAGAAGAAAAAAAGAAAACAAAAGCAAAGCCGAGCTATGGGGAATAAATAAATTCCAAAAGTTGGGTAACAATGCGAACGAGGATAGCTAACGTTTCGTAAAAAGTCATCAAGAAAAGGCGTTTTACGACTTTGAAATCCACCCGCTGTGGACCATGAAATCGTAAATACGGCTTGATTTTTGCGCATCAATCTAATAGGGAGAATGTAAGGTCAGCAAAAAAGTATTCCAAGTGAAGACAGGTATTGGATAAACATGATAGTAAAAATAGTAAGTCTTACCTTACACATCGACTTGACATCCTTTTTCTTTAGATTGCCGCCTTGTTTCATTGCTTCCTTAAGCAAATGCTCCTTAATAGCCAGGTAGGGCTTTGGGTTCAAATGTAAGATGTTACAAAGCTCGGCTTCGTCTTTTGTCAACAGGTGCAGATCTGGTGAGTTGTCATTTTCAAACTTCCAGGGAACCAACCCGGTGATGAGCGGAACCGTATATTTAGTCTTCACTGGTTGTGGTGCAGGTGTGCCAGCTAAGCTTGGGTTCGCAAAAGCCTTGTCGAAATCGTTCAGGGGCGGTTCTGAGGGGTTAGCCTTGGAGGATCCGGGCCGTTGCAATCGGAGCGGAAGTTCCGGCAGCGTTAATTGGGAGGCAGCAGATGGACCCTCCGACCCGGCTGGAGCTTTTGGTCTAGCGGTGCTGAAGCGGTCAAAGGATCCTTGGGGTACAGAGCGCTGTGCTCTCTGTAATTTCTCATGCTCATACTTCTCGCCACTCTTGAGATCACCGATTCCCATCGTCCTCCACTCTTGGAGCTGTGCAATAGCAAGTCTAAGGTTATGTTCATATTCCAAGCCTCTGGTAAATTCCTCAAAGTCTTCGTGGTTCATCATCCGAGCGAACGGCTTAGCTTTATTCAAAAGATCTCGTTCCTCTTTGGTTCGTTTCTTTTCTTGAGCAGCATTCTTGCGATAGTCAAGTAAATTGTGTTCAAATACGATCTTCTTTCGTTCTGTTCTTGCAGTTAACCGGGAATTATAGATATCCTTGACCGTCATCTTAAGCTCCATTTCAGGGTCCATCTCGCCATTCGCATTGAGACCATTTCCGGGTTCAAACTGCATGTGCTGCACGGCCTCTTCCGCATCGTTAGCAAATTCGGTCTCGAACTCAAGTCGACCTGGCATATAGCCCTGAACTTCATGGCAGGCTGGCACCGATGCAGTTGGTTTTTGTTTTGGTGTTGCAGGAGGCGCGGCCTTAGCAGCCTCTTTGCGGGCTTGAATGCGCCGTTTTTTCCGTGCTTGGAATTCCTCCTTGGGTATTTGTTCCTGCAATGACTTATCGTGTGGGTCGGCCAAGTCAGGAAGCGGGAAATTGGAGCCTTCAAGGTAGGTTTTGATGTAGTGGTCTCTAACTTCATCTTTTGTACGATATCCTCCAATGTGGTCTGCAATGTCTGCCCACGAACCAAGGCCATATATTTCCGCTCCTTCCAGGAGCAGGAGTTCCTCGTCAGCACCCCAGTCCGGATCGTATATCGGCACTGAATTCTGCTCAACGACAGAGTACGGATGTGTTCGAGGATCGTGGGATTTTGTGGTGGCTCCACGCGCAAAGCAAGGGACACACATGTCATATTCGGGACATGCGCTGTGGGCGCATGATATTCGAACCTGCATTTCGGCACTCAATTGTCAGTTCTATTAAGCTCCTGAGTAAAATAAACTAGAAAACTTCGTACTTACCGTAGATGTGATGTCTATGGAGCAGACATCACAGTGGTATTTGGTTCCTCCATCTGTGCCGCGCGCCGCGGTCTTCTTCCTTATGACGCCCATACCTGGATTTGCCTGCGCATCATCTGTTGAGGTGAATATGGTGACAAGCTCCCTCTCTAACCAATTCCAAATAAACAAAAATCAAGTAATTGCCCGTGAGCCGGTTGTCGTCAGTTTGTCATTCGCCGTAAGGTGGTCTGGCCGCGTCCCGAGGCAAGTTGGGGGTAAAGCGTTTGCCGCTCGCTGGAAGGTCCGCCAGGTTGCGGTTTCGTTTGTCAAAACAGATGCGTGTAGGAGATATTACAGAAGAATCCTCAGAGCCAAAGCCAAGCGCAAACGAGCTTTCGAACAAGCAGTTGTAGGAGAGCACCAGCAGGTGTTTCAGCTGGTCGAAACCTCCTTTGACGTTGAAGCTGGCAATGACGAGCCTCTACGCCGCGCTAGGCCTAATACAGTTAGAGTTTTCTCCACGTGATGATTGTGGCTTGGACCAACTCAAAAACGCATTAAGGTTGTTCCGACAGTCTGGTTTGCTGAGTCATCACTCTGGCCCGCGCTCGCTCGTTTTTGGCGGAAGAGGAAGTGAAGATAAGCCAGAGTGAACGCTGAGAGTGAGAGGAAGCAGGGAGAGACAGACAAGACTGGAACACACAACTCTTCTGTCCTGCTCACCCGCGGGTATTTAAACCTGTGGACAGGAGGACCATCTGTATTATTTTTTTTGTTTCTTCACCAACTTTCTTTTTCTTCTTCCTTTGCCTTTCTTATGGTATCATAGCTAAAAGGTACTCTTTTTTTGCCAACTGATAACCAACCCCCACACCCGCTGCCTGTTGATATCAGGCTCGCACTTCCTGTCTTTAACACTCCAGAATATCTATTGACACCCTTCTCAGGAGGGGTCCGGGCCTCTTTAGACAGGCAGCCCTGTGAATCACTGGGGTTGTATGCCGTCAAGATGTCGTGGAAGTTAACTAAAAGTAGGGTGGTCCTCTCAGCCTGGCTTACAGAGGTCTATGTATCTACGTGGTTCACAGAGGCTAACTGAGACATGTTAACTGTATAGAACTCAAGGAAACGCACCTGGCGCCTCTTGCAAACACCTTTAGCCGGTCCTCTACCGCGTCTTCTCCCAAGCCAGAGGCTTCGGCGGAAGATGGAGCGCCTCTTAGCAAGACTCCGACGGCGTCTTCCTCTACGAGCTCTATAGGTGAGGACGGACTCCCTTTGAAGTTACTAGGCGCTACTGTATACCAGTCTATACTAACGATGAGCCTGTATCTATCTAGCTGCTTCCGAGGCAACTGCCAATCCACCTACAGAGTCGCTGAAGCCTGGTATCCTTATTGTTACCCTCCATGAAGGCAAAGGGTTCTCTCTATCTCCTCACTATGAACAAGTTTTCAATTCCCATTATCAAAGCTCGGGCGGTTCATACTCTGCTTCGATGAGGCCAAGTTCCTCTTCTCATGCATCACATATCCCCAACTCCTTTACACATTCCATGAGGCCACAGTCGACAAGTGGCGGAATCAACGCGGCTCCGACCAACCACGGAAGATACTCTACGAAACATCTGCCGTACGCTTTGCTAGACTTTGATAAGCTCCAGGTCTTTGTCGATTCCGTTTCAGGGTCCCCAGAAAATCCACTGTGGGCTGGAGACAATACCTCTTTCAAATTCGACGTTTCTCGAGCCACTGACTTGAACGTTCAAGTCTATATCCGAAACCCTGCTGCACGCCCTGGAAGTGGACGCAGCGATGATATCTTCCTCGGAGCTTGCAAAATTAACCCGCGTTTTGAAGAGCGCCGTCGATTTGTTGAAGACCCTAAGGCCAGTAAAAAGGAGCGTGAAAAGGCCGCGGCAGCGTTTGCTCAAAGAGAGAAGCAACTTGGCCAGCTTGGGTCCGAGTGGATTGACTTGCAATTTGGCACTGGAAGTATTAAAATAGGCGTTTCGTTCGTGGAAAACCGTCAGCGTAGTCTGACGATGGCTGACTTCGAACTCCTCAAGGTTGTTGGGGAGAGGCAGTTTCGGCAAAGTTATGCAAGTCATGTAAGTTGACACAGAACAACCCATAAAAGTGATGATTGCACACCATTGGTGTATCCCGGTATACTAACCAAATGCCACCACTCTAGGAAACGTGACACCGGACGAATTTATGCAATGAAGACTATCCCGAAAAGGCCCACATCATCTCTCGCTCCGAAGTAGAACATACCTTGGCCGAAAGATCTGTGTTGTCACAGATTAGCAATCCATTCATCGTCCCACTGAAGTTTTCCTTCCAGTCTCCGGAGAAGCTATACTTAGTCCTGGCATTTGTGAATGGTGGCGAACTCTTCCATCACCTTCAGCGTGAACAACGATTTGATATCAATAGGGCTCGATTCTACACTGCTGAGCTACTTTGCGCCTTAGAATGCTTACACGGATTTAAAGTGATCTACAGAGATCTAAAACCCGAAAATATTCTCTTAGATTATTCCGGCCACATTGCTCTGTGCGACTTTGGCCTTTGCAAACTCGGCATGAAAGACGAAGATCGCACAAATAGTATGTATCAAACATCTTCCATTCTTGTCCGTTTGCATTCGTTAACGGTATTTTCACTCTTCTAGCTTTCTGTGGTACACCTGAGTACCTTGCTCCGGAGCTTCTCCTTGGCCATGGATATACAAAGGCCGTTGACTGGTGGACCTTGGGTGTTCTCCTTTATGAGATGTTAACTGGCCTTCCTCCATTCTACGATGAGGATACCAATGAAATGTATCGCAAAATCTTGCATGACCCTCTTACCTTCCCCGGCCCAGAGATTGTTCCAGGAGCTGCGAGAGACCTTCTATCTCGTCTTCTTGACCGAGATCCTCACCGTCGCCTTGGTGCCAATGGCGCTGGAGAAATCAAAGGCCATCACTTCTTTGCCAATATCGACTGGCGCAAATTGTTGCAGCGTAAATATGAGCCTAGCTTCCGGCCTAATGTGGTATGTGTTGACCTTATTTCGTTATATTGACGCGTCTCTTCCTTTACTTACTGGTTCCTAGGCGGACGCACGGGATACTGCAAACTTCGACGCTGAGTTCACGTCAGAGGTTCCCTTTGACTCATACGAAGAAGGCTCCGGGCTTTCTAGAACTATGCAAAAACCATTCGAAGGATGGTCTTACAATCGCCCCATTGCAGGCCTAAACGATGGAGGTGGCAGCGTCAGAGACCCTGCTTTTGGCAGCATCCCTGAATAAGGAATTTCGACTTATTCTACCCAACTTACCTTCTGCAGCCGTCCAAATGCCTGCATCAAATCTTTGCGTCTTCCCCCATCCCTCAATGTTTAACAGAGCTATCATTCCTTCCATTTCAATGAACTCCCCGACATACATGAATTACCGCTACGAATTTTCTTTTTCAAGAGGATAAATTTCCGAAGACAAGGAGCAACGATGGCCATGATCACACATCGCGCTCCCACTTGCAGTTCTTCTCATAACGGTTCTTTTCCTTTCTTTCAATTGCCAGTTTGACTTTCATTGCCATATCATCGGTGGGCGGACGGAGCTTTTCGAGTTTGTTCCTGCATATCATATTGTTTTCCATTCCGTCGCTTTTTTTTTCCAAATCCCCCCCGGTCATCTTTTCAGGCACTCTCCCCATGGTCTCTCTTATCTTAGGGGCACCCAGGAAATGGTTCCCCCGTCTTGCCTCCGATTCTTCTTTCACGGGTTTCTACGGTGATGAGCAACTCATTCGTGGACATGGCTTGACCATTTTCTTTCGTTTCTTTGTTTTTTTATAACAATTTTTTTCCTGTTTTATTTGACTTTTCGAGGAACGGATGGTCCAGTATTTAAGACCATACTCTGCTTGACTCGCGGAGTGATACCCAGTCCGGTTCATTTTACTTCTCCCCAGCCCATCACCTTTCCTTTCTTTCCTTGATGAATTGTGCTTTTGATAGTTAGCTCTGGCGAATGGGGGAAGGAT